TCGTGAAGTTTATTTCAAAATGTGGCCACGCCCGTGTGTCACTTTGAGACATGATGGAGGTCAGTTATAGGTTCGGAAATGTCACCTTCACTGCATTGCAAACTTCTGACTGAAATTATAATACCCTCTGCAAGGGTATAAAACAGCAAAATATTTAGACGATGAGGGTCTATATACTTCATTAAAGACGTTTTATTATTTTAATGTAATCCAAAAATCTAAATTCTTTGTTAGTTGTAAGACTTTATTTCTATAAAAAAAAAACAAAATATATATTAATGTATTCTAATTTGAGTTGGAAAAGGGAACAATATATTGAAAAACCCTTCGTTATTCCAGTTGAAATTTTTTGCTCATTTACTGCTCGAAAGCTGCTCTGACCCAGCTCTAACATTTTTTTTTGACACTTTCAAATTTTTCTCATCTAGTAACGTTAAGACACCCAACACGAAAGAAACAAAAAAAGTTTCTTTGCTCTTTCCCAATGACAGCTGAAATCGTTGTACGTTTTTAATAAAAACTAAATTCATATTTTCGAACAATAAACCAACCATATGTTTAAGTATTATAATTTCAGTCTTTATAAACATTCATTAAAAATGTCGAAAATAATATCTTCGTCTTGTTTGATTTGCAAATATCTGGAGAAACAAAGAAGTTATAAATTTTTTCCAACTTAAATTAAACGGTTTGAATTTTTGATAATAGCTCGTTTTTATTAAAAATAAATATTTAAGTGTTTAGTTACCCATTCAAAATTGCTTGTTGGCGTTCGACAAAAGTTGAGTATTCAAAGTCCAAATATTTCCACTCATTAACGATTTCAAGTTGACTTTCACTATTTAAAGTCCGCGATAGTGGCTGTGTAGTGTATGAATAGCCTTCAAGTTTCATAGAAACTGGTTGAACAATGAAGTTTCCGTTTGAAGACCCCATGAACAAAGTTATCTGTGCAATTACACAACAACTTGCAAAGAAGTGGTGCATCATAGCGACCCAAAAAGGTACAAATTTATTTTTTAAGTTATTGACCCACAGAAGTCCGATTCTGCCTCTGTAACAATCAATCTGCTCCACCACCTTTTATCGACTGGTTATGTTTAAGATATCGCTTGAATGTTTTTTAAAGCCGGTCGGAGCTTTTAGTTTTGTTTAAATGGAGTTAGTGCTCAAGCTTTACTAAAAGCAAAAGCTTTTTTGAAATGACTGAGAAGTTATTACAATTTTTAGTTTAATTTCTGAACCTTAAATGGAAATTAATCCTTGACATCGTCAATCGAGCCGGTCTGGCCATCCTCTTCTGTCATCTTGCTTTTACGGAAACTAGTCTCTCAGTTTTAAAATTATCTAAATATATTAGATTTTATTGATCGCAGGATCACTCAAAATAAAAAAGTAAAAAAAATTCCTCATTAAACTTCATTATTTCCTTATCAAAGAAAAAACAAGAACGGAAGTAAACTTCGGCAAGCCGAAATTCATATACCCTTGCAGCTATTGCAAGAATTAAATATTTTTGAAAACATTAAAATTAAAATTTACTTGCGTATATGCTTAAAAACATTGAAGCTATGATGATTTGCAGCTCAATTATTAGATAGTTATTTTATATATTTATATTAATTCTATGGGAATATAAAATATAGTCGTCCGATTTTAAAATGATTTTGAAGAAATTTAAACCGTAATTCTGAAATATTTAACCATTACTATATGTCGAAGAAATAAAAAAAAAATTAAAAAACAGCAAAGTTATAATTTTTTTTTATTTTTTTTTTTCGATTGTTCCTATGGGAGCTATATATATACTTTTGGATCGACTCGTCTAGTGATGCTGATCAAGAATATATACTTTATAGGGTCGGAGAGGTCTCCTTCACTGCGTTGCAAACTTCTGATTGAAATTATAATACTCTCTGCAAGGATATAAAAATGTGTAGTTTCAAGAATTTTTTTTCTAAACACTCAAGTCTTTCTTAAATCAAGGAAATTTTTCTCAATTGTAGAAATTGCCGCCATAAACAAAATTTATTTAAAACAAAAATATATATTTAAGTAAATTTTGTACTCGTTTAAAAAAACTATTTTTTCTAAATAAAAAATAGAAAGGAGTAGCCCTAAAAGTAACGTACTGTAAGAAATATTAACATTTTATATAATATAGAAAATATTTTCAAAAAATTCTCAGCACAACCCCGATTAAAACACATACAAATTGTAAGACTTTTTTCAAGTAGATAATTTTCAGAATTTACTACTAGAACAAAGACACCTCTTAACGAGAATTTAAAAAAAATATAAATTACAAAATTGTTTTGCATTTTAATGATGCAAAAGTATAGAGAAAAACGTTTTTTTTGGAATAACATGTCAGACTTGCAGTTCTGAATACAAAAACGGGCTTTAAACCTGGCAAATTAAATATATATGTAACATGTATGCCGAAAATATACGAAAATACCGATATAACGATCATTATCAAGATTTTGCTTAACCTAAAACGTAAGCAAAATTATCGATACATCGATGTTGTAAGTCGACATTTTAATTTATTTACTGCGCTAGTTACATCGATTTTTTTGTACTCATTACATTAATTTTTAAATTGTATAAATACAAAACAATAAAGACCTTTTGACACGGAAACATTTTTTCATATTGTTTCTATGGGAAATGGCGAGATCGACTTTCTTAGTGTCGCTGATCAATAGGATGAATGTATCATATAGCTCTCATAGAACAATCGGAAAAAAATTAAAAAAAAAATATAACTGTGCTGTTTTTCAATTTTTTTCGTTATTTCTTTAATACTTATTGATGCTTTATTATTTAAGAACAACGCTTTAAATTTGATCAAATTTGTAGCTTATCTTATTTTGAATTTTTGTTTTAATTCTTTTGGAAAAAGTAATGGTTTAATCATTCAGCTGCCATAAAAATGAACTAATTTATCAGAAATTCACTTCACGGCCTTGTTGGCAAACAAATAAAAATATAGTTGTTATAAGGAATATTTAATTTTTGCAATAAGTGCAAAGGTAAATAAACTTCGGCTTGCCGAAGATTGATTCATTTCTTGTTATTTTTAGATTTGAGTTAAAATCGCTGGTTTTGACTCAAAATTATGTTTTTACGGTATTTAACCTAACCCTTAACTTTTGATCAAAATCGGTTTACTACATCCTATAGCCAAATCTTTCATACTGACCATAAGGTTCTACACCGATATTTCGCGTAGTGTAAGACTTCCTAAATTGTATATTTTTCTGTGTACATTACTCAAGACATATATCTTTATATTATATTTTTATTTTTTAACAACCGAAAAATGTATTGAAAAATCGACATAAATACATATATAGCTTCAAGCATCAAGGGTATTTAAACTTTTGTGTGTGACTCGTACATATATTGATGTTCCAAAATGCCCCATGTTCTGTAAGTAATTGAAAAAATCGGGATAATTTATAGATTTATTTAACTTATTTTGATTAAATACCAAATACCATTTGCACATTTTCTTATCAAAAATAAATTTATAAGGGTTTTTAAATGTTCTGCAACCAACAAGTTTTTAGATGTCAGTTCTTAAATTATGAAGACTAAAAATTTGTTAAACTTAAATTTAAGTTTGTTCAGGTGTATTTATACGTTGTCTTGAAAATTCGTATCTTTTTACAAGGTGCCCATTTATGCTTTACAAAGTTACAAGAAAAATAATAAACAAGAAAGAAAGCAAACTTCGGCAAGCCGAAGTTCATATACCCTTGCAGCTATCGCAAGAATTAAATATTTTTGAAAACATTAAAATTATGATTTACTTGCGAATATGTTTAAAAACATTGAAGCTATGACGATTTGCAGCTTAATTATTTGATTGTTCTTTTATATATTTTTATTATTTGTATGGGAGCTATATGATATAGTCGTCCGATTTTGATGAAATTTAAACCATAATTCTGAAATATTTAACCATTGCTGTATGTCGAAGAACTAAAAAAAAAATTAAAAAACAGCAAAGTTATATTTTTTTTCAATTATTTTTCCGATTGTTCCTTTGGGAGCTATATGCTATAGTCGTCCGATTTTGATGAAATTTTAACCATAATTCTGAAATATTTAACCATTGCAGTATGTCGAAGAACTAAACAAAAAATTAAAAAACAGCAAAGTTACAATTTTTTTTCAATTATTTTTCCGATTGTTCCTATTGGAGCTATATGCTATAGTCGTCCGATTTTGATGAAATTTTAACCATAATTCTGAAATATTTAACCATTGCTCTATGTCGAAGAACAAAACAAAAAAATAAAAAACAGCAAAGTTATAATTTTTTTTCAATTATTTTTCCGATTGTTCCTATGGGAGCTATATGCTATAGTCGTCCGATCCGGCTCGTTCCGACTTATATACTACCTGCAATAGAAAGACAACTTTTGGGAAAGTTTCATGCAGATAGCTTTAAAACTGAGAGACTAGTTTGCATATAAACGGACGGACAGACGGACAGACTGACAGACGGACAGACGGACGGACAGACGGACATGGCTAGATCGACTCTACTAGTGATGCTGATCAAGAATATATATACTTTATAGGGTCGGAAACGTCTCCTTCACTGCGTTGCAAACTTCTGACTGAAATTATAATACCCTCTGCAAGGGTATAAAAACTCAAAAATTTAAACACCTTGGATTAGCCAGATTGCAAACACTATTCTCTGGTTTGCTATTTGTCCAAATGTATCAAGTCCTTTGCCCCATATATAAAAGGATAACACAAAATGAATCAAATTAATTTCCCTTTCATGTAAGAGGTAGACCGCATCAGTCTGCGTATTTGACATTGAGCGTAATTCTCTTACAATTCCTATGTGTATAAATATACAAGACTTTGGTATCTCTAAATACTTCTAGTTGTATGTGTGAGATTTAAATTTAAATTTTCTGAAGAGCTGTATGTGAAAGAGTCAATAATATAGTAAATAGGCAAAATGTGGACAGTGTGGAAGCTATCTTTGATGTGCACTCATATTCTCGAAATTCAAAGGCGTTTGATTCTTCTCCATTCGTTTGGTCTATACGGATTTTGGTTTTATTATTATCTTTTAATAATTCAATTGTACAGTAGTGAAAGAAGGAAACATATTCTATTCCCAACACCATTTGGAAATCAGCAGGTAAACATAGAAATTTAAAAATATATAAAAAAAAGAATGAATAATTATAATGGAATTTTTGGAATTGGAATTTTCAAATATTGTTTAAAAATCGTGCAAAATGTGTTACATAATAACGACACAATCAATCCCTCGGGCTTTTTTTATGTAAATGCACAAGTGAAAACGATGTGCTTAACATATACATATTTATGCGTTCCTATATCTATAGTATAAAGCATCATCTATGTGCTCATTTCAGCACCTGTTGCTGTTTTCCCCTGATACAATTAAATGTTTACCTACAAGTGGTTGATTTTACATTCGCCTCACTTTTTTATTTCTTTTTTTTCTAGATTGTTAGAACTTTAAGAAATGGATTCGACGTCTCAAATTGTGGTAAGTAAAAAAACGCAACAACAAATGCAAATAACATTTCATTCTTATTAGTTAGTATTACAGAATGCTTAGTTCTATCTCACAAGTCTTGACTTTTTTCTCAGTTCTCAGAAATTTTTTTGTAAAGCGTACACAAATTAAATCTAAAAACTCAAGGGAGCTAAATTGAATACTTCAGGTATATGTAAAAAGTGGTCTGAAATTAAAACTGAATTTTTACCTAACCTCAGTTTAAAAACATGTTTTAAAAAAATATTTAGAAACAAGTAAAATCTCAAAACTTTATCTAAAATAATAAAAAGATATTTTTTCAATTTTCACTGGCAACATAATCGAATTTAATTTGTTATCATTCCACTATTGTCAAAAATAGAATCAGTCGGTTGCTAATTCTTTTCATGACAACTTAATTTGCTGTATCTATTTTGTGAAATCAAGGCCACCAGAATTACAAAAATATTTTAAAGTTTTAAGCAGCTCTTTAGGTACTACATAAGATATCACAAAAACTTTGTTAGAAACTTAAACTAAAACGCGGCAAACGACACTTGCTTACAAAATAAACTGAAAAAATACTTTAAATAACAAAATTTGAAAAAAAAACATTTTGTTTAAAGTGTGTATTCAATTTTTACTTGAAATACTTGAAAATGAAATAGTTAATTGAGTAATCAGAGACTAACAGCCATCTGTAAACTTCTTATTACTACACCGGAAAAAATATGGAATAGGAAAAACAAATATCTGACTATTGATATTAAAATTCATAATTTATTGTTACAAATTTAAATTAATGTGGAAAATATTAGATTTAAAATAGTTCCTATTTGATTTATTTAAGTTAAATATTTTATAAATTTTAAATAAATTTAGAGATATTTAAATTAAATCCGATAATAATCAAACGTTTTTTTTAACCAGTGTAGTAGTGTAATATACGAAAATCATTTACCGGGAACTGTAGTAAAGAAACAATTTTTTTTATTAATAATCAAATTTAAGTTTATATGTATATTAGAGTTCGGAGTAATTTTTCATTTCATTTTGTGAGTTTGTTCAAATAATTATAATCAAATTGAAAGCCTTTTAGTTGACATCAGCATATTTTCTTACAATCTTAAGGAAAAAGTTCTTGAAACAAAAAAAGAAACGGAAGAGCTTAACGTTGATGTGATGGCTTCCGAAGAGAACGATAACACACCCAAAACACCTTCGGAATCGAACACTGACAGTGACTTAGGTAAACCTCAAAGCCAAACAAGTGATAAAGGTGATGCTGACTTAACAACTGGAGACAAACTCGAGTCTAAAGACGGTAGTTCAGAAAGCGAAATTACGGCAGATATAGCAGTAACTCCGCCTTCAACTACTGGTACCCTAATCGAAAAGCGGTCCTCATCTATTGGTTCATTAGATGCTGAAGAAGAAGAAGAAGAAGAAGAAGGAGAAGAAAAAGAAGAAGACTTACCTGTTAAGGCAGACACAACTAACATTTCGGAAATGGATAAAGAGGAGAATCAAAAGCTGGCTGTCATTGATGACAATACTATTAGTGTTAGCACATCGAATGCTAGAAAACCTTCTGTGCCACAAGATTCATCAAATGCTCAAATCAAAGGTGAAGACGAAGAAGTTCAAAGTACCGAAGAAACGGTATTAAAAGACAGCACAGAATCTTTGACTGGAAAAGTAAGATGTTCTTACGCATAAATTAATGCATCGCCTTTAAGCTCTAAATTGCAGCTTCTTTTAATTTATATTAATCCAGAAATAATGTGTGACTCTTAAATCAATTGATTTTTTTTTGTAAATTTCTCTTAAAAGCGTATTCAACGTATAGTTAGGTTAGGCTAGGTTACAGCGGCTGTCAGATGTGGACTAAGACACTTAGACCTTAATTGTTCCATTGTGATACCGCGTGGATCTTATTTTTTCCCTTGACCTTGTGTCGGCTACACTGATGCAGCTGATTTAGCATAGCTCCCATCGGGCTTGCACTAACCAGTTCAGTGAGATTGATCATGAAAGGACTGCCAAGATGAAGCAATCTAGACTTCCAAAGGACCTGGCAGCAACAGAAAAGGTTCAGCTTACAGGTAGCCATCGGCATACCAATGTTTCTCTTTCTGGAAAAGAGGATTGGTACTACCTTGTTTTGTCAACTTGTCAGCTGTGCAGTTGCCTCTTCTGGTCTCCGGAGACCCTTATCAGGTAGATACTAAACTGCGAAGCCATCTCATGTAGAGATCTGCAACATTGTGATATTGTTTGAAAGTTTGTGCTGGTCAAAGACATCGACCAAATAGCCGATTGGCTATCACTGTGGATTTTATATACGTATGGTTTTCTTATGTTCAATAAACTAAATATAGTGTTGAGCCATGAATTAAGCGTCGGGGTTTTATGATCATTAAAACCGTTAAATTTCCTTTTTTTTATTTATTTTTTTTACTGTTATATTATAGCTTTTAACCTGTAAGTGAAAGCTTACATCAAATTAAATTGTCAAGCAAAACTTTTTTCCCTTCTCAGTGTGATGTTAACTAATCAATCGAAGAAAGATTGAAATAATAAGTTTTTAGTAAAAAAACTTTTTACACAAATCGGCAGAATTTTGGACTTTAGAGCCTCAAAAATATGAATGTGTGTTAACTATTGCTTGTCATTTTCGGTTTTCCAAACGAAACATTTTAATTATTACTTGCCTTTAACTAAGAGTTTTCAGTGTTTTTATGTTAGAGAAAATGAAATAAAGCAATCACAAATTTGAACTAATAGTCAATCTAGCCGGCATAAGAGCCTGGTCAGCTGGGCAGTAATGACAAAAGTAACTCGTTTGTTCACCATTTTGGAGATTAGTACCTTCATAGTTTACCTAACCTCTTTAAAAAAAACAGTTTAATTCTATTTCATACTCGAACTGTAGAACTGAATATAATAATTGTATCAGTGTACGGAAACACAAGACATAAATTACTTAATTATTTGAAAAAAAAATTGTTGGATCATTTGCAGACTGGAACCCGGAACCACTGAACGTTCTTTAACTTTGCTAAGGAGGCTTCCCGCTTAGAGCTGTAATACTGTCAATATCAACAACACAGTTTTGAGCATGTTATAGGAATTTTGTGTCTCCAGCAAACTCACAGAATGCGGCTTACTAGATTCCCTATTTTTGATAAAGAGAATTGACTTGTGCGAGGATAAATTTTGTATATAGATTTCTGAGTCCATTTTGAGAAAACAAAGTTTAAAATATCAATAGGCACACGGATTAATTTTTTTCGAAATTCGAGCATATCTCCCGAAATTTCAGTTATAACAAGAGTTTTTTCTTCCCTTCCAATCTTATTCAGGTTGTTTGCATTCATTGCACAGTTTTTTATTTAAATTCCTCTGATTAATATCTAAAATTTATAGACTTTTTAAGGAATATAGTATAGCTGTCGAAAAAGACTTATTGGCGTTCATCCAAATCTCTATAAGCTTATAAATTGTCTGCCATTATTGACTGTTAAACTTTCTCGGACTCTATGAATCTTTTGGGATATTTTCATCTTATACGGTCCAAGATTTCGTTCTAATTTTCCCAATCGAATTAGCATTTCTTATATTTTTCCACAATCAATTAAATAGCTAGTTTAGTCAAAAAATGCAAACCCTTCTACTGTAAATCCAAAAAATATTTTTCAAAGAAACAGAGCACAGATTTATAGTGATTAAACAGCACAATACAGGCAAGTGAGAGTCTTATACCCATTTACAGTACTTTTTGAAAGATGGGAGGACAGTAAAAACCCGAGCTCAAACTGAGACAGTTTACTGTCAATGTCTTCTTCTTCAGAGTGCTCAAACAATGTGTATTTGTTTAACTATAAAATAAAACATTTTTAATTCTAAATTCTTGGTTGAGAGATAGACAGAAAACAATACTCGGGAAACAACTTGAGATAGGAACAGCAGTAATTTTGAATAAGGTTTTATGCAATCTTATTGCCCAGTCTCGCAGAGCCCATTAAAGGGAAACGGTCCATCAAAAATCCCAACCAATCCCGCGCCAAGACTTTACTTTTGGACCATTAGTTAAATGTATAGTGAATGACTAGGCTGAGGCGGCATTTATAATAATTGCGATCAATAAAAGAGTATTATTGTCATTTCGTTATTGCAACCACATTAACAGCTGATTTTTATTCGCAAGGAACGCGCATTTTTTTTTGTGCTTGGGAACATAACTTTTGTGCATGTGGGTCATTTGTTTACAAACCGAACATCATTTAATAAGACACATTTTGATTAGCCTGAAATGATATGTGAGGTAATTTTCAAAATTTTCTAATGTTATAACTAAATAAATAATTTTTTTTTACAAAATCCTGATTTACGTGTTTATTTGCTTACCACATAGTATCTGGAAAAAGAATTTTAGACAAATTATAAAATGAAAGCGTTTATATTCTAAGTTTTTAAAAAATAAATAAATAAAATAAAATATTTTAAATTCTAAGTTCATGAATTTAGTGATAGATGAAAAAAAATTCTCGGAAAACAACTTGAGATAGGAACACCAGTAGGTATGAATACGCTTTTATACTTCTTTTTTTCAAATTGTTCGGTTTGTAAAAGAGTAACCCATACTGATGGCTAAAAAAAGCGTAACCGCAGAATTTCTTAGTCAACTCACCAAAACGCGTAACTTCTGGACTTCAGGAAAGAAAAAAGCTCTTCTACATGGGGGTTTTCGCTTTATTTATGCAACTGTGGTGGCCTCCTCCATCAGCTTCTCTTCTTCGTCTTCAATGTTGGGAAATCCCACGATAGCATCATGGATATCCTGCTGATCATTAATGCGTTCCATAAATTCTCTCATAATCATGATTTTTAATAAATTTCTTTTACATTTGCGACTATTCAAAAGTAAACAAACCGAGATAAGCTGTTCGTGCCATTTAGATGTCGGTGCAGTATTAACAATTAGCTAAATGTGCCAATTGGATCAGGCACATTTAAAAAGTCCACAAATGCTCCAATGAAATGTGTGCAATGTATAACAATGCTCTGCTCATCAGTGCTTTCTGCTTTTATGCAATTTATTTATTTTCAAAGTTGGTCGATTAATAATCTAAAAAAATTACATGACTTCGTAACGATAGTTATGCTTTCTTCAATTTTCAAAAGCTCTTGAGTTTTATTAAACTATATAATCATATTTGAGCATATAATATACTTAATTTTATGATAACTGCAAGTGTATATCAACTTCGGCGTGCTGTTTTTTCAGTGGTATATTTGTTGCTAATAATTATACTTTAATATTTATAGGATCCGGTTGAATCTACAAGCAATTCATCTGCACTGACTGGCGAAAGCACCAAAAGCGAAGTTGATTTGCCTATCGAACATGTAAGTGAAGGGCAAGAAGCATTAAAAATCTAAAATACTCAATAATCTTATAATATTTGTTTTTGACTGTATGATACTAACGATATATGCATGTATGTATGTTTCAACTCAAAGAATGCCATCTTTGTATTCGCAACTTTTCACTGGACGACTTCTCTCTTAAGACTGTGAAACAGAAATCCTTTAGCCTCAAAGTGGGTTGAAATTTGTATGTACCTTACCTTGTATGTACGACCGAATTTCAATCGAAATGTTTTATGTGTCATTCTTTAAAAAAGTCGCTCAATACAACCCGACTAAATTGATGGTCTTTTTTTGCAACTATTTATTTTACACGCCACACAAGGATGGTCCTTGCTTTCGTGTATGCTTAGGAGTCTTCAAAGATTTCAAATATTTGGGTATAAAGTGCAGGGCAGGTAACGTTCAGCTAAATGTGTCAATGGAATCAGGCACATTTTAAAATTATTACCCCGCGAAGTAGCTCTTCAGCTGATCTAATCCGTTGGCGACTGTGCCACTACAAACCTGCGCACTGCATATAGCATTGAAAAATTCCACTTTGCATTCAGCCTCTTATTGAGTCTGTTGATATAGCTACTACTCACTGTATTTATAACTTTATCTATTTTAATAAAATGCCCATTTCTTCATGTATGCTGTTATATGAATGAGTGTTCCAAAGGTCCCAAAAATTCGGGTATTAGGGGCTCTCTTTCTGGGGCAGTTCATAGTTTGTCAAAGGTTGTCAATTATCAGGTGGTTTAATAGCAAGTAACGATAGGTAACCTTGTCTTTATGCTTAAACATTTTCCCAACAAGTACGGAGAGCAAATGTGAAATTCATTTCGAATATGGTTGGATACCTCGGGAGGCTAACAAAGGGATACTACCAGCTGCAAGATATACAGTGCTGCCTGCATAAGTGACAAGAAGTGCACCGCGAACAACTGCGTTTGGAAGATCTAACGTATAATCTTTGTACTGGGCCGGACCAAGCACGCTTTTTTTGATGGACGATGTCCACGGATGTCTACAGCAAACTCCCTTTTATCCAAGAATGACCCAATAAGTTTTCATAATTCCTTAGGCAAAAGGAGCCATATATCCGAAACCAGAGGTTAAAGACTGTATTTGGTAACGAACGTATAGTCAGCAACACGGAGATATATCATGAGCGTAATATGATCAGAGAAACATGCCGGGCACTCCGAGATATCAAGGTGGCTGCACGGGATGCCTCTGTAAACTTCAAAATCTAGAGCCGTCGGAAAGTTATAGTATATAAATTATAAGTAGACAGTCAAGGAAAACAGTTGGCGAAATAATAATAGATAAATAAAGTAGTCATTGATCCAAGGATGTATGCATACTTGGAAACAACTGACATAAGAGAGTTCCCGGCGGCATTCCAATTCCCAAAGTAAGCTGACTAAGATTGACGGTGACCAAAAGGACAGCAGCCAACATCAAACGAAATTCTGCCAAAGCCAGTGACCGAACTTGTGAGACTCTGATACTGTGGCGCTCAAGTGATAGTCGAGGGAGAGCTTGTCGATAACGGCAGCACCAACACGATGTTTGACAGCAGGGTGGTTGGCAGAGTGAAAGGATTTCAAAGTAAACAAGAAATCCTTTTCTTTCATATTTATTTTTTAAACTTGGATTGAGTAATTTTGTTCGGACCTTTTGGACATTATTATGGACAATTTTTTCATACAGAAATATTGTAGAATAAGGCGGTAACAGACCTGCCCCCAGAATGTTTTGGGAAATAAACAATTTGCGGTGGACGCCATAACTCGGCCAGTAATTCTTCGAAAGAAAGAACCAGGAAAAATAAGTTAATTTAAAATTAAATCTACCCCCAATGTTTTGTGTTATTTTTTTTTTCATTTAAAAATGTAGTTTAATATTTTCGACTACAAATTTCGTAATTTTGTGGGAAGGAACCTCCCTTAATGTAAAAACAATGTATACTAAACGTTGGGGAACGGTATTTTATATTTATTTACAATATTTTTATATTTCTTACATTATCGTTAGCAAGTATCTGCCAACATAAACCTTGTAACCGACTCACATCAAGTATGAGGGGTCAAGGACAGGTTCGGATGTTTGTTACAAGTAAATTAACAGAGCATTCGGAAAATATCAAAAAATACAGTTTATTATATTGCGAACATAAAACGCGAACTGGATCATGTACCTCGAAATTCGTCTTACAAATATCAAGGGCAATAGGTCGAAAGTGACGAGTAGACCTTACAAGGATGGAAAACCGTATTTGACCCAGTAGCTTGAATGTACAAGACCAGTTATTAATTTGTGAAGGATTCGACGATCTTTGAGAGAAGCCAGGTTCAGTAAACGCAGTCTATCCACGTAAGATGGTAGGTGACGATGAGTATCCCAGCTTAAACCACGCTAAGCAAACAAAAGGAATAATAATTGGTATATGGAAGAGACCGAACACACGAGGGAATTGGACGTACCAAGGAAATGTATAAGTGTTTCTTGGTATAGGGGTCCTCAAATTCCTAAGACCAACGTTTAACAAAAACAAAAACCCCTTTTGCTTTACTAACTATAATGCCAATGTGATCAGAGAAGATAAAGTTTTGGTTTAATAACTCTTCATTCGACCCAATAGAATATGAAGTGAGGAGAAGCCTCTTCCGATAAAAGGAAGTAAAATTACATTTCGAGTTGTTTAAAAACAGAAAATTTTGAATGCACCAAGAATGCAGATTGTTCAGATCGGCTTGCAGAGGTTCATGGGAAATGGGTTTAGATACCAGCAAACAAAGTTTTACGTCGTCAGCATACATCATAACATGAGAAGAGAAAACTACCTGAGGCAAGTCATTTATGAAAATTCCAAACTGTAGGGGTTAGGTGGCTGCCTTGCGGAACACCTGAGGTCACGTGAACAAAGTTAGAGAATATGCTTTTTAAAGCTACTCTCCGAGTCCGGTTCGACAGGTATGTTGAAATCCACTTTGTCAATGGGATCGAGAATCCTTAGAGTATTAGTTTTTTCAATAACAACTGATTGTTCACGGAATCGAAAGCCTTTCTGAAGTCCGTAAAAATAACATCAGTTTGATAGTTATTCTTAAAAGCGCTTCTAATGACTGAGGTAAATTCAAGAAGATTTGTAGTCGTTGACCTTCGTTTCATAAAGCCATGCTGAGCTGGGGACATTACTGAGCTGCATTGGTACTGTAGCTGAGCGGTAATAAGCTGTTCAAAAAGCTTGGGGATTGCGATCAGTTTTGCAATACCGCGGTAGTTTTTAATGTCCGATGTGCTCCCCTTTTTATGAAGTGGAAAGATAAAAGATTCCTTCCAAACTTCAGGGAAATACGAATGTAGGAGGGATATTTGAAAAAGTTTAGATAATGGCTTACACAAAGCATCGGCACATTTTTATTATAACGCAGCTCGGTCAAGAGCAGGGCCCAAAGAGAAAGACGTCTTGATTGTTTACAGATTTTGTAAAACATAATCCTCACTAATTAGGAGCGTGAAAATACAAATGGAGTGAGGAAGAGGGTATGGATAGGATGAAGTGTTATCGTAACTAAAATACGAGTATGTGGCCTGGAACAATTTTTTCGAATGGTCAACTTGCAGCCCGGTTCTCTTAAATTTCTTTAAAAGTCTGGACATGGAGTTTTTCATTTGCAGAAGGATATAAGGGAATGAACGTATCGAAAGCTACAATGTGTAAGGGGTCGTCGTTTGAATCCATAAAAAACCAGTTGAGTTCCGATAAATGCCTATTCATATCTGCGAATTTAGCTCTTCGAAAACAGCGAAAAGATGCTGGTTTGATTTCGGGACATGACGGTAATGTGGCTAAAGTAACCTCAAGTGTCGACTGGTAGGCGTCTTCAGTGTTTGAGAGAGGGCTAATTCCAGTTACGTATGCATTGACGAACTCCGGGTCAAAAATAAGGTTCAACACTTTTCTGGAGCAGTTCAAGACTGAGTTAAGTTGTCCTAATGAATGAGCAATAAGACCGTGAACAAACTCATGGGCCATGGGAGAGAGCAATTAAATCAGTTGATGGCAGGTTAAAGTCGCCCATACAATAAGATGATCGTTATAGCCGAGGGTTGAATGATTACTCTGTATTTGAGCCAAATGCTGAAGGTAGAGGCTAAGATCAGAACAAGGGGGAATATACGAGCATGATAAAAAACGAAATAATCATGAAGCTTAGTCCGAACTGCAACAAACTCTAATATGCTGTCCGTACCAATTATCGGAATGCGTTCAGAGACAAGATCGGACTTGACGGCAATAAGAACACCATCGCCAAGACGCATTTTTCCATCACATCTATATATAACATAATATTCAGCAAATATTTCGCAGTCAGACACAGAGGAATTAAGCCACGTTTTGGTAAATGCAATCACATTGACATCGAAGGAGACACTGTTGACGTGCAGTTTACTAAGTTTGCCAATAAGCTGCGAACATTCTGCTAGTGTAAGGAAAAATAATTATTTAGTTTTTTGGAACGTTGGTTGACGGAATCTTAGGCCCATGGGCCCGAGGATTAAGCATTTTTACGTTCTCGGGAATAATAACATGTTCAGGCCATATAGAAACATCGAGAGCCTTATTAAGATGTTCCTCAGGAAGTCCAATTTTATACGAAGATATTTCACGTCTTTGCGTAAACTTGAACTTCAAGACGGTTAGTTTGGCTCGAGAAACATTTAGTTTGCTGCTCAGGTAGTTTTTGACGTCATCTTCAGAAGCACCAGGATTAAGGCGTCAGAAAAAAAAACCTTTTTTAGTGCAATGTCGGTAAGGGCTTAGGTTCCAGATGAGCAAATCCAGATAAGGTATTAGAAGGCGTCAAAATCATGCCAGAACCAACTGCAGCAGCACACGACGTATATTCCTGCTCAATGTTGACGAGTCCAGAATAGGCAGTGGCGGGTGAAGGTCCAGAAGAAGCGTTTGCGTGCGGCTGTCAGCAACATCAGTAGAGGCAATCCTGGTAGCCAAACGGTTTTTAAAGTTGGATTCAGCTTTTTCAAACCGAGTGAATAAGTCCTAGTACTCCCGATCGGTTTGCCTTGTGAAAGCCATAATATCGACTTTAATATGACGGCAACTGGGGCAGGTCCAATCCAGGTTAGAATTTGATTTAGTCCGGTCAGCAATAAGGCCAGCACTGTGCCCAAGGTCGGCACATTTAGGGTGAGCAATGTTGTCACACAGCCAGCAACCAATTGTGGAATGTCGAGAGGAGATTTTACCATTTAAAATGCAAGGTTTGATGCAGCAGGCAGACATAGTAAAGCCTACTTAGATGATGATGTGATCAAATCATACTGTTGATTCATGCAGGGCTCTAATGCAGAGCATGGGTTATTAAATACAAGCGCTCAAAAGTTTTTATAGGAGAGGTTTGCTTCAGGGGATAACTCCATATGTTCGGCCATGACATTAGCTGCTACTGCACATGGTGAGGTAGTGGAGTCTGCGGAGCATGCAGTCTTCGTATTCTATCTATTTAGGGTCTACCTTCAAAAAAAAGTTATATATAAAATTCCTGATATGTACAAAAATTTAACATGGTTTACCTTCCAAAAGTTAGCTTGATTACTGGATCCCATCCGGTTTGTTTCGAGACTTCTCAATGCTTCTGACGGCTTTATTCGAAACAATGTTAAACAAAATTATGATTATTATATTGTTAACCATTCTTTTCTTTTATTTAAATAAGATCAGCTCGGGCTTCCGAATAATTCATTAGCTTGGATCTCAATTTATTTGAATGGAAGCACTCAGAGGTTTTTTTTTTATTTTTTAAAAACACTGTTTCCAATTTGATTCACGTAACATCTGCAGTGCTCCGGGTAGTCGCTTTCGCCCTGCTGTTTACTTTATTCATAAATAATCTTCCTTCTGTCATAGCACATTCTCGAGTATCAAGTATACATCGACGGTATTGAGTCAGCACAAAAACAATTTCTATTTTTCCCCTTGTGGTTTGAACTGAGATCAATACGTACCTACTCTTGTAAATCGTAGAATGTTTATTTTTATGCACAATCTTGTTAGAGGTGATATGTAATGTCTGATAAAGTAATGTCAGCGGCAGAAGTTGACAGTCTTTATTCTTTTCGATGTAAGCCGTCTTTCAACAGTCTTCCCAGATAGTCCTCCACTGTGAAGTAGAAGCGAACCAGAGATTGTCGAAAAGTTGAGCGCGTACAGAACATCAGCCGTAAATATGTTAATCAGTTGTCAAGTCGGGCTAAATCGGTTGCTACTTTGTTGTTTCGACTCTTTTGAAATCAATTTAGCCAAAATCTTTGTAATCATTTATCCATACTCACATTATAAAAATTTAAGATAAGGGCGAGTTGGGAACGGTTAGTGCTATTACTCCGCATGCATTGGAATACATAAGCTTGAATACGAATCAGCTGGTGGCGCCATCCAAAATATATCTGTAATGCGCACAAAAGCGGAACAAGTATACCTTGCCACATATCAATGGGACTATGATGTTCTAGTTCTAGTTGAATCTGGCCTTGCAAGAACTTTTACTCTTATGAGTACTTCGACTTCAACTTGTATTAAGTGTATCGCAAAGACAGAGCAGGTACAAAAACACCATGCGCTGGAGGAGGAGGCGTAATTGTTGATGTTCGTCCTAGCTTGAAGTGTTCGTCAATTGGCCTTCTTAATGAAGATACCCTTCTGGATCAAGTTGCTGTTTCGGGTAATGGCCTAGCGGATACCAAGCGGTATTCTCTGTACATCTGGATAATCTGCTGTTTGTCCTGCATCTCTGCGTAATTGGTGACTTTAACCTGGCATCCCTTGTTTGGGCTAGGGATCCTGACGGTCATTCCGTAATACCAAGTAAATAACATCAACCACATGAGATACTTTTTATCGATTCGCTTAAGCTGCCTTGGTACACAAAAAGCCTAAGAAAGCTGAAATAAATTGTATAAAAAATTATTGATAACGCGTGATCTGACTCATTGGAATAAATACTTACAAAACAAACGGAAATTTTAGCTTTTAAATAAATTTATTTACCATCAGTACATGGCAGATGTCGAGAGCGGGCAGGAATTTGGCACGATTCCCAAACCCTTGATTCGATTACAAGATTAGTAATTATATGTTTTTGACTGTTGAATACGAAAGTATTCACTCGGCTATTCAAGGCTTTGATTCAAGGTTTTCTGCATTGAAGTGCTATGTGTACCTTTGAAAATTATTTTTAACTTACCACTTTCGGGTGGACAATTGCCGAAGTTCGCATCCGTGACTCCAATTTTAAGTTTGGTCCGAAGAATTAAATCGTCAATTATTAACCTCTAGCTTAAATTAGTAATATTTATAAACTATTTATTTTTTTGTTGCCTATAAACTGTCGTTTCTTAAAAAAAAAAGACAAGCATCTTTCAACATGGTTTTATATCAGGTCGTTCAACCACGACTAACGTAGCAGTTTTCAGTAACAATTGCATTCAAACCTTTTATAGGCGTTTCCAAGTTTATACCAGATACACAGATTTCGCCAGAGCTTTCAATAAAGTTTGTCACTGTGTCCTTTTGGAAAGACTTTCTTTGAAATGTTAAGCTGGCTAAAATCGTACTTATAACATCGTAAGTTTAGAGTAAACATTAATGGTTGTTATAACTCCTCCCGCCAATTTAAAAATAAATAGAGTTGAAAGCCTGCATACAAATTTTGGAAATTCGTTCATTTGCTTGTAAGAATTTCTGACCCTTTTTCCCCTCTTATCAACAGCAGTCAGCTTCCCACCCTTGCTAATCGCTGAACAATTATTTATATTTGTTTTATATTTGGTGGCAGGGGTGATTGACTGTCCAGAAATACTCTTAAAAGTAAGCTTCAATGGTCCTGCTAGGCACCTCCGGGACTTGGCGCCCTTTTTTGTTGAGCTACGTAGGACCAATTACTCCCAAAACGAGCCACTTTCAAATAAAACGCATATCAAGCATAAGTGCGTAAAAATAATGTTAAATATATATAAGTAAGTTCTTAAGAGGATTATATTTAGTGCTCTATTTATTTGATATTACTATGATACGTATATAAGCACTTCAATTGCAGAAGTTACATTCTAATTCAAGAATAGTATAGTTCACGTTCTAGAAGTCACGGTAAGTTATGTCGAATTCTTGAGTGCACTTTCCGACTTTTGCCTACATATATCTTTACTTAACATTTTAACGAACGAAAAGAGCAACACCATATCATTTAATCTCAACAACGAAATTATAAAATATGATTTTTTATTACTTGTTCGGTTTGTAATTCACCTATAGACGGCAGTATAAGTAGTGAGGATGCGTATACCACCAATCGGAAGGTATCGCTAAAAGAAAATGATGTGCATACCAAAACTTTACGAAAATGAATCGGTTCAGGAGAAGTGGTGAGGCTTAGTCTCTTAAAATGCTCCACTCTTTTAGATAAGTTGACATTTTGTTGAAAATAGGGATCAAAAAAAGGTTAGTCGGAACTAACTTAACTAAATCAGCTAAAACATGAAAGGAATCAAACTTCGGAAAGCCGAAATTGATATATCCTTACAGATATTTTTTACAAAACGACTATGCTTCGATTTCTATGCATATATGTCTAAAAACCATCGTTCCTATGGCAGCTTTACACTCGTCCGATTTTTATAAAATTGAAGCAATTATTCGTAAACATTCTAAAAATCTGAAACACAGTGAACTTACATTTCTTTTTTAATTTATTTTTTTTTTTAATTTTTCGATTGTTTCAATAGGAGATAACTGATTTAGTCGTTTTTTATATATAGGATAAGCTTTTGAAAAAACTCAAAAAATTGTTGTTACCAAAATGAAATAAAATCATTATATTGGACAAAAAACAACGAGAAATAAACAAATTGGTTCAAAGTAAGCTAATTTAACAAGTTTTACAAAAATTGATAGCAAAATATATTTTAATGATTTATATATATTTGTTATTTTATATTTATTCATTATTTTTATTTATTTGAGCAACTAGCACAGATTTTTATACGTTTAGATTTTCAGAAACCAATATACTTTAATGGAATAAATTTTTACATTCATTCGTTGTTTAGGCCAAGGATTCAGAAGAACTAGAAAATCGATCAGACAGATCAGATGCAAACAAGGTATGTTTTATGCTCTTTCACTTTTGTCATATCGATTCTTCATAACACTCATAATAGGACAAGGAATCCCAAGAAATGGCCGACCAATCCGAACTTTTGGATAAAAAAACCAAGGAAAACGAACATCCAAAAACTGATCAGGTAACTCATCTCTCAGAACATTTATATATTTTGTTTCTTTTATTTTTATTCCTTTGCAGAGGGTATGATAATTTGAGTCAGAAGATTGCAACTCAGTAAAGGAAACATTTCCGACCATATAAAGTATATATATTCTTGATCAGCATCACTAGGAGAGTCGATCTTGCCTTGTCCGTCTGTCCGTCCGTCTGTCCGTCCGTTTCTACGCAAACTAGTCTCTCAGTTTTAAACCTATCTGCATAAATCGTTGTCTTTATATTGCAGGTATTACATAAGTCGGAACGAGCCGGATCGGACGACTATACCTATAGCTCCCATAAGAACAATCGGAAAAATAAATAAAAAACAAGAAAGGAAGCAAAATTCGGCAAGTCGAAGTTCATATACCCTTGCATTCAAGCTATGATGATTTGCAGTTCAATTATTTGATAGTTCCTATGGCAGCTTTATGATATCGTTTTCCGATTTTAATAAAATAATAGCGTAATTAATAATTCAAATTATTAAATAGTCAAAAAGAATTTCTGTTTTTGATGAAATTTAAACCTTGAAATATTTAACCATTACTGTGTTCCCCCAAATTTACCGTTAGGTTTCTTGAACAATTTATTTATTACAGTCTTACGGTGATAAATGTGATAGGCTTAGCTGCGGAAAGTTTCGGACTAATTTGTTATCGACAATGTATTACTACCATGCTTTCTTATAATTTTAAGGTTCAATTTACCCAGGAAAGCCTCTGTATCGTCTGTATTTTATGTTGCTTACAGTTTTCAGTTATCATTATTTAAATTCTTATTATCTTAGCTTTTTTGTTTTTATCAAAAACAATTCAGAATTAAAAAAAAAATTTTAAAATTGAGAAGTTTCAATTTTTTTCAGATTATTTGTTTTTTATATTTTGATTGTTTCCAAGGGAGCTTTAAGATATAATCGTCCGATCCTTAAAAAGTCCCAAGCTTCTAACTAAAAAAACACCGAACGTTTGGTTATGTGGCAGCTATAGGATATTGTCGGCCGATCCTTATGTACTTTGTAGATCGGTTCAATTGACATAAAATACAATTCATAAAAGGAGCAATCCTTCTTACTTAAAAAACCACCAACGTTATGGAACTTACGATCGTTTATATATATGGAAGCTATAGGATATAGCCGTCCGATTTGTCAAATTTTTTAGTATATAGTTATAATATTTTCATAGATTTTTGCTGAAAGTTTTATAGCTATAGGACCTCTACAAGTATTTATGGCCGCGGCTCCATACAAGTGGATCCAATGTGCACTGGGCTTCTACACTTCGTCATCTTTAAGCATGGGCATGGTTGATAGCATTTGTGATTTTTTCTTCATATAAACAGATTTGTATAGCTAAACAAATGAAGTGTTCAACGCAAGGGTGAGCTTAATTGTATTCAGAGTCGGCTGGATTCCACCGCAGAGCTCTGCAGCTTTTCGAAGAGCGCAGTTTTAGTAAAATTGTAGATTATTAAAAACACATAATATGTTCGAAGCAATCTTCTTAAACGGTATTTTTATTAAAGCAAGGAACTCCTAGTGGTTTCATCTCTTTGTTCACAATTTTCCAGCGAAAGTTCATGCTTAGTTTGATTCTGTCTGCCTACAATTCCCGCTTCCCGAAACCATATGTATGTGCAAAATGCACATACGGAAAAAACGTAGGGAAGTATTCCTATTTGCTGTTGTCGAAACCCTTTACGATCGTAGAGAACCGTGTCTCCAGGTGACCAAAGGCATTATCCATAGACAGGCTATAACTAACACTGGCTTACAAATTTATGTCGATTAAATCCTCCAGAGATCAAAGCTTGATTTTCCGGTGCAGATCGACTGCCTGATTCAAAAAACTAGACTCAAAATTGTTTTTAAGTGTAAAAAACGCTTTTCACCAATTTTAAGCCAATTTGTTTTTATCTCCAGTTCTGCCTAACCGATTTCGATAACTTATATTGCTTAAAACAGATAATTTTCCATTTTTCCCATACATGTTATAAGTATAAGTAAGTTATAAATCAATTCTTAAAAAATACACGCCTGAAAACCGAAAATAAATTTATAACTTTATCTTGAAGATGGAACACGAATCTAACAAGATATTAACCTTAACAGTCTGCCGGTAAAACTATTTCCTACGTGTGAGTCGAGAAGGTTAACCTCAACCTGCTTTTTATTATTATGTAAAGAAAATATAAAAAGATACAAAATGTCTGGCTTTGTCGGCTTTTTCTGTTTTTTCCTACGACGTCACTTTTTTCTCTGCTTATGCTGAATTCCTCCTTCTAGAACTGCCCATTCTTCCATCATTAAAATAATCCATAACGCGTTCTATACATTTCTGCTGCTGCTTTACTGCTCTACTGCTTTCTGATTTTCGGCTGATGTACTGCTTATCCTGCTGCTTCTCTGCTGATATACTGCTTATCCTGCTGCTTCTCTGCTTATGTTACTTCACAATCTTACATTAGTATTTTTCAAGCGGCTGTAAAACATATGATAAATGCTATTTGGATATGTCAACAGAGACAACAGGGGCTAAGTCTAGCAATTTGTTAAAACTTTGTCGAATTCTAACATCTATATTAGAATAACTATCCTTATAATATAGTGTATGGGAAAGTTGCAGAATGATCTATTTCTAATAATATAAACTATCGAAGACCGTAATCGGTTAAGCAGAACTGGAGATAAAAAATAAAATTGGCATAAAAACAGGTAAAGGGCGTTATTTACACTGTTTACACTGTTGGTACCACAACAAACATTTTAAGTCTAGTTTTTTGAATCAGGGAGTCGATCTGCGTCGGAAAATCAAGGTTTGATCTCTAGAGGATTTCATCAATTTAAATTTTTAAGCCAAAATAATTGTCTTCTGTCAAATGGATATGTAAAAACTTAGTGAGTTTTTAGAATAACAAAATGTATAATCAGATCGGGAATTCGACCTTGAATCCAACGACCAACGTTGATTTAAGATAATCTGTAACTTCAAAAATTGATTTTAAAATAAAAATTTCTTATCGATAGCCGACCATGGCGAAAAGCAACCCTGGTAACTGTGGTCTGTGTCGATGTGGCATCATTGAACATTGTTCACACATTTTACTTGATTCTACCATTTAAATATGCACTTACCAATGGCTCCAAAGCATTTACGAAATCTGATGCACTCAATTCCCTTGACGTCCTTTGAGATTCTCTCCTGGGTCAGAAAATTGGTTGGCAAGTAGTATATATAGATTTGAACACCCCATAGAGAAAGAAAGAGCACGGCTATCGCAATTCTTTCCTTCAAAGGGATAGCCAGTGGTGAGTTCTTTTTACAAAGCTGTATCTAAGATATTGAACGCACTTCGTTCTAAACGAACGCATAAGGAAAGGAAGAACAAGACAAACTTTAGACAAAACGGAAACACGCCGAGTTGGTTGCTATACGTACATAGCTTAAGTTATGCATTAAAAGTATGAAATAAATCCAATCAGAACTAAAAGGGATTGCTCGAGACTCCGAAACTGGTTTTAGTTACGTACTAATATTATCCGTTTGGATTAGGCTTAAAAACTTACCGTGACGATCCAGATCTGATTAAACACAGATATCCGATAGCATACTTGCTTTAACAGGAGTGCCACTAAAATCGCGGGCTGATTGCCTCAATGTCCTAATAATTGCCTAGCAGTTCACTGTGGTCGGGCTTGTATGGGAGCCGTGACCATAAATACTTCTAGAGGGGCTATCGCTTTGAAACTTGTACCAAAAATCTAGTAAAATGTTAAAAATATATAGGGCAAGAATTGGCCAGATCATACCACTATATAGGTAGGAATAATCGGGAAAAAAATGAAAGTTTACAAATTGAGGTTAGGTTACCGCTCGGCAACTTTCGGCACTTGAATTAACCATTCTCATATTCTTAAAATGCTTAAGAATATTATACACAAAGATTTTTTTGTGCCGAAGAATGCCATCACAACTCAAACTCTAACCAAACACAGAAAAGACAAACCAAGAGAGTTCACAATTATGTACAAAATACAATATTGATTTACACAAAACATACTACATACAATACTTTATATATTTTGTTGAAAAATGGAAGTTAACACCTTTATTTAAATTATTAAGCACTTTCATTGCACAAAAACTTGTTTTAAGGAGAGCTTCCCTTGAAAGTTGCTTACGCTAAAGTGCCCAGTGAATATCATGCTCTCTCTTTCGATGCTATTCTTGAAGAGGACAGATAGAGCAAAACAAAAAAATGAATAAATTCAAATAGCTAGACCAATTATAAATAAGAATTGGTACATTTAAAGTGAAAATTTTGACTTTGGTTTTAGCAATTTGAAAACGATCTCCCCTTGTCAAGGCAGTCGAATATTTTTAGAAAAGCTTGACTATCATTTTATCCAGTTAAAAAAACAAATACAAAATCCCTGGAATAATGGTATAGCGCGTATGGTTCATCACCAAATAAAGATGCAGATTAGCACAGTTACCTTTGTTAAGGAAAAATGCGGCCCAATGCTGTTATTTTTTTGCTGCCTAAGCTAAGCAAAAAATAAAAGGCCTTAATATATTATTTTTAATAAAAAACCTATTCCTCATTCGCACTACGCCATGTGTACCATCAGCGGTACTAGGTTTAGAAATTCGGAACGAGCTAGTCGGCACGACTGGAGTATTCGCTGATAAGTAATTTAAAATGAGTGAGCCCGCGGTTTCGTTGCGTTAAGGATTGACGAAACATTAATTTTAAGAACTTAACATATTTATTGTTCAAGGGGGCTGGCTTAAGGGTGGCAGGGGCGCTTGAACTTTTTTTTTCATTTTTATCATTTTTCAAGATTTATACATGATTTTTATATTTTTACATTGCAGAAGGATTTTAACAACCAAATTCTTGACATAATATCGGACATAGACATAAATATAAAAGCGCAAGAAAAAATAACTCAGCTAAAAGAGCAAGAACTGGAACTCATAAAAAAACAAAACGAGCTGGCAAACCAAATTCATCAGCAACAAATCTTAGCTCAGCAGCTAAGTGCTCAAAACAGATTTAAACAAAGTCAACAAAGTCAAAGTGGAACCCTCGACCCACAAAGCCACCACCAAACTGAGCGCGATTTATCAGCCCCGATATTTAATCAAAAGAATACCGTTGTCAGAGTAAGTATCATCTGCAATACATCGTACTTTTGCCTGCCTACGCAGGCAATTTCTACTTCTACGTTTTTACTTATTTTTAAGCTCTAGAAAACTGGGTAATTGTCTAGTAGTGTTCATTTTTTAAAGGCAAACACCAAAAACTAATTACAGGCGCGATGAATAATTAAACTAAATCCAATCAAATTTAAAATTTTGACCTGATTGTTTTATGGCGTACACATTACAAAGGAAGAAAACGAAAGTTTTAGGTCATTAGCTTTTAAACTAAGCTTGCAAGCGGACTCAACTCGTTGCATATATATCCACTCGTTACTTAATAGATCAACTCGATACTTAATAGATGGGAAATTTCTGCTTTAATGCTTTACAACTTCTAGCCAGTTTTATAATAACCTCTGCAAGGGTTTCTCTTGGCGGTAGCTTGTAGTATTTACAAAGTTTTTAGTTTTAGTTTTAGTTTTAGTCATTCAAAATGAAAAGCAAAATTAAACTAGATTCCTAATAAACAAGCGTTTCAGCTCCAAATTCAGCACCGCACCGCCTGTAGCTTCGTTTTCGTCTTCACGTTCACCTCCGCTAGCTCCGTGAACGCAGAACATTCAACCTATTTGGGTGCGCGAAGAGTATATACAACCGCGTCTGGTAGCACATGACAGTTCAAATGAGTGAGATGTGCTCTGTTTAGAGCAAAGTTTCTATAATTAGTGCTTTTGAGAAAATTTTGTGTGCTCACATTACGCACTATACACATAATGTATATGGCTTTTATATGTGGGCACATATAAATCTGTATGCGGAGAAGCGTAAATTATTTTTTTGATTTCTGTGTGTGCTTATAAAATTTAATGGATACGGACACCTTTAAATTGCCTTATTTTTGAATAATATTTCAAGTTGAAACGCATTGTGTTATTACAATTAAAATGAATTGCATAGTAGAGAAAAAAAGGGGCTTCCGACCAAGTGATCTTGTTGATAATAGAAATCGTCAACTCTTATTAAGGCTCAGTAAACAGCTGTGGCAGAAAAACAATGTACTGTAATTCCTTTCAATATTTTTGTGTTTTAAAACGTTTTTTTATTTTCTCTTTATTTAACGTATAATGTAAAATCAGATACACTGTCTTTCTATTTGCATAAATTGCATGCCACATGAGGTTAGGTATAGATTAATTTTTAATTATTTAGGAAACCTCAAATGTATCAAAGACGGTTGATTTGCGCAAAATATTCACTCCTGCGACGGATTCCAGTGAAATTTTACCGAAAAATCGTAAGTAATAAAAATAAATAAAAAAGGTGATACGTAAAAGTTGTCTTTGACAATCATTATATGGGCACCCTTATAACATATACTAATAAACGCTTCCTTCAGTTGTTTTTATGCTAAGCTTAGGAGGCGTTCCTAGCTTGCTAAAAAAAGCTTTCAATGCCTTATCAAATAAAAGTTGGTTACGTATCGCCTTTAAATTTAAATTCTAGCGAAAAATATTTTATATTCAATCTTAAATAGGAAAGCTTTATGCCTCGTCTGCATTTTATTCTCCATCACTACACCCTACTGTGGAAGACCAAGTTGAGCTAGCGCGAAGAATATCACATTCATTAAGTGATATCAGTAACCAAACCTCTAAGGGTCAGTCAATGTATGTCAATCGCAAGAATCGCTCAGACAAATGGGTTCATGAAGGTAGATCTCAAGGTAATGTTCTTATTAAATGGTTTTTATTGTTATCTTTAATATATCCGGTTCTCACAATTCTGTTTGCTGTTATAATGATTAAAGAAGAAAAAAAACTACTTTTTGCACACCCATTTTAACTTAAATGACGGCAAGGTACTGTGTACCAGGGCCATATTTTCCGAAGCTTGTGGGAATTTTTTAAGGAAATTGCTTAAAATATAACATTTATATAAATACATACTAATCTTATTTAACAGCTGTTACTCCTCAAATTTATTCGTTGTATTTGTAGATCAAGGAAACGTTGCACTCGGTCCGGGTTAGGTACATAAATGTACAGAAATCCGTTTGAAAAAAAATGAAAATATTTTAATACCCTTAATAATTTGGCATATTCGGCTAGGGATGGGAGAAAGCGCGTTTAGGTTTAGTTTGGCATCGATTTCCTACTCAATATTTGGCGCACCCCCTCACTATCGTGCGTAACTCGAAACTGCTTTATGGCAGGGCATTAACCAACACATTTAAAAAATATCACTGACACAACTAAAGCATTCAAAGTAGAATCTGGGAAAATACCTAGTGTGTAATTTAATTTTTATACCCTTGCAGAGGGTATTATAATTTCAGTCAGAAGTTTGCAACGCAGTGAAGGAGACATCTCTGACCCTATAAAGTATATATATTCTTGATCAGCATCACTAGGCGAGTCGATCTAGCCCCTGTTCGTCCGTTTATATGCAAACTAGTCTCTCAGTTTTAAAGCTATCTGCATGAAACTTTCCCAAAAGTTGTCTTTCTATTGCAGGTAGTATATAAGTCGGAACGAGCCGGATCGGACGACTATAGCATATAGCTCACAAAGGAACAATCGAAAAAATAAATGAAAAAATTATAACTTTGCTGTTTTTGAATTTTTTGTTTAGTTCTTCGACATTTACTAATGGTAAAATATTTCCGATTTAAATTTCATCAAAATCGGACGACTTTAGCATATAGCTCCCATAGGAACAATCGGAAAAATAAATGAAAAAAATTATAACTTTGCTGTTTTTTAATTTTTTGTTTAGCATATAGCTCCTATAGGAACAATTGTTGCCGTACACTTATGCCTTTTCAGCTTAGATGCAGCTTTAGTTGTTAAATCATTAAAATTTTGATTTATTTGTGTATATGCTTTAAAACAAAAAAGGAAGCAAACTTCGGCAAGCCGAAGTTCATATACCCTTGCAGCTATTTCAAAAACTAAATACTCTTGAAAGCGTTAAAATTATGATTTACTTGCGTGTATGTTTAAAAACATTGAAGCTATGATGATTTGCAGCTTATTTATTAGATAATTATTTTATATATTTTTATTATTTCTATGGGAGCTATATGATATAGTCGTCCGATTTTGATGAAATTTAAAACGTAATTCTAAATTATTTAACCATTAAAAAACAGCAAAGTTAAAATTTTTTTTATTTATTTTTCCGATGGTTCCTATGGGAGCTATATGCTATAGTCGTCCGATCCGTCTCATTCCGACTTATATACTACCTGCAATAAAAAGACAACTTTTGGGAAAGTTTCATGCAAATAGCTTTAAAACTGAGAGACTAGTTTGCATATAAACGGACGAACAGGGGCTAGATCGACTCGCCTAGTGATGCTGATCAAGAATATATATACTTTATAGGGTCGGAGATGTCTCCTTTACTGCGTTGCAAACTTCTGACTGAAATTATAATACCCTCTGCAAGGGTTGAAAAAGGTATGATGATTTTTAGTTAAATTGTTCGATCGTTCCAATGATAGCTATATGATATCGTTTTGCGATTTTAATTAATTAATTAAAATCGTACATCTGAACTATAAAACTGTTGCTATTTTCAAAAGAATATTAAAAAATATTTAATTTTTTTTAAGCCGAAATTCATATACCCTTGCAGATTTTGGAAAAATTACATTTTCTTGAAAGCTTTGAAATTGTGAACATTAAAGCTATGATGACTTGCAGCTCAATTATGAGATTGTTCCTATGACAGCTATATGATATCATTTTCCGATTTTAATAAAATTAAAAGCGTCATTCTGAGCTGTCAAATTATTAATAAGTTAAAAAAATTTGTAAGAAAAATTCAAAATAGAATAATTACCTATATCTCAAATTTTTGTTTTATATTTTTTTTTATTTTTTCTATAGGAGCTATACCGTAATTCTGAAATAATTAACCGTTACCTATATATCGAAGAGCTAAAAAAACAAAATAAAAACAGCAAAGTTATAATTTGTTTTTTTATTTTTCCGATTGTTCCTATAGGAGCTATCCGAGCCGGATCGGACGACTTTAGCAAACTCATATATCTCCTGTTCCAACATCTTACATTGCAACTTTAACTTTATTAGCAATCTGAGGACTAACAGTATAACTTTTAATCGAAGCTACATTTAGTACTAAAAGTACAGATAACCATTTCCTATAATAACTAAAGAAGTCGAAGCCGTTGGAATCTTATCAGATTAAAACATTCAGATGTGAGAACCTGATATTAAGGGATAACAATATTTATATTTTTCTAACTTTGGGCACTTTTTAAATAGAACAAAATGTTAACTTAATAAATAAACGCAATTTTTACTTCTTTCTTTAATATTATCAACATAAAATTAGATACAGTAAGCACCTGAGTTCTTTTTTTATGTACATATACAATCATTTACATATTTAGGAAATGAGTGCACAAATGACGCTATAAATCCATGTAAAGAGAATTCTGAAACAAATTCCACATTGGAAATTAAAAATTTGGAAAAAATACCGCTAAAGCTCATAATGAACCCAAACGGAAAAGTCCGTGATTATAATTCGCTCAAAGAATTAATTAACGTTGAAACTGGGCTTTTATCGCCTGACAACTGCGCTGAACTAATAACTGCACTTCAACTTCATCAAGGACGAGGTAACTTATTAAAATTTAAATGTAAGCTGAATATAAAACTCAATATTATACAATTTTAATTGAGAAAATGAAAGGTATATTTTTATTTTATATTAAATGAAACATGGCACACTTTTAAGGAGGTAGAAAACTAGTGACTTCGTACAGGGCGGACTACCAATTTACCTTAACTTGTTTCCTTGAACTATATATGAGAAAAATGTTGCATAAATATTTGTATATGTAATCTTTTATTTAACTGATAACAGAAGTTGTAGTTGTTCTTAGAGATTATGGAATATATGACTTTTAATATTTAACTATTTCGCAGCCCTCAAATTAAAAAAAACTACGTGAGCACTAATATCTAATTAAAAATTTCAATATGATTCTTTTCAATCTGTTTACGATCAAGTGACATAAGGAGTTGGCTTAATTATATAGTGCCCGCTGTACGCTGTCCAAATGCATAGCTCTGATGAACTGTCTAAAAACCACGTCCCACAAAACACCATCCACCATCCATAAGGTTTAGCCGTAGTTCAAATTTCCCAGATCCTAGATGGCGGAATTAACGTTTCTAACCTCATGATTGTAGCCGGTATTTAACCGATGTTTTTTTTTTGGAACTATAAAGTCTTGGGCGAAAGATCTTGAATTAACTGGCGATTATCTTAGTCTCAGTGAACCTGAGGAGGTTACCGCTCATCCAAGAGCAATTTGTGCACAGATAATATGTAAGCCATTATTTAAAAGTGCAGATAACCATTTCACCACTAATCCGTAGCATTTAAAAAACAAAAGCATGTGGGCGAATGATTAATACAGTGTGAACATTGTGTAGTGCTGGTTAATATCGGCCTGTCGGAAAATGTCCTAGATAGAGTGAACATTATGTAGTGCTGGTTAATATATCGGTCCAATACTGTGGGATCTTAGTTCAAGAGCTGAGGCCATTTATGGCTTCGTATGCGTTGCTAAATCTGGTCCCGTTGCTTCTTGGATTGAGTTGGTGACGGACAAATTTTGGCGAGACACTATGATTTAATATGAAGATAAAGAAGTCTACGAAGACGCATATTATCTCTTTGAGCCGATACTGGTGCGAGAGAATGTAGCCGATGAATCGCGAGGGCAGCCTGGATGGGCTCAGTAAGACTGGCCTATAATAGACGAACTCACGTTCTTTCCAATGTACGTTATTTTACTCACTGAGCCCAATTTGGTTTGCCAGCTCAAGGAGAGAGAGCGAGAGGCAATTAGCTTGCGAACACTTTTCGTCGAGACCTTTTCTTTTAAAACAGAGCTTTAGCTCTTGACGGGGTAAAATTAACGTGACGATCGAACCTTCAACACCAAATTACTTTTGTAATAGGCACGCCGCTTTGAAATCTTATCCGTAATTATTTTACTTAAATAAATTATATCAAGGAAACGAAAATAGGCCTTAAAAATTTCTTTTAACAATACACAATACGTATCCGTGGCCTTAGTCGTTTGGAAGTTGTGGGCGTTTGAAATCTATATTTTTAGCCGTTTTCCCGGTAAACTAGCGGGTTTTCCAAAGAGTGGTAGAGCACAAGTTTTCAGCTTGAGCTGCTTAAAACAGTAAAATTGGTTTTAGGACCAAGACTTCGCTGTATTAAAGCGAAACAAACGAACGAAGGACATTGCAAAAATGCTGTCTCCAATCTTTCGCTTAGCTCTAGCTGGATCTTCTTGATGCTCATCAAAGTATTGTTCATGAGCTGATTGATGTGGCGAACTGCCGGCTTCTTCTCTATACACGATGAGATCAGTCCGTCTATCAAATTTGCCAAGTCAAGCACTAGCTCGACTGGGGGCTTTTGGCACTTAGTCTTCTTGGCCTGCTTATCGGGGCTTGTAGGAGCATCCCTGCTCCTTTTCCGCGTCTCGCTTTCGCTCAAATGGGAACGCCTTAGGCCGTGGCGTCCATCAGTAGGCCTCGTTTTTGCGCCTCTTCCCGCTAACCCTGTCTTCGACTCCTTGTGTGTTAATGCGGTACGAAACAGATCGCCCGGTGGCCGAGAAATTTCCTTCCGGCGCCCGATGGGGGTTTCGCCGCCCTGTTCGGTCCCCAGAGCCCTTTTTCTGGTTCCGTATCTTATCAGATGGGTGAAACTTAACAGCTTAATAGCTGAACAAGTTTGTCTGAATAGCTATTGTGTGTCCGTAGGTGTTGTAGGTGCTAGGCCGAAGGTTTTTTTAATCAACTTTATTTAGTATAAGTTAAGTGAAAATATAAACATAATATTTACAGCGGTATAAAAGAAATCGAGTAAAGGTGTATAGGTGAGTAGAAGGGGTGGGTAATTGGGAGAGTCGCGAAAGAAGATCCTGAATCCCTGCGGTACTACCGCAAGACATTGCTTCGCAGGGTCAGGGTGAGCACTGTGTTGCAGCTCTCCCATGTGCTTCTAGCCGCCTTTCGTGCTGTTGCCGCTCTGTCACCTAAGTCGCTTCATGACCACCGATGCGAAGTTGCCGATCCGGTCCCAAAACCTTTAGCCCGAAATCAACTGGTACCCTTGAATCGTTGGGTTCCCGATATCCTCAAGAAGGCCTTCTCGGTCGCGGTCGAACCGTGGGCAAGTAAAAATTAATTGCTCAGCTGTTTTCTCGACGCCGAAGATAGGGCAGTTGTGGTCGTTTTCTTTTCCCTGTTTTGCCTCCATTTGTTTACGTATGTATGATCCTAAAGGCCAAGAGTCCTTTCGTCGACTTTTGGCAGCGTCTCTGCCACCTTTCCATCATCCTTCCGCGGGCGTTAGCCTGTTCGCCTCTAAGATCAGGTGCACAGTCCTCCCAACATCTTGAGCACAAAGTTGATCTCCTTTGCCTCAATTGCCAGCAAATCTACAGGGACCCTGCCAGCTATGACGTGGTCTGCGTCATCCGATATCGTTGGAAGCCAGAGCAAACTCTAAGCGTACAAAACCTGTCCATAGATTTCAGAACCTTCATGTACGTCTGACTACCAGCAGCGTCGGCCCACCGTGCCGATTTAAAGGCATTCCTGATGTCTAGTGTCACGGCAAAGCAGTACTCCTTACGGTCTCCCTGCTGCCATCTTACTCCTTCAATTTGCCACCGAAGCAATGTCCTTCGCCGTCGCGAGTGCATCGACCGTGGATCTCGCTTTCGTAAAGCGAAACAGCATTGGTGAGAGGTCTCGCGCAGCGGATACGGCTTTGTGCATTCTGTGCCGATGAAGATCCCGAACGCCCTTTCATCAAGCATACCGGCCTGTAGGTCAACGGATCCTCCGGTGGATTGTTCAGCTTAAGTGGCAGAACCAACTTCTGGGTCTTCCATCGCTTTCCGTGAGGCACTGGTTGAAGGCGCTGGCGAATGCTTTAGGGTGCTTAATCGTTGCCATCTTAACCGCAATGTCTGGAATTCCAACAGGTCCTCGTGCTTTACCTGACGGCATATCCATAGCGACCTTTCGGGTTTCTGCCCAGGCATTAAAGTCTCCTGCGATGACCACGTTTTGCATTTCCCTTCCATCGTGCAACAACTTGTCCAGGACCGCTGAGTATTCTTGGAGAGAAAAGCGTGGTGGTACGTAGCAATTATAGATTCACAGGTTGCTGACTTCCGCCCGGTACTCACGTTTTTAGGTGGGCTTGATCCATACGTCAGAATCGCAGCAGACTTTGTCGCGTGCAGTATATAGTCTGTACCGGGTATTTTCCTGTTGGGTTCGCTGATAAGCGTTACGTCCACCTGGGTATCCCGCAGGGTCTAACTTAGCAGATCTTGCGCAGCCTCGCTTTTACTTCGCTGGTGGTTTGTTGCTCATAAGGAATCTCCTGCTGCCTGCTATGTGCTACGCTTCTCTTAGCGCTGATAGCCTCTTGTGATCAGCTCGCTACTTTTTGTCCGGGTTGCCCGCACTTTAGAAAGCAGTCTAAAGTCTAGCTTTAGGCTCTTGCACCGAGCCGCTATGTGACCGAACTGCAGGCACTTAAAGCACCTAGGCTTCGAATGGCTCTCCTTGATCCTGCATACAGTCCATCCCAACTTTAACTTGTTCTTGGCAATGAGCGCTTTAAGGCAGGTCAAAGGCTTCTAACTTTCACTGTGCTCGCCGCTACTGATCCACCAGCGCCTTTGACAGGTCCGTTACCAATGGGTCCAAGTCGCTGACCGCCAGGAATTGCATTATCGAATCCTCTGATAGGGTTCGCACAGCCGCTGCACCGTACATAACTGCTGCTTAGTCCTGCTTCATCAGCGCCGCGCTCTTGTCGCCATCTCTGTCGAGCTCAAGCAGAAGGTTGCCGCTTGCGGTGCGGCGAAACATATGTACGCTCTTGCTCAGATCTTGCAGCTGACCATCGCTGCGCCTGGTGACCATTGCCAAGACTTCGCTGAGGTTTTTCCTTTCGCCTCGACAACTACGGCATCGGGCCGCCGTGTATTGCGGGCTTCTTTTCTTTGCTCGGCCCTATTCCACTCGGGGGATTTGTTGGGGCTCGGTTCCGCTGCTGGCGAGTGCCGGTGTTCCTGTGTGTGTGTAGACACAAACATTTGCATAATCGATCCTCTGCCGCTGCTCGGCCGCAGCTTGTCATTTATCGCTGCAATAGTCACACATCAAAACAATGAGCAGCTGTTCTGTAGCGCGTACTTGCGTCGCCAAGTATAAACGGAATTCTGCTTCATTGCGTCTATATATATTTTCTTTTATATTTAATTTTATTTATTCAATCTTCTCTCGACTAACAATAAGTATTCAAATCTTAACTTAACTATGGTATTTACCTTACTTAAATGTCCCTAGTTGGGGAGGGGAATAGGTCGTTTCACCAAAAACTAATACGGGTATGACATTACATTGTTCGTCTCATTCATTGACAGATTTATTGAAGCTCAGAGAAAGAGACAACTGTATGGGTACTACTTGAGATTTTTTGGTAATAAGTTCAGGGTCACACTGCCTTTTTAACGTTTAATTCAAAACTTTATTGTTTGGTTTATTATATTGTGTTTATCCCGCTGACTTTAACGTTTAAATGGTTTCAGTTTTTACACCCTTGCAGAGGGTATTATAATTTCAGTCAGAAGTTTGCAACGCAGTGAAGGAGACATCTCCGACCCTATAAAGTATATATATTCTTGATCAGCATGACTAGTAGAGTCGATCTAGCCATGTCCGTCTGTCCGTCCATCTGTCCGTCTGTCCGTCTGTCAGTCTGTCCGTCTGTCCGTCCGTTTATATGCAAACTAGTCTCTCAGTTTTAAAGCTATCTGCATGAAACTTTCCCAAAAGTTGTATTTCTATTGCAGGTAGTATATAAGTCGGAATGAGCCGGATCGGACGACTATAGCATATAGCTCCCATAGGAACAATCGGAAAAATAAATGAAAAAAATTATAACTTTGCTGTTTTTTAATTTTTTGTTTAGTCCTTCGACACTTAGTAATGGTTTAATATTTTCGATTTACGGTTTAAATTATATCAAAATCGGACGACTATAGCATATAGCTTCCATAGGAACAATCGGAAAAATAAATGAAAAAAATTATAACTTTTCTGTTTTTTAATTTTTTGTTCAGTTCTTCGACATATGGCAATGTTTAATTATTTCAGAATTATGGTTTAAATTATATCAAAATCGGACGACTATAGCATATAGCTTCCATAGGAACAATCGGAAAAATAAATGAAAAAAATTATAACTTTTCTGTTTTTTAATTTTTTGTTCAGTTCTTCGACATATAGCAATGGTTAAATATTTCAGAATTATGGTTTAGATTTTATCAAAATCGGACGTCTATATCATATAGCTCCCATAGAAATAATAAAAATATATAAAATAATTGAGCTGCTAATCTTCATAGCTTCAATGTTTTTAAACATATACGCAGTAAATCCTAATTTTAATGTGTTCAAAAATTCTTGCAATATCTGCAAGGGTATATGAACTTCGGCTTGCCGAAGTTTGCTTTCTTTCTTGTTAGATACAATTTTGCACATTGTATGTAATGTAGCGGCCCGGTGGTATTTCATTGAATAGTATTTTTACATCAAAATCCGGTTCATATTTTTTACTATCGGGTATCGGTTTTGACAATTTTCTTCATTCATTGCTTATTGGAATAGTCATAGGTTGTCTTGCTAGCACTACATGAAGCCAACAATGTAGTGTCATAACTCCATAAATAAATCACTCTCTCCACCATTTTTATACCCAAGCGGCCAAATAAAAAATGAGTCATGGAGTGCTCCGATAACAGCCGATCGGAACAGATGTGGCTCGTCAAAACATAAACAAAGTCAACAAGTCAACCATCTTTGATTTTGTTATCGGAAGGTTCAGGATCAGGATTATCAGACATTTGAAAATTCCTAACGGATTTTCAGGGATGGACTGTGTGGAAAGAGGGTTCCGTCAAAAAAACATCGGTTAACTAAAATAAGTCTTAAAAAAGTCCGTCATAGTCTGTTAAATTTGAACGGCGGACTAACTGTGGTATTTTTGGAACGGCAAAACCTAATAAACCTTCCGTTTGACGGATGGTGAATGGTGGATTTTTCTCTGTAAGGAGGCGATATTAGACTGTCGTAGCTTACGCTGAGCTTAGTAAAGCGATTGGTTCTGAAAAAGGATTGGGAGCTTAACGCTTCCACAACAGACTTTTTCAAAAATTTTGAAATGATTCTTATTTGTTACATAATAACTAGTTCTTAGCGTTTAAAAAACTTTTTTTGTATGTTGTAATGGTGCACCAAAAAACTGATTAGCTCTTAGTATTGTTGTAAACATCAATAATTGGCTTTCGCCCACCTACTTAAAGTGCTTTTAGTGCCACGGCGACCAATAATGGCTCAGGAAACATCAGAAAACTAATTTTTGTGCTAGACTTCCTATAAAATCCTGTCACCGACAGTAGTAGATAAGTAGAGAATATATATAAGCTAAATAGCTCCATGTTATTCAAATGATACTAAAAAAAAAACAAATATTTTCAATAAATTTGGTTCTAATAGTTTTTATGAAAAATAGCCTGGCTTGGCTTTGTTGGTTGCCCAACACCAGGAACAGGGAGAAAGAAAAGCAAGCCTGCATTTAAATTATTGGCTAAAGAAATTTATTAGTTCCCATTATTTAGCTAGGATGCATTGGCTCACAGGGTTTGATAAAACTAAGACTAAATATTTAGGCTTATGGACCAGGTTCAAAACTTGATTTGAGGACAGTTTTGTTATGTTAATATTATTACAAATGTTATTATACTGGTTTACATTTTTAATTTAAACATTTGCATTGCTTCATTATTGACGCTCCCTCCGCCGCCGCCTCTGCCTCCGCCTCCGCCGCCGCCGCCGCCGCCGCAACCAACGCCTTCAATTGGGGTATAACCAACCGCTAACGACATATATGTAGGTGCCGAACTTTTTGCGAAGCGCCGCAGAAAGGCCGACAATTGGATAGTCGATGAGACCCATGCAGGCACTCAAAATCATCCGTCTGGTATTCCAGATTATCAGCAGTATCATCAAAAGCCGGCAATTTCACCAAACATTTTGCCCGCATATTCTGACGCGGGTAAACATCGAGTTCAACTGAATATACATCAAAATCAGTTGATCGAGAAGTATTCAAAGCCCGGACTCCAGGTCGTTCAGTCTCCTTGGGAAGCAGCTTTACAAACTGGTTCAGCAAGCTCTGCGTTTTTGGAGGATAACAAAGGTCAATGTTTTTCGCCAACCGTGTCACCAACTCCGTATTTCCATGGCGGTAATATCGATTTAAGGGATGCTGTGGAGTCTACGCATAATAATGCTCAGAATCAATATACAAATGTATGCTTTATCCAATTGTTGTACAAAACTAACAGTTTCTTCTCACAGGATAATGCTTCTTCACCGCAATCAACCAACGTACGCTCGAACCCGCAAAGAGATCTTGCTTATACACCATGCGTTGCCCAGGGCTGGGGAGGTCGTAATGTGGAACTACCTAAAGGTTAGTATCGAGCTCATTGACCAGTTCATGATTATTTACAAACTCTATAAATGATTATATATTCAAACAGCTCTTAAAGTGTCCTGGCTTAAAACTTGTTGACAACTATTCGATTAAGGGAATAATGTATTGATTAATGAACAATGTTGGCTTAATTAGAATATAAGTCCTTCACTATCATTAAGAAATATAGGCTATATATACGGGTTATACTAGTATATAGTACAAGGACATTATTCAAGGTGTTGGCCACCGTTTGATTTGACTTTCTTTGGCTTTTTGATTTGGCAAAAGAACTCTTTATATTTTGAGCTCAAGAACACATAAAGACAATTTTGAATACCTTGATCTGTAGTAAAGCCTTTGCCAATAAGGAAACTCAGCATCGTTCTAAAGAAATGGTAATCAGAAGGGGCCATGTCTAAGCTTACTGCGGATGAGTTCCAACTTTTATGAAAAACAGTTTTATTGTTGGCTTAAAAACCCATTTTTTGACCAGTAGCAACCTGACTTGTATGAATCCTGCTGCCTTACACGTTCGGAATTTGTTGATTGAGACACTTGAACTTTCGTAATTAAATGTGTACGCCAATTTCCGATCTGAGCTAACAATCTTGCGAGTATTTCGCCCATAGTACTATCACCTTTTTCTTCAGAGTTTCTTTTTTGCCTTTAGTGCACATGTCCGCCTACCTCAAGCGCCCAGAGATTCTTCTTCCTCCTCCCGGTCGTTACCGAGCGTGCATTTGGGAACACGCTCTGTGAAAGGCGCAGGAAGGCAAGCGCCGAATTAGTATTTTAGTTTCAGAGTTGGCGCCGAGTTGGTATTTAATTGGCGGATCATGTTTTGCAGTGTGCCTTGGCTTACGCATTTTGGCTTATTTAAGGGGGTCTTCTAGTCTCGAGGCGAGAAAATGGGTGGCTAAGTTTTTTCATTATTTAAAGATAGTTCTTTTTGGACTTGTACATTTTGTTTTTAAACTTGAAAAAAGTCTACTACGTTTTCCACAGGCAGATTTTTTTAAATTGCAATTGGCAAAATTTATGCAACTACTCAAATCGGACTAGTTGTTGTAAAAAAGTCTTACTCAGCAGCTAATAAACACAACTGTCGTGAAAACGCATTTAAAGGTAAATTACGGTATATAACTTGAATGAAATAGGTACCTTCGGGTATCTGAAAACATTATTTGTACAAAATCCTTTTTGCAGCGTATTTCCAGACACATATAGATCAAAATAAGAAAAAAAAAATCGAAATCGAACGACGCTATAGATATTTTAATTTTGTGTGCCCTTTTTTGTATGGGCTCGACCGTGTGCATTCTTTGAAACATCTAAATTTCGATATATATGCGTTTATGGTTAAAAACATTGAAGCTAGGTTAATTATTCGATCGATTCTATGGAAGCTATACGATATCCTTTTCTGATTTGAATAAAATTAAAAGAGTAATTCTAAAGTATTTAACCATTACTATAACTAAACAAGAAAGGAAGCAAACTTCGGCAAGCCGAAGTTCATAAACCCTTGCATCTATTGCTATAATATTCTTTAAAGCATTAAAATTAGGATTTACTTGCGTGTATGTTTAATAGCATTGAAGCTATGATGATTTGCAGCTCAATTATTTGAGTTTCTATGGCAGCTATATGATATTGTTTTCCAATTTTAATAAAATTAATAGCGTAATTCTGAACTGGCAAATTATTTAATAGTCAAACGGAATTTCCTATGGGAGCTTTATGCTATAGTCGTCCGATCAGGCTCGTTCCGTCTTATATACTACCTGCAATAAAAAGACAAATTTTGGAAAAGTTTCATGCAGATAGCTTTAAAGCTGAGAGACTAGTTTGCGTAGAAACGGACGGACAGACGGACATGGCTAGATCGACTCTCCTAGTGATGCTGATCAAGAATATATATACTTAATAGAGTCGCCTCCTTCACTGCGTTGTAAACTTTTGACTGAAAATATAATACTCTATGTAAGGGTATAAAAAGGCAGAACAATTTTGGTTTCCAATGTTTTGGCCTTTGGACAGCAGTACTCAGGCTACCAAAAAAAATGCTGCTCAAAAATAATTTCTTGAGTTATTTCTGAATTTTTCATAAATTCCAAGTCCGGAACCAATTTGTAAAAAATTAATATCGAAAAATTTCGAAATATCGATTCTAAAAACTTCTAACTAGGTTGTTTTTTCATTCATCGAATATAACTGATGTTTTTATGTTATAAGCGGTTATATTTATATAAATTATATTTAAATTTTTAAAGTATTCTATTAACAATCGTTATAAAAACCCTACATAACCTTTTTTGCATACATTAAACGTAAAATTCAACAATCCTACCGTCAATGTTTGTTTTCGTTTTTACTTAAGTTCTAAAGAACTTTCTGCCTATAGAAGAATATTTTTAAGCGTTTTTGCTTGGGATCCAATCCCGTTAAAATTCTTATTACAATTTTACTTTGGTTTATTTAGTAATTCGAATATTTCAGAGTCTCATTCCCAATATGGCAAAGCAGATGACAGTAACCATAGCTGTATTCATTTATTATATGAAAATAACCTGACCACGAATTTTGCTGTTGATGTACAGAATCGATTACATGAACTTGAAAAATTTCAAAATTACTTTTTAAGACACAAATGTCTTGAAATAGAAATGTTACGAAACAAAGAAGATTCTGGCGATTCTTTTCGATACGCTTATCAAAACCCTAGCGATTTTACGCCAAAGCCCGAATTTGAAATATTTAAAAGTGATGACCAAAATGTCAAAAGGGAAACTGATGAAAAAGTTAATGTTCGTGAGTTAATACAATCCTTTGAGCAACATAATACAACGGAATTCAACCAAGTCGGACAAGCCACAACACCTACAGCAAACAATGAAGGCAAGGTTAAAATGTTTGTAAATGTTTCTGTGTCAATATATATGTTTAAAATCGGTTGATTTTGACAGAAATGGTTTTTGGAATATTGCATGTTAAAGAACAAAGAAAAATTTTCGTTCTATAACAACTATTTTTGTGTAACAAGAAGCACCTCTAAAAATTCGTTCAAAAAAATAGTAGCCTCTCATTTTTATATTTTATTAAGAAACAGAGCAGAAACAGGACTATAATCTATGTGGCCATAATGTTAAATTGATACACTATATCTGTGCCAGTCTGGTACCATCTAAAAATGTTACGATTTAATATTGAATAAAAAATCTGAATTAAATTAATTTTTTTTGTTTTTTCTACATTTTTTACAGGATTATATGTTCCAAAAGAACTATCACTTTCAAGCTATGCAGCACCCCCAAAACAGTATGGAGGACCCGAGCAGCCCTTCAACTTACAAAACTACGAATCTACACGCTCTTTACCGACAGCTAACTTTATTTCTAACGAAAATCCAACTACTGGAAGAAATGAATTTCCATTATCAAAACCGTTAAAATCTGGATTTAGTACATTACCACCAAAGCAGCAGCTTTACGCACCAACTAGCTACCAAAGAAAACCAGTTGGGTCCGAAAGCATTGCGCCTCAGGTCAACTTTAACCCCACGCCTTTGTCTTTCGACAAATTGGCTAGGTATGAGCAGCATGACAAAAAAAACTTGACTGGTCCAAACCCACATTATCTTAATGTACAACAAAGTTCGTATGTACGCAATACTTCACCAATACCATTTGGAATTGCTTCCAATGAACAGACGTCCCGATCTCCAAGTTCAATTGGCTCCATGGGTTCCCCCTACTGTCATCTGCCAACAACTGGACCTTCTAAATGTGGACCATTAACGAGCAGCTCGGCTTCTCCAACGTTGAACCAGGGTCAAACCTTTAACAAATGTGCCAGAGGCTGGGGAGCAACCCAAAACAACCAACAGCCCTATCAAAGTACATACTCCTTACCAGTAGCTGGAAACTTACCATACTCTGACTTTTAGAGGATGTTAAAAACTTTAACGATTTGCGACATATTTACATAAAATTGTAACAATAATAATATTCACTGTGTTTGTTTTTTTGGTTCTTTTTTTCAAATAATAATGGTACCACATCGAAAATCTATTGCAATTATTTCTATCTGCCTCTATTAAAATATTTACTTAAGAGTGATATTCGATTGATAAGTACATCATTTGTACATTGTGTGACAATCTGCTGCGATGGTCGCTAAAAGAAAAGAGTATGCATGTACATACTAACCCGTTAACAAAATTAATTGGTGTTTTTTGCGTACATAACTCTTCGGCCAAGTCAAAGAAGATGTTTAGTGTGTCTTTAAGCGTGGTTTTATTTCTGGGGTGCACGTATATGTTTTCTACAAGGATCTTTTATGTTACAAATTACAAATGCCAAGATATTGATTGACAGCTAAACAATACGATATACACTAAAGATCTGCCAAACTGGTCACATTATATCGGCCAGGAAAGCATCGTTAAAAGCAAATAATGTGGAAATTATTTTAATTTATGTATATTTAAAATTGATAGCCAACCTCATCAAGTTACTCTAAAAAGAACATTGTTTTCGAGTTTCACAACTATTACATACCCGTTACCCGTTACTAACTAACACATTTCAAACAAAAAATTTCCTCTCAAAACAATCGGAGCTTAGGTGGCGCCATCTTTTGAACTGCATATCTAACCCTAGAAGCAGATAGCGTGCAGACCCCCACCCCCCGCTAACACTTCTTTTGTTCTGCCTCTTTACTTCAGCGGTCACCGGCAGAGCAGCGGCCGATCAGCGGCCGATCAGCGGCAGAGCCCGAAACACACACAGAGAGTCCAATAGCTAGGGTCTAACGTTTCTCAGAGTGTCGTGCTAGACTTTGTGAGTGCGACCCCGTTTGGAAATACTCTTGCGCTACTTAAGAATACCTAGGGTTTTCATTTAAAATCTCAATTCTCTTGCTTTTATAGCTCTCGAGATCTCGACGTTCATTCAGACAGATAGACAGATGGACATGGCTAGATCGACTAGGCTATTGATACTTAAAATATATATACATTACAGGGTCGGAAACGTTTCCTTCTACCTGTTACATACTTATCAACTTATACATGATAGGAAAAGGGTTGTGTGCTGTGTGAAACTTAATTCACTTTCAAAAAAGTAAAAAAAAACTTGTTGTAATTTACAACAAGTTCCTCAAAAATTGATGTTCAGTCTCCCACTAGCAGGTCGTCCAATAATCCTGTTGTCGGATGGATGTAGTCTTTTAAGTCTACTCATGTTTATAGGTCTGACTAGTGTCAAGGCTAGTCTATTTGTATGTGAAAGAAGTCTTGATCTGTAACGGTTTGCTGTGTTAGTAACAGATGTACATACAGAATAAATTTTGAGATCTCGAAAAATGGTCGTGTTAACCATGCGTCTAAAAATTTTGACTTGGCAAGACTCGATAAGTTTTATGGAAGTGTTTCCCAAAAAAGTATGCCCCAGGAAAAGGTGGGAATTAGTATAGCCTTGAAAATCCGTGCTTTTGCTGTTAACCACGGCCAGGGCGAAGGAGCCACTTATCTTCTTCTGGCTTTCTGGCGGGTAGCAAGCACAAATGTGGCTTCCAGGTGAGCCACCTACCCAAAGTTAGACCAAGGTAATTAACTGTGGCAGCGTGCTTGATGAGTACGCAGTCCATAACGAGTCGATAAGTTGAGACTTGGAGGATGAACAGCGTTTTCCACCGAGAAGTCCATGCTTCAAGTAACGGGTATAAACTTACGATTATAGCACTAGTCACAGTACTCATAGACAACCACTTAATCTTTGAGGTAACGACCCCTTTTATGTTAATGAGCAGCCTACTACTCAAAACTACTCCGTCTTAAAAAACGTGTCTTGAAGCAATTCTAAAAGCAAAATCAAAAGTATCATACCAGCCATAATAAAGATCTCTGAGGATATCAGAGAAGAAAGTCGGCAACAGTCAAGTTACACTGCTAACACTCTAACATTTTAGCAAAGCGTTCAAAACAATTTTTTGCCTGTTGTTTAATGTTTTTGTTAATTTTTAGCTTATATTAATGATTATTATGTAATTATAATGTTTGATTTTCTAAAAATTGTTTTACTTCGTAAGGATGCTCTCTGGCCGGGGTACAGAAGAAATTGGTTAATCACCGAAACACCGGTATAGAGAGTTCCGTTCAATAGGTGAACGAATAGTTTAAAGGGATCACGCCGAAGGTTTCTATTTACGTCAAATGGGAGTAAACGATGTTGTCAGTGCGTCTTGCTTCGTAGTTGAAAATCCAACGGGCTTGACCTTCGGGCGAAGCCAAGCCGGGAATGATACCTTGAAGTCGTCTGAGTCTCTTAATTTGCGTCAGAGGTGAAAATCCACCGGACTGGACCTTTCGAGTGAGGCCAAGCAGGTTACGATCCCTGGAGAGAAGTAGCGAATGACGTTAGCGATGTCAGTGTTCTTTTAGATGAATCCACAAAATCCTCCGGGCTTGACTTTCGGGCGAGGCCAAGCCGAGCGTCCGAGTCTCTGAGTCGGGAAGGGGGTCCACGCGCAGGTCCGGCTACTACGATGGAAAAGGTAAAGAAGGAGTGAGGTTATTGAGAAGAACAGGAAGGGTAAAGCTATAGGGCCAAAAGTTTCCACGTTTAAGCCCGACAATACTACGCCAACGAGGTAAGGAGGTAAAGCTATTGGTCCGAACAGAAAGGGTGTCCACGTTCAGACCCAAAGATGCTGCACCGGTAGGTTTTCTCCGCATGAGTCCGCTACACCGTTTTAAGCGCCTAAAAACCTAACTCTAATAACCTTAGTCTTGATTTGTTTTAAACGACTTGCGTCGATCTTTTCCGAGATCTGTTGACACTGAGACGAGCTTATCAAAATTAGACGAATCCTTTGAGCAAACGTATGTAAATTTATCGATGAATTTATTATTGTTGCTGTATATACTACATAATATGTTTATATGAGATCAGCGATACATTATTTTCATTAGCATGATACCGTAACATCATCCGATAATCGCACAAAACACTGGAGTATATATAATTCTTGAATATTCATAATAGTAATTTATTTAATATGACTATAGGAATTACATTTATTTTTTTTTATTAAATAGAGCGTGTTCTCTTACAATGGGTCCTTTGGAACACGTTGTGATCTAGAACAAAAAGATAATGAACGATTATTATAACAGTTGCAATTGTAATAATAAGGTAATAAGCTAGAAAGCTTCGGTAATCCGAAGTGATTACCCTTGCAGCTAGACCAAATATGTGTTTTTTTATAACTTGAAAATAACATAGTATGTATATGTCATAAAGCGAAAATTTTTAATTTATCTGAAACCATGTGGGTTAAATGAAAAAGAAGAAGATTTGAATTTAAATGTCAGCATTGCGTTGAACCAAAGGAGACAGGATAGTTCTGTTATGCTAGGAGAGCTTCACTTAAACTTGAATCAGATGTGCATGGCGCCGATGGTTGTTCAACTGAGTATAGTTTAAGGAAGCAATGGAACGAAAGAGAATAAAGAGTATGAGAGAGCTGAAAGGTTTGAAAGTCGGTCGGTCTAGAGCACGAAGAGCAGAACAACGCACAGGCGACTTGCAGTGTTATCATAATTTAAAAATGACAGAAAAATAAGGTGCAACTCCATTCCGGTGCAAGCTCGGTCATCTCTGACATCAGAAGTGGGTTCCGCTTCACCACGAGACTCCTCTGACGTTCAATGGTGTACCTCATTGGAAACACAGAACAAAAATTTGCTGGTCCTAATTAATCGATGCAGACAGGAAAAATGGGGACGCAACCCAGCAACAAAGTGACGCTACTAAAGTTCTGCCCAGACGCTGCAAATATAGACGCTGCATGTTTCAGATAACACTCTGGAAGGTGACGTATTTGCAATAGCGCTTAATAACTCTCTGGACGGTGGAGCATCTCAGTTTCTGTCGCAAATCTGCTACATTGGCATAAGGTGGCCAGAATTTCGATAACTCTTTATTCAACGTTACGAAGTTGTTGAGGCGCCGGCCGTGTTGTTAAACACATTCAGCAGTGGCCCAAGAACAGGCGGGTGTTTGTCTGAATATATTAGTAGACAAGAAAATGAAGAGATTGTGGGAGGTATCGGTCGTGCTGGTTATTTACAACAAAACTGGAAATTAAATTACAAAATGTCGAAGCAGGATATCTCGAGGAGGAAGTAACGTAAAAGGGTCATGTCAACCGTAACCTGTGTGGCCAGCTAGGTCATATTGCAAACACATGTACAATGGCTTCATCATCGTTAAGCAAGGTCAACCCGTATGAGCGAGTGGATGTGTGTTCTGTCGTCGATCCAAAGGGAATCTTGTACCACACGGTGCGCCCGTTCCAAACTTTTTTGATTCCGTAGCAGAGTGCTCTCTAATAAAACATTGCTAGTGAGGGACGTAATACGGGAACTTCTGGCATCCAACGTCATACGATCAAGTTGCTCCCCAATTGCATTTGCCCAATTTGATTGGTAAAGAAGACGGATTAAAGAGACCGTTTGTGCATTGATTTTAGGGCTGTGGCCGGGTACAAGAGCGTTTTCTTGCCCCACATGAGACATTGAGTTTGGGTGGGGGTGTGCAGCAAAACCAATAAATAAGACCGGCGATTTTCACTTCTGTAAGTGAACTCATTTAGTGTATTCCAAATGGGGAACGCTGGAGAGTATTTCTCAGCGTTCAGAGAGTAACATAGGAAGTTGTTGTACAAGTTTTAAAGAACAGTTTTATCTCGTAGAAATCAGAGCTTAGGACCTAACCTTTCAGTAATATGCTTGTACAGACAAATATAAAGGTAATATCTAACAATGTAGTAAATGTAGTTTGATTAACAAACGAAGGGAGTTGAGTGCAAATACAGTCTCAGATAAATACTCATTGCCCCTAGTTCCAGACCAAATTGTTAGACTGCGTGGCAATAAGTATTTCACGAGTCTTGATATGGTCAGCGGGTTTTATGAGGTTCCTATACATCCAGACTCGATTGGACGCACTGCATTCGTCACGACGGATGGCCAATACGATTTTATAGCCATGCCATTTGATTAAAAAATCTCATCATCAGTGTTTCAGCGACCATAATGCGAGCCCTGGGTGAAGTGGTCTATTCGCATGCAATTGTTTACATTTATGATGTCCTAATAGAAGAAGCTTTCTTCAGACTCAAGGAGGTTTTGCAAAGGCTATCGAGTGCTGGGTTTTCCTACCAAATTTACAAGTCTTGAGTCCTACGATTTTCTGAATTAAGGAAACCTTTATATGTTTTTAGTTCAAAAAACAGAAAGTACATTTGGACCGGTTTGGAAAATTTCAGTTTTACGGAAGTCACAGGGGTTTAAATAGCCAACTGTGGTCGCTTTTTTGAAAAAATAGCACCTACTCTTTATTTATTAACTTTTGATTGGTAGGAGCTATTTTGATGGTTTCTAAAAAAAATTATTTTTTGTTTAATTACTTTTTTGAAAGTTTTCTGGACCATGATACAATAACTATAGGTCGTCTCGTCGGCTGTCGAAAGATTCGGGTATTGATTCTGTGCGTGTTCGCTTGTTGACGGAACGATGACGATTTTTTTAAGACATTTACCCTTGTACAAAATACCTTTTTGCAGGTTATGTTATACAAAAATTTCACCTCTCCAATGAGTTAGCCACTTACGTAGATGAATTGTCTAACAGAGACAATTCATAGATAAATTTTAACAGTTGAAACTAATATTTTTATGTCTTGCTAATGATAATTTTAAAATATTATGTTAAGAGCACATTGATAAAAGCAGCCGAAAATGTAAATATAAATGTAATTAATTAATTTAGATATTAAAAATTCTATTTCAAGATTAGAATATATTTTAGGGAGAAAAAGTTTTTGTTTAGGTTCTTAAAGCCTGATTCCATTGCCGCATTAGTGGAGTTTTAGAATATATGCATGATTCGATTGGCGCATTAGCGTTTACCTAATGCAACTCCGAAATGTGAGTGGCGCGAACAGCTGATCTGGGTTTGTTTAAATCATGAATACGAGCAACTTTACAGATATCTTTAGTGTTCAGCAGGTCATCCATAATGATATCGAGGCATTTGCCAACTTGGGCGACAAGAAAGGGAAGCTGATGGTGCTGTTTGACGGGCTTGCAAAGGAGGGCACCACAGTTGCTAAAAAAAAGAAGGATCCCCGTATATGTGGGAGTTTTTTCCTGCCAGAGATGCAGCAGTAATGCATTGTGGACCTGCCAGCAAGATTTGCTGCGCTTGCTATTATTTTCAGTAGTTTTTACGCAAAACAGATTTTATATTCAAAAGAAATCAAATATTGCGACATCCTTGCATATAAACCCAGCTGCTATAGTGGTGGCACTTATGAAATATCGTTAAAAATCCGGTATTTTTTTCAAAAAAAGTACTTGGTGAATGATTTTTAATCTCATTTATTTATCGCATTTATTTTAAATGCGGTATTTAGCCTTATGGGATTCCCTGTGTAAATAAATGAGCATTACTTAACAAAAAAATTTCTATACAAAAAAAAACACCGACGCAAAATTATTAAAAATTAAATTATGAAAAACGCTATAGCTTTTTATACCCTTGCAGAGGGTATAATTATTTCAGTCAGAAGTTTGCAACACAGTTAACATGGTTAGATCGACTCTCCTAGTGATGCTGATCAAGAATATGTCGGAGAACTAAATTCATCCCCTTGTAAGTCGTCATTGCTGGTGAATTGTTCGTTTGGTTCTTGATTGCCTGAACTTAATTCTGGCAAATGCAGCGAGTCTTCGATGCTTTTGTGGCTCATAATTCTCTCTTATGGACCAAAACGTGTCTATCTCACGTCACACTACCAACCAGAAGAAGAAGAGAGACCAGACCTAGCAACGCATTCGGCCTCAGTTCGCAAGCTGAGTCCCCATTCTACCAAAACTAACATCTAGTATATCTAGTATACCAGCACAACCCATGGTCATACCTGTCGAAATGCTGCACTACATACTCTCCGACACGGCCATTCTGACATAGACACGTCCTCGTGTCTACAACAAACCTCTCAGTTTCATTCCAACATTATAATTTTATTGAATACTTCAGAAAAACTTAACCAAGTAATCTCAAATTCATAGAATATTACAAATCATATAGTTCTCTTATAAGCCATTTCTTTCCTTTACATTTCCACTCGACAGATCATTTAAACATTATCAAATTATAAATTAATCATTTCAAATCATTAAGTCATAATCCATGAAACATAACTTGTCTTATACTAGCCAACTTCGTCCATCGCCAAACACATTGGCTTCACGCAATTTTTTTTTTGTTTTTTTTTTTTTTTTTTTTTTTTTAACGCTTTCTTCTCGTCCATCGCCCAACACATGGCTTCACGAACTCATCAACCACATCGCTCGTCCATCGCCCAACACATGGCTTCACGAATTCATCAACCACATCGCTCGACAATCGCCCAACACTTGGCTTCAATCTCATTTCTAAAGCAACCTTCGTTCATCACCAATTACATGGTTTCACGACACTCTTCTGTTTCAACAGACTTTTCCAACAAACTTTGTGCTTTATAATTTTCATCAAGCTCTTCTGGAATTTGCACATCCGGTAACTTTCTCAAACTTTCGTGTGGATACTTGTAACGTCTATTGTTCTGTGTAGACTTTAAAACGTATCTATCTCCGTTCAAAACCCCTACCACCAAAAAGGGTCCTCTGAACTTTGGATCTAATTTTGTCTGTTGTCTCTCACTGTTTTTAAGTAACACAAAGTCACCCACACAGAACTTAATTACCTTAGCCATATTCTTATCAAATTTTGTTTTCTCATATCTAGCGACCTCTTCCATGTTCTCAGCGGCTAGCTCTCTTAATTCGATCTTGTCAAATTCGGTTTCAGTATCGCCAATAGGAACCAACCCCAGTGGACGCGCAACTTTACCAATCAAAAGTTCTAAGGGACTACACTTAGTGCTACGATTAACTGTACAGCTAAGGGCTAACTGAACGTCCCCTACTGCATCTTGCCACGATATAGGGCATGTCTCAACAGCCGTCAACAGATTCTTAAGTGTGCTCATAACCCTTTCAACTTGACCGTTGGCTCGACTTGCACCTTTTCCAATTAGATGTAATTGTATCTTTTGACTAGAACAAAGTTGCGCAAACTTTGTACCCGTGAAGCTGCGCCCCTGATCTGCAATTAAACGTGTTGGCACACCAAAAATGGCAATCGAAGATTTCATTGCGCTTATACAAGTATTAGCATCCAAAGAAAAGGTGTGAAATAGATAAACATATTTAGAAAAAGCGTCAATTTGTACTATGATATACTCTTTACGATCACTTTTTCCACTTAGTTTTCCCGAAATATCTATGTGTACTGTGTGCCAAGGAATGCTAATTTTTGGAATTGGATGTAATTCAATTTGAGGTTTTCCAGACGTACTCTTAGACACTCTGCAAGTAATGCAGTTCTCCACAAATCTTCGGACATAATTTGCCATACCAGTAAACCAGTAATCGCCACTAGCGATTCTATTTTGTTTAAATTTGGACGTATCTCCCCCGCTTTTATCTCGTAGCCATGGTACCGAACTGAAGTTCTCAAGAAAAAGCACTTTGAAATGTTAAATGAGAATCCTGCCTTCACTAGAACGTCTAATACCAGTTGCAATCGCTCATACGCTATCTTCTTTTGTTTTCGAAACAATTATTATATCGTCCATATAAACGATTACAAACGAATGAGCCAAACCGCCAAGTGCTTTCAATACAGCTCTTTGAAACACTGAGGGTGCGTTCTTTATACCAAAGGACATCGAAAGAAATTCGTACTGCCCATCAGGAGTAACAAATGCTGTATATTCAATTGATTCGGGGTGCATTAAAATCTGGTAATAGCCGCAAGCCATGTCAAGAGAAGTGAAATAGTTAGCTCCCCTAAGTCTAGCTATTTGATCTGAGATCAACGGTAGTGGAAACTTATCCGCTACTGTATTTTTATTTAATTCTCTATAGTCGACGCAAAGTCTTGCTGTAACATTTTTCTTCTTTACCAATAATGCAGGACTAGCAAAAGGTGAACAACTAGGTATGATGACTTTATACTCGATTAATTCATTATATTTAACTCGTACTAGTTCCTTTCGCATGTACTAAATCTGTATTGCTTTAGTAATGATATTAACATTTCTTTTTCATTTCCGACCACTTCAGTTTCAATGTTATCAAAATCACTAGGTTGAACTGTTTCACAAACATTTACAGCTTTAGTTTGAATGATCTTAAAATTATCATTAGACACTTCTACTGAAATCCCTTGAGCCAATATTTCTCTGCCAATTACAATATTATTCGTCATACATTCATCTGGTGTTATGTGAAACTACTAAAGAATTACCATCAACCATGATGTTTGACTCAACTTGCACAGTGCTGTAAGTATTGGCATCGCCTATTCCCTTTAGATAGATAACGCTATGAATCCTCTTACCAACTAACTTATTAGAAATACTTTCTTTAATTAATGAACACTCAGCTCCCGAATCAAATGTTATTGGAAATCTCTCACCAGCAACCAGCATACTCGATTTAGGCTCCACCACGGTGCACAGCTCCACTCTCTTTTCCGATCTTACTCTCAATCCGGTATTCTGCACTTTTTTTTGACAATTAGTGGCAATGTGTCCCGGCTCCTGGCAACTGTAACAAGTTACAGTTGTCCTTTCATGTTGAGACTTCCCAGAACGCCGCTCCTTTTCAGTTGATGAGAACTGAAATCCTAGTCCAGATCTACAGTCTAGCCTTTTATGTCCTGGTTTTCCACACTGATAACATTTTAGATCCGCAGTTTTAGCCCGCTTGGTCTCCGGTTCCCAGTTTGGTGCAATAGGACGCTCCTTCAGTGTAAAGAATACTTGCAGCTCCGCTTGCAGCTCACGTCGATTGCTGATATGCGTTGTGTGTATCATTCGTTGTAAACGCCGGTCGAAATAAGCCATATGCCCAAGAATCATAGCGATGGAAATTTGTTCGCAATTTAAATTACGCAATTTTGTGCACAGTGACGTCACGCTGCGGCTCGCAAAAACAGGCAAGCTCTCACTGTTCCTTGGGCGACTATTTAGAAGATTAAAAATAACAGCGGCTGGCGTCTCTGAAGTCTCGAAACGCTGATCAAATAATTGCCGGAACTGTTGCCAAGTATTCCTGGGCCGCTGTGCCTTCTAAGGCCTTACTCAGAGCTAATATAAGAGCGCTGTCACTTAGTGGTTTCGTCCGTAAAATTATGCTGACCGTATCGCACCACTGCGTGGCATCCACCCCAGCAATGTCCGGATTATATTTCGGCAAGCAAATCTCGCCAGTCTGTTGTACTGTGCTCGCCGGCATCTGTAGCTTCTTAACCAGTTCCAGAAAATTCCGGTTTTGTTGCTCCAACAACGCGAAGACATCCCTTGACAAAGTTTTGTTAGGGCCGAATCCCACTTCTGATGTCGGAGAACTAAATTCATCCCCTTGTAAGTCGTCATTGCTGGTGAATTGTTCGTTTGGTTCTCGATTGCCTGAACTTAATTCTGGCAAATGCAGCGAGTCTTCGATGCTTTTGTTGCTCATAATTCTCTCTTAAGGACCAAAACACGTGTCTATCTCACGTCACACTACCAACCAGAAGAAGAAGAGAGACCAGACCTAGCAACGCATACGAAGCCACACTCGGCCTCAGCTCGCAAGCTGAGTCTCCGTTCTACCAAAACTAATATCTAGTATATCTAGTATACCAGCACAACCCATGGTCATACCTGTCGAAATGCTGCACTACATACTCTCCGACATATATATATACTTTACTTTAAATCGGAAACGTCTCCTTCACTGCGTTGCAAACTTCTGACTGAAATTATAATACCCTCTGCAAGGGTATAAAAACCCTGTTCACGAAAAGTTCATGAAATGTAAGTTAATTATTGCAAGTCAAAGATGATTATGGCTTTTACTATTCTTAGTAATATTTTTAAAGAAATACCGGCGTATTTAGCAACACCAAATTAGCCTTTTAGTCTTAGACTTTGAAAACTTACCTTAAGTTAGTCATGTAATTTTACGGAAATATTATTAGTTAGTCATCTCTCTCTTCGATACATTTGCTCTTTAAGACTTGAAATATATAACAACATTTTAACTGATATGATAGTTATCATTGCAGTGTAAGCCCTAATCCCAATGGCAGCACTAGTTTGCATTGCTGCAGGCTGCTCACCTGTAACAATTTTAAATGTTTAGTATAATATCGAAATCAAACTACTTGTATTTTGATTACATACCGGTTAATACATGAACCCTTACAGAGGCTGGAATAGCTCCATTTGGAACGCAAGTATAGTTTCCAGAATCTCGTAATGAGGCTCGCGTTAGCATCAATCGACTGGTCGTTCCTACGTCAGTTTTTTCCGTTTCCAAACTTATTCCGCCGCGGAGTGAATCAAAATCGACAATTGACGAGCCATGATACCTTTCGACGGATTATAAGGTGTTCGTTAAAAACTTTCTTTCAATAACTTAATTTCTTACCAAATGACAGAAGATGCATGTATGTTCACTGAGCAAGCCAAAGCAATGGTGCTATCACGCTTTACGTGGATTTCCGTGGATCCTAGTATTTTAGCTCGAGCCGCTTTTAAAGGTCATTATTAATTATTTGTTGAAAACTTTAAAATCTTTAGAGAAGCTAACCTTTTGAATCGTAAAATCGCTTTTCCGTTTTTACATCCCGAAAGTCATTATCAGCTGAAAAATAATTTGTATACCCGTTACTCGTATAGAAAAAAATATATATTGTAATCGTTCAATAGTATGTAACGGGTAGAAGGATGCGTTTACGGCCCTTTCAAGAATATACGAATTATTGGTCAGGATCAATAGCCGAGTCCATCTAGCCATACCCGACTGTATGAAAGTCGAGATCTCAAAAACTATAAAAGCTAGAGATTTGGTTAGTTTAATTAGTTTCTAGTGTTGGTTAGTTCGACAGATGGCGCCACGTATGCTTCGATTGTTTTCTTAGTTTGAAGTTCTTTGGCTGAGTAACGGGAATCTAAGTGTCGGGAAACTCGAAACTCGTTCTCTCTTGTTCTACCTCTACTTCTTGAGTAAATAGAGTAAAGGGACAATAGTGGGTAAATAAGTCTCACAATAATCATTTATAGTATTTTATTTTTATATGCCAAAGATTCGTTTATTTTGGGAATTCCCTAAACGACTGAATCTCTGAAATTCAACTTGCTGGTTCAGAAACCCAGAGGCTGCGCAAGTTTTTGTTGAGTTGCTAAAAAGCCAGGGTAGTAGTATATATGCAACAAAAGAAATGTAGATCGTCTATTGCTTGAAAATAAACCGAATAGTTCGTATGGTAGCTTTTCTTAGGATTTCCTTAAAATCAAAAAAGAGCTAAGACACAGAAAGCTAGGGCAACTGATAAACAGCAGCAGTAACGGCTGTTGAATAAACACCACTTTCAATTGCTGAAAATTTCTGTCGAATTTTCAGAAATCTCGAGATTTAATTGCTTAGGGAATAAATAAATAATTATACTTCTTTAAAGTAAAAACAAGCAAAAAAACTGTTAAGGTCAAGTACTTGGGTTACAAAAAGACCTTAAAAAAAACCATTTCAGTCAATTATTTTTTAAGGGGTTCTCTTAGGTAACTCAGGTGAACCTATGACGCTTTTAAGCTCAATTAATCAATCGTTTTCCGATTTAAATAAAATCTGAACTATTAAATTATTACCCTTGCAGAGGGTATTATACTTTCAGTCGGAAGTTTGCAATGCAGTGAAGGAGACATTTCCGACATTATAAAGTATATATATTCTTGATCAGCATCAGCAGAGTCGATCAAGCCATGTCCGTCTGTCCGTTCGTTTCAACGCAAACTAGTCTCTCAGTTTTTAAAGCCATGAAACTTCCCCAAATATTATTTTTCTATTGCAGGCAGTACATAAGTCGGAACGAGCCGGGTCGGTCATATGTATCGGTAGACAAATTTTACTTGTTCTAACTGGTATAAAAACTGCGTTTCGTTCCAATCGTAATAACGCTGCCCAAGTGTGTCTTGGGCCTAGATGTAAGTTGTAGTATTCTATATTGTGCCGAAAGTGCCATTATGTTATTAACTTTCTTAATTGTATTCTTGTGTACTCACTCATCTATATTTTATAAATAAACTTAGTTGTGTCATCTGGTTGGCAACTATTACATACAATTTAAACTTTTCGAAATTCCAGTAATCTAAAATTCTCATGGTTGCCAACTTATTTTCAGTAAAAAACTTATGATCTATGATTTTGTTTTCTGTGAAATTACTTTGGAGAGTATAGTTTCCTTTTCTGACTAGGATTTTCAAGTCGAACGAACGATATAAAATCGTTTAATAATAAGAAAAAAACAAGTAACCAGATTTCATTTTATGAATACGTAGCAAACAATTTTATTTTCTTTAAGATATGTACCTGTTATTTCCAACACAATTGCTAAATTTATTTTTGGCTCGGTATTCACTTGACACTCATAGACGCCGCTATCACGTGGTTGAGCGTAATCAATCTTTAAGTCCCAATCCTCACTGCTAGGTGGATGAAGTACAGAAAAACGTTGATCGCCAGTATACGTATAAATGTTTGTTGTAAGAATGTGAAGGTCGCGCTTGCGCATCCACGAAACCTACGAAATTGAAGAAATTTGGAATATATTAATATTGTCAAGTTTATAGAAATATGTGTTGTAAAGGGGGCACAAAAATCAATCTGTCAATACGGAGAAATACCAGGAATTAAAGAAATTTAAGCTGTGTATTTTTATATTCTTGCCAGTTGCGAAGACAATTTCACAACGCTATAATGGCGTTCCCCGACTATTAGATACCAGTTATTCAGCTCACAAATTTCAAACCAACAATTCCCCCACAAAAACCCATTGGTTTCCATCATCGGCAAGGGTGCTAGTGACAGCGTCCTGTTGTGATATTTTTATTTGTATTTGTATTTTATTATACAATTTCATCCTTAAGCTACAAGTATGGAACTTATAAGTTAATGCGCTAGTCACTAAGAGTCGCAAATATTTATGTGTTACATTATAAGTAAAACTAATTTTCATAAAAAATAACCTGAGTCGCCTTTTATTTTTAATTTAATTGACGTAATAGTATTTTTAAAGTGTGTAAATAATTTTATCTTGAATTGCGTGGCACTGCTAATGTTTTTAAGATGGTTGGGGGTTGATCCATGATCGAATAGCATTAATTAAAAATTGTCTTTCGGATGTCAGTGATCTAGGTCTTATGCAAGTAAGATTGTTTGCTCTTCTAGAGGATGTAAACTGAAGTTTTTCGAAAAGATACGAAGGTTCTTTTTGGAAAATAACTTTTTGCAGAAAAATTAAGATTCGGATCTTTATTATATATTATATTAGTTCTTGCATTTCGTCTAGGACTCGCTTAGCTCCAATGAAATTAATTCTGTTGTCGCTGTTTATTTTGCTGCACTTGCCACGTAATTATATGAAGCGTCACAAGGCTGCCTAGAATGTTTCTGTGTTCAGATCTGTAACGAGCTCCAATTATATGGCCGAGGTGACTAAGCAAACAAAGAGACTTATATGGACTTTACTTTTCCGAGGCTTGCGTAACTTGAAGTCTGTTCGGTCAAGCCGCAGTCTAAATAATTCTAATTCAATTTCTGTAATTGCTACTCCTTTTTGAATTCCTTTCGCCAAACGTCGCCGTGCCCTTTGTCCAAGCAAAAATCTTTTTAGTTTTTGTTTTTTAAACTTTGTAAATAAGGCCCTGGTGCCATTTAGAATATACTTAGTGCATAATTAATTGAAAGTTTGTGCGGTTTTATTTTATTTGGGCATCACAAAGTTTAGCGTTAATGAAAAAGCTCACTGACCCAACTGAGTCCACTACTCTTAACTTTCCAAGATGAACCATTTCTTGTTCTTTGTAATATAGCCAATTTTGTATTTCAACCTTTTCCCTGTTTTAAAAAGTACAATTTTAACATATTTTCACCGTACTTAGTTTTAGTTTTTTTTATAAATGTCTCGATAATTGCCCACAATGCTAAAAGGGCTCGCGCGTAACAAGATGGTGCTTGGTTTTGTTGGGCCATTTGTTTGTACTGTTTATAGTGCATCAACGTTCAACAACAATTAGTAGAATTGGTCCTGTATCAAAACCAGTGTTAGCCATTTCCATTTGCTTGAGTTGTAAGCACGCTAGGTAAATTCGACATTTGCTGATGTGACGACATTGGCAAAATCAAGCGAAAATAACATGTGTCATTTTCCTAATGAGATTACGTTCTCCAGTACTCCAGTATAAGATTCGTAATGCGATAAGTTTTCGGTAGCAAAACTGTTTGTTTGTCCCTTTACATTCAAAAATTTATTTTTACCAATCATTGGCGCTAGTTTGATCAGTGGCGACCGGTTCCTTAGTGGTTTCTTTGCGAGTCGCGGTTGGTAGTCATAATTTCGCATTACGCATGCGTCAAAAAGAGAACCGCTGCGTCTGGATCTCTTCAAATTTTAGAGCCAAAGATTCCTTGCTGCGAGATGGATTTCGATCGCGTTGGATAACGTAGCGGGAATGTATATGTCGGGTTTACGTTAGGATTTTCCATATTTAATTGCGCAGATTGTATACGGCGAATACACTTGATCACACCACTGCCAACTTGAGACTGCCAGCCAGCTTGTTAGCATACCGAAAATGCTGTCCAGAAAATGCTGCAACGAACATACTTGTATCTCTGTCTCTCGCAGTGGCTCAAGCATACACGCACAACAATAGTAGCGCGCACCTCTCTCAAACCTCTAATCTCACGCAACATCTCTCTCTCATGCTCGCATCGAACTATCCTGACCATCTGGCGAATAGACGGAACAAAGCGTACTAACAAACAACCGTTAGAGTGCAGAACGAGAATTGTCACTTGGTACATGGTACACTTGGTACCATAATTTAAGATCCGACATATACAAGTCTCTGCCAAGAACGAACTCGTGCGACGAGTCCAAACAGGTACCTTGGACTTCTCCTTAAATGCGTTTGTCTGAAATAGATAAGCCAAATCGTATGTCGTTTAACTTTACCGAGTATTGCTTTTGGTCCCGTAGCCATAAAAGTCCGGCAGCCATCAGTCCCTGGACGCCATGCTTGCAATGGTACATGGGACTCCCGAAGTTCTGTTCCCAACAAATGTCTTAAGTTGAGCTTTGCATATAAGCGCCAGAACTATTGGTAAGTCCGATGAGGCAAAAACGGTAACAGCGTATAAGTCGGCTCAAATGAAATGCAGCGCAAGATTGGTGTTTTAGTGGAGCCCGCCTGGTTTTTGCAGTCACTATTTATACAGAAACTAGGCCATCCTTGCTCAAAATCCTGTAGCGCTTAATGGCTCCATCTGGGAATCGGTCTGGTTATTACTAGCGCCATTAAGAACTGGGTAATTAGAACGTCATTTGCCAATTGGTAGGTTCCCGCCAACTTTCCGGCATGGGCATCGCTGGCAGCGGCGGAGTTAAGTTTAAGTGCAACAAAAAACAAAACGAGCCGAACCGGACACGCAACAAAAATGTAGCTTTGGCGCAGGCGAAGGCGGCGCATCAAACCCGCAACCAATTCACCATTCAACAGACGCATCATCACCGCAACAGGCTAAAACAGTCATAGCCTAATCCGTGGCCCAACAATAATCCTTGGCCCATTAAAAGAAAGCATAACCTCTGCTGCCAAACGCACACACATAGTGTTCGACTGGCTCAGCACAGCTCAGTGTCTACAGAGACGAAATAGAACCTTGTAGAACTACCAGGCAAAGGGGGAGTTCGATCAAACCAAGTTCGTCAGCGATACTTTCATCCAGTTCGGGATTGACTATCTAATGGTAACGGCCAAATAGCATTTGGCCTAATCACGGCCAGCGAAATATAGCTAAAAGCGATAATGTTAAGTAACCTTAAAAACCTGACTCCCAAACAGGTCATCATTGTCCCGAAGAAAGCGCTTTAATCGAAGGATAGAAAGAGAATCACTCCCATACTGAAAGCTTTTAAAATCAAAACACAAAAGCGCATGCATTTTTCGAGGCTTACGCAGCTTATTGTTAGCTGGATTGGAACGATCAGATCTCTGAAATGCATCCTCGACCCTACACCTAGTTAGCTTTAAAACAGAGAAACTGGTTTGAGTAGAAACGGAACGACTGACCTTGCTATGTCAATAGATTCAGTATATTTCTCTGCATTACAAACTTTAAGTTACAAATTTAATAATAGAGAATTATATATTGTATTTTAATCAAAACCAAATTGGGGGCGTGCCTTACTTCAAAACAAATTAGACAGGTAATTGTTATCTTTTATAGCTTGACAAACCGGAAGACTGACAGACTGACAGACTAAGGCACGAAGGGGTTCGAATGCATATGCCAATCGAAAATGATTTGATCTAAGTTCCTTTTTCACGAACACATAGAATTAAACACTCGCCAAAAGTGAACGGCCACTAGGCATTCAAGTTACTATTCAGTCAAGGGCAATCCAATTGTAAATTAAACAAATAATATTTAAGAAAATACTGAGTTGCGTTTACTTACAGTCCGGTTTCCTTTATTTTTAACACGACATCTCAAAATTGCGATTTCATCAACAACAGCGGATACATTCCTGGGGCTTATATCGTCGAAGAAAGGTCGATCGGAATTGGTTAGATCTACAAATGGTAGAAAACGATAATGATAAAGTAATAGAATTATGATTTTGGGAATTTGCATCTTACCGTTCAGGTTTAAAAATGAAGATGCGCTTATATGGTGAAAGCATATGTTAAAATTCAAGATCAAAATAATAAATGGCTTGATTTTAACAAGGGAACTATCCGAGTAGGTGGCATTGTTGCCACGAGTCATATTGTATTAATTCATTTGCCTTAAAATAACAGCTATTTATAAAATATCAAAAGAATATTTCGCATAATCAATGCATTTAGGTTGACACGACCATATACCCGCGCACACTTTATAAGTTGAGAAGAACTTAATGTTTGGAAACTTAGTTTCGACCCTTTAAATTGGCCTTCAAATGATATTTCGTGAATAAGATAAGCAGTTGAAGTTTTATTTTTAAAAAGCTTTCAGCTCTTTCACTTATGTATTTGGTATCGACAATAATTTTTTCAGCAATGAACTCTTTTCAACCCCTAACGTCTGTTTAACAATGTTACAAAGAGCGGGCTTTTTGGAAACTTTCAGATGTCCTGCATCCCCTAAAATTTACGCGCATGTCCATTATCACCCTGTTAACCTGTTAGAGCCCTGTTAAAGAGCTTAAAAACTCTCAGCGGTTCTCTCCCCGACTATTTCTCTGCCTTTATTTACAACTTCTTCTTAATTAAATTAAAAATTAAATTTTTAAATAGAATAAAGATTAAATTGTTAATAAAGTTTTTAATGCAACTTAAGATTAGTTCCGAAGAAGTTCATTGCGAAGAAAAAATAAAGAAAAATATTTTACAATAAATTAGATAGCTTAAAATTAGTAAATGTTTTTTTGAAATCACATCTAAACAATGATTGCTCAAATAAAATGTTTAGAGTCCATTTTTACCTTTAAATTCAATGTATATATTACTTAGCCCAAACAAATTATAGCCTGTAAATTTAGGAATTTGACCTCCATTTTAGGCCGGAGATTCTTTGAATTTTCTACTTTAAAACATGGGTTTTTAGCTAATCTGGGACATGTTTTAGGCAACAATTACCTAAAGTACAAATTTTAGGCAATAGAACACAAATTCCTAAAATTTTAAGAAAATATTTTTTCTGGGTGTAGGAGAGTTAGAGAGAGAGTTAGGTGCAAATATTCAAGTCACTTCAATTTCACTACTTATTCTGCAGTCCATACACTCAAAACCAAATTAACCCTAAGAACAAGAAACTTTCCATTAATAAATTTTAATATTAATGGCATTTCCTTTCTAAAACTTAAATAAATTCTAATATCTACATAGACTGGCATTTTTATGTGTCCGTCGGTGAAAATCGCAGGGTCTCCCGGGTAAGGAAGTCATGGAAAAAAGAAGGACTGTTTCAACCGGCGTCACCAAAGAGCTTGAATTTTGTTTTTTGTTCTTTTTGCAACCGTGAAAGTTCATCGTTCAGACAGTCAAAAAACATCACAAAATTGTCTTGAATATTGTACAGAGGATTCTAATTTCAGTTTGCAACGCAGTGAAGGAGACATTTCCGACCTTATAATGTATATACACTCATAGAAAAATATTTCCAAAATTTAGAAATCTCACCTTTAAATCGGCTGTCTTTGAATCAATGACAAAAATTTCTTTATTCAAGAAAAAATGTTAATTAAAAATGGAAATCCTTTCTGATTGTAAGCTTTTAAGAAAAAAACTTTCTTAAAAATAGGACTTAATTTAAGATTTTAAGATTTAAGATTTAATTTTTAATTTTAAGACTTAATTTTGTTTTTTTTCGGACGACAGCAGCAACAAAAATTGTTTAGTTTTTAAAGGAGAATTTGCCTTTGAGTTCCATAAAGTTCCCTCAAAAATAGAAAACCAGCCTTTGACTTACAAAAGCAATTCGAAAGAAAAAGAACGGTGAAATACGAAGTCAACGGTGTCAGTCGGATGACTTTGCCGAAAGCTCAAAGAGCGTTCGGCTCAGCAACGTCATTCATTAGGTTTTTAAAGGAGAAATCGCCTTTGAGATCAAGAAAGAAGTATCCCTCAAATATAGAAAAGCAGCATTTAATTGAGCCGATTAATGGTAGCCTAGCGGCTAAGTTGCCTGACCAGAAATCTGATCAGTAAATCTGATTCGGGATTCTTTTTTTTTTGTATTTGATGAATAAGGGAAATCACTTACGTGTCCTAATGGGCTTAGCAAAGTTAAGGCAGGCAAAAAACTTAAGGAAATTATCTAAAATGTTAACAACTTTTTATTGCTAATACATAAAATAAAACAATTTCTGAATATATAGTATCAGATTCTAAACCAACTCTGAAAATATATGATTGAGTTGATTTTTTTTAACAGTCATTACTTTTGACGTTCATTCTTTGAGTGCGATCATAGCCTAGTGTTTAAATGTCGAACTCACGCGCGGAAGGCCTGGGTTCGATTCTCGGCGTCGACCAAATGAAAATGTGAGTTTTTTTTTCAAGTTTTGATATTATTTGTGCATTACTATTTTCTAATGTGAATTTTAAAAGTCATGTTTATCTTTATCATCTTCTCCCTAGTTAAAGTTTAAATTAAATTGCATGTGTGCCGCGCTTTATTTGTGTGAGTAGTTTGCACGTCAAAACTTGGCAGTGAGTGTATGTCTTCGACTGCCATTTCATACAAATACTGTTCGTGTCGCGACGTGTCCTCTGGTAGAACTCTGACAAATTATCTTATTTTTAAGAAATATATTTTTTTGCTTTAGGAAATATTTTTTCTTGTTTCAAGAAATATTTTTTCTTGCTTCAAGAAATATTTTTTCTTAATTCAAGAAATATTTTTTCTTGATTTAAGAAATAATATTTCTAGACTTGAGAAATTTTATTTCTTGGTTTAAGAGCTGCATTTCTTGTTTGAAGAAAGGAATCATCATTAATTTAAGAAAGAAATTTTTTCAAATGAAGGCGACTCGCCTTTGGCGAAAATTCAAAGGCGATTTTACTAGATTTTAAGAAGAAATTTCTAAGAGTGTATATTCTTGATCCGCATCACTATGAAGCTCCCATAGGAACAATCGGAGAAAAAATAAAAAAAAATTATAACTTTACTGTTTTTTAATATATTTTTAGTTCTTCGACATATAGTCGTGGTTAAATATTTGAGAATTACGGTTTAAATTTCATCAAAATCGGACGAATTTGACAGTTCAGAACTACGTTTTTAATTATATTAAAATCGGAAAAGCCGCCATAGTCATACACAGCCATAGTCGAATAATTCAGCTAGAAATCATCATGTCTTCAATGTTGTTAAGCTTATACCAAAGTAAATCATAATTTTAATGTTTTCTAGATTATTTAATTTTTGCAATAGCTGCAAGGGTATATGAACTTCGGCTTACCGAAGTTTGCTTCCTTTCTGTTTTTTTTTTTTAATATTTTGAGTTTTTGTGGGAGCTATATACATTCGTCCGATTTTAATGATATTTTTCTGATTCCGATTGTTTCTATGGGAGCTTTATGCTGTAGTCTTCCGATCTGGCTTGTTCCTGAGAGACTAGTTTGCGTAAAAACGGACGGGCGGACAGACGGGCATGTCTCGACTCTCCTAGTGATGCTGATCAAGAATATATATACTTTATAGGGTCGGAAATGTCTGCTTCACTGCGTTGCAAACTTCTGAGTGAAATTATAATACCCTGTGCAAGGGTATAATAACAAAATAATTTAAAAAATTAAATTATATTTTTACTTTATTCTTTGATGTTTTATGAACTGTACTGCACAATTAAATTGGTAAATATATTCAGACCTGTTCCGGTTTTCACTCGGAAATGAATTTGATAACATTTTGGGATTTCCCTCTAACATAGAAAAATTTCCGTTCTTTTGGTCCCTGATCAGCTGACTGGCAGCTGTCCCCTATTGAAAAAGGCGTTTTAATTTTGTCCCGCTGGTGTCCCTCAGCTAATGGGATGAATGGTATACTAGTTTAGCGCTAGCTAATGCTGGTGTCAGTGTTGTGAACTTTTCACAAGTAGTGTTGAGAACCAGAGTTGCAAGAGATCATGAAAAAGGTCCCAACGAGATACGTTTTGCACAAATAGAACATTAAATTAAGCGGTAATAAGAATAAGAAGTTTCAAGAAAATACTTGTTTTTTTTCGAACCATAACAACCCTTGCAGCATTTTCTTCAATTCGTTCGGAAATTGAAACAGGGGCGGCGGAATTGCTAAAATGCCGAATTCTAGGATCGAATCGATTCTGAAAATACGTCTCAAAAGAATTTGTAGTATGTCAAATATGTTTTTATAAACAACATTTTTAAAGCAATAATGTTCTTCTTAATACTTCTTAAGGAAAAAAATCATCTACACTTTAACTTATCGCAAAGTATTTTAAACCAAATAATTCCTGTGCTTCCGGAACTAAATCCGCCAGTTAATTGCTTGGCGGAAAGTTTCCGTGAGATTTCTGACTGAAATTATAATACCTTCTGCAAGGGTATACAAATTAATTTTATTTACTTATCGACACTTTTTTTACCCACTTAGTACACCATTTGTTTATGGTCGCTTAATTTTTGTATAAATAAACATATATTTTTCGATATACTTTTTGTTTTACTATGATATGAAATGTAACAAAAATTATCTGAAAATAAAGCATTTACAGGATCTGACATATTTAATGATTAAGACGTTTTACAATTTATGCATTTTTGAAGAATATATTTTTACAGAACCGGTACAAATGTTTCGATTTTGGTAACGGTTATTCTGGTTGCTATATATTTCGGTTACGGTTCCGATTAGGCAAAAACATATTATATCGGTTTATGTTTCGGTAACTGTTTTGATTCGGTTTTACCGGTTAAGGATAACGGTTTCGAATCCGGTTGGATACATTGAATGACATGCATACTTTGATCAGGGTAAAAGCCCGTGCCGAGCGGACGTTTATATCCTATAGCTCCCATAGGAAAAATATGGTGAAATAGGGCCGTATTTGATGTTTTTCAAATTCTGCAAGGGTATTAAAACTTCTTCTTGGTGAAGTTAGCTTCCGTCCTCATTTTTTATATTCCTTCTAAATATTTAGACAAGAAAGGAGCTAACAAAAGTTAAATATTCTTGAAAGCATCTAAATTTCGAAGTATATGCGTATACATGTTAAAAAAAAAATTTTTGATGACATTCAGCTCAAGTATTCGATCGATTTGAATAAAATTAAAAGCGTAAATCTGAACTGTCAAATTATTACAAAGAAATTACAAAATAGAAAAGTTACATTTAAAATTAAAAAAATATTATATATTTTTGTTGTTTTCATAGGAGCTATATGATATAGTCGTCCGATTTTGATGAAATTTAAACCGTAGTTCTGAAATAATTAACCATTACTATAGGTCTAAGAATTAAACAAAAAATTAAAAAACAGCAAAGGTTATTTTTTTTCGATTGTTCCTATGTGAGCTATGTGATATAGTCGTCCGATTTTATTATTTATTATTTGATGTACAATTTTAATTAAAGTGAATGGACTTGAAACTAGCTTGCGTAGAAGCCGAAAGACATGGCTATTTATATTTCCATTTCGGGTCGAAAACGCTTCGCAGCTGTTCAAATTCTAACAACAAACAAATACGACCTGCAAAATTTTGCAAATTGGAGATTATGATTTAAAGTATATATTATAGCAAATGGAAGACTAAAACAGACAATCCCAGGTGATGTCATGACCTTAAAGTGCCTAATCAACAGCATTAATATTGGTTTATGAAGTCTTTCATAGTAGTTGTAGTATGTTCAGACTTCCTTTTCGACAGATAAATCACTGAGTACGTAATTTCGCACATGGGAAGAGTAGTCCCCAAACATTTTAAGACCCCTGAGCACAGGTATGTCAGGTATAAGCACCTTAATAAAAAATATAGAGTAGAACTTATGTAAAAACTATTGGCTTAACAGAAATCTTGGGTGGAAATATAAAATATGTTCCATGCTCTTGAGTGAGCTGTTTATAAAAAGAGAACTTTTAGGTGGGCATATACATACGCAGTTTGTGTGTGTGTACCATAAATACATTCGAAAATAATGTCTTGAGAACTTCGGATTCTTCTCTTGTATTTTTCAGAAAATAATTTTCATTCTTGAAATATGTACATATGTACATGCTTTCTTGCCAAACATTCGGCGGTATTTTTCGTGCTCTATTCTTTTTTTTTAACATTATCTAAAGTTGTAATAAAATTACTAAGTAATACAAATACAAGTTATATCTCATTTTTTAAAAATAATTTTAATGAAAGTATAAATATTAATATAAGAGTTCTTCTTAACCAAACAACAAAAAATCGTGCGCATTTGAATATAAATATATCTATATAGATACCAATTTTTTGTATACGTACGCGAACGCCCCTAAGAAAAACGAATATATGCATTTATAAATAAATAGATGTGTTTACTTAGCCCCTTACTAGGGTCAGAATACAAATTTATTAAAGTCTGCCTACACATGTTACTTTCACATAGTTATAAAAACAGTTAACGTGAAAATATGTGATGTGCTTCAAGTAACTTCATCCAGAAATTGAATTCTATGAGGTGGTGTGTTAAAAATCAACAAGTACGTAAATAGTTTCAAACATCATAATTCATACGTTAAAACGCCTCCACAATGAATGTACCACAATAGGAAAGTATTTACTGACTCACGGCTGCATTTCTAAACTTTATGTGTCTATATAATATGGAAATGCAAACAAAATCTGAGGAACCAACGACACACTTGAAAACCTTGAGAAGCCCTGTTGCGGCTACAAAAAAAAGGTCAGGCCCTTTGGATGATGCCCTTGACACGCTAAACAATTGCCAGCCGGCATCGCAAATATCGTTTCCGTCGTCTAAGGAGCCGCAGTCTTCAGATGTCCTCAGCGTTCGAAGCCCAATTCATTTTGCGAATAACCAGTCCGGAGGAAATAGGCTACGTCGTTGTAGTACAAAAGACAAGGAGAAAAAACGAGAACGCTGGCTCTTAACTCGAAAGACATGGAGGTATATGACAGACGCAGGTCGAAAGCTTCTTCCCGACGGATCTCAGCCAGGGTCGGATAATATTGACGCAATAGAAGCGCACTTCCAACGTGTGTGTTTATCTGAACCGTGTTTTGTTTTGTGGAGTCGGAGGACCTCATACCCAGGAGCAATTAACAGTTCTAAGCGGAGATTGAAGCTATTGTCCAGGCACGCAAGTGCTAGACGCAATGGAAATAAAGTGGAGGCCACAAATAGCTTTTACAATGAAGATCGAACCCTCGAGTTATTGCAGACATATCTTAAGCTCCGCGATGTGTACAAAACAACCACATTACTTAGCGCTAAAACGGTTCGACCTGACCAAACATCTTCACCTAGTGCTCAAAGACCAATCCTTAAGAACAAGAATGACAAGGAGACTATGAAATCCTCTAGTGTGACTCTGGAATCAGAGCTCGTTTCCCGTCTGAAACTTTTATCTAAATGCTCTATATTTGGACAAGAGGGAATTCAGCTGGAATTAGGTGATGTACCCGAAATCCTTGAGGATAAAGTACTTTTAAAAAAAATCTACAGTGCGCTCAAGAAACAACAACTTCATCGGACCCTACATTCCAAGGAACCATCAAAATATGTTAATAGGTCGACTTCACTGTCCAGCTTATTAAAAAATAGTAACCAAGATAAATTTGGCAATCACAATAGCCATGATCGCGCTGGTAACACACTCGGACATGAAAAGTTCCAATGTCTGAGAAAATGTGATACAACAATTTTGCCGAGCGCGAAAAGTTCACTTTACCTAGATCTAAATAATGTTCATCTAAGCTCCGAGACTACAGCAAAATGTGTTCTAAGTGAGAAGAAAACTGAAAGAAGCCTTAAAACATGTGGAACTCAAACCAGTTTTATTCAGCTTAGCGAACTTAAGAGTTTGGCGGAACAGTACAAGCTGGCGATTCGAAATTGCGATGGCAATTTACAGATTTCGGAAGAATTAGATAAACAGGATGGCTGTGAAGCATCGCGCTTGAGTGGCAGGAAAAGTTCGATTGACGATGACATTTCACAGTCAGTAAGCGATACAATCAAGCGTTATTTGAAAATGGCGAGAAAGAAGAGTGTGCAAGATTCTGAATCGAATCGATTTAAGTCAATTAACTATGATAAAAATCTTAGAAATATAAAGGCAAAGGGCGAAATAAACCCACCTGGCATGAGTGAAGGACTAAACAAAGCTGTACAAACTCTAGATGCTTGGCCCCTTATAGCTTTGGATTTTATTAAGGGAATCGAATGTTCCAAAAATCTGGAAAACGCTCATTTAGAATGGATGAAGAGTGAGGATGAGCGAATACAGAAAAAGTTAGAGTGGGAAAAAAGCCGGTCAACATTTAGTGATGAACTGCATTCTTCACATATCAGTAGTCGTGAAAACCACTCCCCATACTTAAAGTGCACATCTGCACCTTCTTCGCCAACCAGTCATTCAAAGTTAGAAAAAGCTATAAGGACTTCTAGCGGATTGCTCTCTTCAAGCTCTCAATTTATATCGAACATTTTGCACGGGCATAACAATGCAGGAAACCATATTAACACATTAATAGACAAGAATCCGGATATTAGTAAGTATTCATTAAAATAAAATTAATGTTAGAAATGCTTATTCTTTTTTATTTCGTAACGTTGCCACAAAATATAAAAATAAACCATTTCTCAGTACCTTAAAAATTGGAAACGAAAATGATTAATGAAAAATAGTTCCCAGTTATGGATTGACATGCATTCCATTAAATATCAACAACTTCATTATATTTGCTTGATTTCCTTTGCGTTTTTAATGAAAAGATCATTTTTAAATTACTTAAGACAAAACAAATATCTGTTTTACATTTTCTGTTTTCGATCTACTTAAAAGAAGCTATGAAAGTAATTTTAAGAACTCTAAGTATATTTAAAAAGTCTAGTAAAACGTAACTTTTAAAGCAGTTCAACAATCAAGGCTAGTTAGTTTTTTCTTTGCTGTTGACTTCTCATTCAAAAGCTTGCAACGCACTGAAGGAACAATTTCCCAACCCATAAAGTACAGATATTTCGGTACGCATCACTAACGAGTTCATATAGCCATGTCCCAAACTAGTATATCACTTTAAAGCTGTCTGTATAGAAATTTCCCAATTGACTTGATGGTTATATCATATTAGGGAGTATTGATGCAGCTGGCGCTGGAGACTGCAATTGTATTGTTTGTTAAATGTTCATTGATTATATTTTGTAAATAAATAATAAACGATAATAAATAAATAATGCTCATATTTCTCGAAAGCAAAGATTCATATAAATGCTCCGTCTTTGTTTGTTTTTTTCTTGCATTTTTTCTTAAATGTTTACTAAGCTTGTAAGTCCCTTTTTTCTTCTTGGGTTTTGGTGTTGATAGTTTTCTTCCTATTTTCTGATTTTAAAAGCTCTTTCTGTGTGCATTTAGTGCTCTCGGAATGGTCGGATTCTAGAACGTTGGATATAACTTTTTATGCTGTGCCTATGGTGACTTTCTGTTGCTAATAAAGTCCTCAAGTGTCATACATCTAAGCCTTATATGTGTCTTGGGAAAAATTTTTCTCATTTCTTACTGTTCAAATCTCAGTGCGTTAAAAAAAAATTTATAAATGGACTACTTTTCTATTTATTGTGACTGCTTTCTCTACTTTATTATTTAAAATTATTGATTGTCTTGGACTTAATTTTTGGCTTGTTGTCCAAATATATTGTTTCTTGTTCGTCGATAGAAATTTATATACAGTAAGATGCGGTTTTCACAACTGATACTATTCTGGATACAATAGTTTTGAAAATTTAAAATGTTGAGAATTTTTTCACGCAAGTGGAAAAACGTTTAATGTAATATGTTTTTAAAGTATTTACTTAACGTTTTTTTTGTATTACCCCGTTCATCAGTTCTATTTGTATCTGCAACACAAACTGGGTTGTTGTAGGGTAACCGGGGTTGTAGGATTATCTTGCCCATCGGGTATTTATTTATATATTCGCCAAAACAATGTTTACTGGCTAAATCTATATATATCTTAGCACTAAACATAACAAGTTAAGAGATATTCAACTAAAGAATAACGCACTAATTGTTTGTTGGAACTGAACTCAAACCGCAATCTAGGTGGTAAAGCATTATATAGTCGAAGAGCCTGACAAATAGGCTCATAAAGGGCGTAATTAATCCTACAATGCTTAATTAACAAGAAAGAAAGCAAACTTCGGCAAGCCGAAGTTCATATACCCTTGCAGCTATTGCATGAATTAAATACTTTTGAAAACATTTAAATTATGATTTACTTGAATATATGCTGAAAAACATTGAAACTATGATGATTTGCAGCTCAATTATTAGATAGTTATTTTATATATTTTTATATTTCTATGGGAGCTATATGCTATAGAAGTCCGATTTTGATAAAAATTTAAACCATAATTCTGAAATAATTAAACATTGCTATATGTCGAAGAACTAAACAAAAAATTAAAAAACAGAAAAGTTATAATTTTTTTCATTTATTTTTCCGATTGTTCCTATGGGAGCTATATGCTATAGTCGTCCGATCCGGCTCGTTCCGACTTATATACTACCTGCAATAGAAAGACAACTTTTGGGAAAGTTTCATGCAGATAGCTTTAAAACTGAGAGACTAGTTTGCATATAAACGGACGGACAGACGGACGGACAGACGGACGGACAGACGGACGGACGGACAGACGGACGGACGGACAGACGGACGGACAGACGGACGGACAGACGGACGGACAGACGGACGGACAGACGGACGGACAGACGGACATGGCTAGATCGACTCTACTAGTGATAGTGAGCTGATCAAGAATATATATACCTTCTAGGGTCGGAAACGTCTCCTTCACTGCGTTGCAAACTTCTGACTGAAATTATAATACCCTCTGCAAGGGTATAAAAATGGTTCGTGAGAACGTAAAGACCTGCATGGCAAACAAAAGTCTATTTTGGAAAGCAACACGGGGCAATCAAGGCTGCCAGCAAGAAGGTCATCCAGGAAAAGTAAGGCCTGTAGTTTCCTATGGTCTTCAAGGCTAGAAAGATGGAAAGACGAAATCTGCTAGAAGAAGATGGCAAATGGTTAGCAAAATTAATTAAAGAAAGAGCAAATCTGAGAATTTTGTGCTGAATGCGCTTAATTCCATTAACGTGCGAAGAAGCAAATTATTGACACACCACGAACTTACGAGGTTCTGGTCCGCATGAAGCAGGCTAGTATCAGCATCTGAACGGAGAGATCTAAAGATCTTTATGTCATCAGCATATAGAAGATATTCTGAGTTCATAAAATAGCAGGAAACGTGTTTAATAAATATTATAAAAAGAAGAGTGCCAAGGGCTCTACCTTGAGGAAGGCCTGAAGTTGCAACATATGGGCAAGAAAGATTATCATTAATGTAGACCTACCGGACATTAACCCATGCTGATTTGAGGAAATGTAGGGCTTAACAAGAAAGGAAAGATGCTTGGTGATAATCCGCTAAAAAAGTTTAGATATGTTACTCAATTTGGCAATGGGTCGATAGTTAATGATAAGGCATTTACTACCCGATTTATGAATTGGTGTAACCGTGGCTTCTTTCCATTTATTAATAAAACACCCCCTGGAAAGTGACAACTCGAAAATTAACGTTAGAGGCTGACAAAGTGCTGAGACACAATTTTTTAAGAAACAGGGAGAAATCCCATCCAGGTCAGGCTTATTATTGTCTTCAAAAACGTCTACCGCTTGACGAAGAAACAAAATATTATTCAGTGTTTCTAGATGGTTGCAATCACTAGGAGGTTCGAAGTTTAAATCAAGAAAAGATTTGCCACACCCATCCCAGAAGAAACAATAATGTTATCCATAGTCATAGACGAAGGTATAGAAGACAAATTCTTTTTATAATTAACAAACCTCCAGAAAGTTTTAGGATTTTGTTTAAAACCATTCTCAAAATTTATAATGTACTCATTGTACAGAAATGTATTCAAACTACCTATGCTAACTTCCGCTTGTGCATCAACACATGTGACAAAACGAAAGATCAATTAATAGTTATTATATCATTACGAACAGCGAGTAGATTATTTTCATTGAAAGTGTAAAATGGAACTTGAGGTAATTCATGCTCAAAAGTATAAAATTCTAAATTTAAAAGCAATGGCATATGATGAACGTCGCACTTCGAATCTAGGCTTATAGAATAATTGATTTCTGAATTAACAAAAACTTGATCTAATAGTTTATTTAAACTGTTAAAGATTGTGTTCATCTGGCTTAAGCTTATACTGAACAAATCATCAATTAATCTCAAGCATTATTCATATAGTTGTCTCTGTCTCTGAGCTTCAATGAATTCGTCAATGAATGAAGCGAACAATGTAGTGTCATACCCGTAATAGTAGTAACATGTTTGAATTGTTAAAAATTATTTTGTAATGGCACCTCAGAATCGCTTCGATTCTAACCTACTAGAGTTTTGCAAATCCGCCGCACCTGTTCTTTTTCATCGTCTTTGGCAGCTTTGGACCCGAACACTTCTTGTGACACGTTTGCAACACTGGTGCCAAGCAGCTGATTCACGCACAAAATTTAAAATACAAAATGTTGCAAAAAAACGAAGGACTGCCGCAAGCTGGGTAACATGGGAAATCCAGGGATGCCCTAAATCGGGTCCAATTTTCTCAATTAGGAAAAGAAATAGATCTTTGTCAATCCGGTAACATTGCAAAAATCTGCAAAACTTTCAGTTAAATGTTAGCATTGCATCTTAAATTTCGGTTGTTGAGTTTAATGTCCAAAATTGCCAAAAGTCGAAATACATTGTTTAAATAAGTAGAATTTGTTATTTTTGGCTACCAATAAATTTATTGACGTATTTTAGACATTAAATGTAGGCACCGATAATGCACAAAGATTATGAACAGCGGCGGGCCAAATATTGACAAGAGATTTGCCTGGAAAACTTAGGCAAATCATAGGCTTTTGTTAAGAGCAGTAGCGGCACTCAGCTGTTTTATTTCCCCCAAATAGTAATTTCCCTAGGAAATTTGCGAGCTAGCAAGTGAACTTTGATTACGTTTAAGCAAAATCTGTCAAAGCTAACGAATTCACTTCCGAGTGAAAACTGGAACAGGCCCGATAATTTTTAAAATTTTTGTTTCGTTTGATACCATGGGAGCTTTATGTTATAGTCGTCCGATCCGACTCGTCCCGACTTATATACAACCTGCAATAGAAAGACGATTTTTGGGAAAGTTTTATGCAGATAGCTTGAGAACTAAGAGACTAGCTTGCGTAGAAACGGACGTACAGTCAGACGGACAGAAGGAAGGACGGACGGACATGGCTAGATAGTGATGCTGATCAAGAATATATACACTTTGAAAGGAAATGTCTCCTTCACTGCGTTGCAAACTTCTTACTGAAATTACAATACCCTCGGCAAGGGTATAAAAATTAAAATTATTACGGTCCCTGCAAAAAAAAAATGCAAATACAAAATGGCAAATTTAATCGAACTACATTCAGCTTACAGATGTAAGCAAATAATAAAAAAAAACAAGAAAGGAAGCAGGCTTCGGGAACCCGAAGATTATATACCCTCATAGCTAAAACATTGAGCGATTATTCAGATCAATTATTCGATCGTCCCTATGGCAGCTATATGACATCGTTTTCCGATTTGAATAAAATTAAAATCGTAATTCTATACTATTATATTATTTATATATTAAAAATGTTTGTTTTTACGTTCAAAAATTGTGATCTCTAATAATTTTTCTATCTATTTTTTTATATTTTTTTGTTGTTGCAATTTGATCTTATGATATAGTTCTGGAATATTTCCCAATTACTATATCTCAATGAACTCACAAAAAAAATTAAAACAGCAAAGTTTTAATTTTCTCATTGATTTTTCCGATTGCTCCTATAGAATCTATATGCTACAATCGTCGTTTCATGCGGATAGCTTTAAAACTGAGAGACTAGTTTGTAAACGGACGGACAGACGGACATGGCTAGATCGACTCACCTAGTGATGCTGATCAAGAATGTATAAACTTTTATGGTCGGACATGTCTCGTTCAATGCGTTGCAAATTTCTGACTGAAATTGTAATACCGTCTGCAACGGTATAAAAAATGAGTGAAGATGCTATGTTTGTGGTAGAGGAACGACGTGGCAAAAAACCGCGATGGCTTGAGCTACAATCCGTCCGAGCATTCTAAAAAATGGTTTAGCTTTGGGACCGCTTTATAATTTTAGCAAAATACTTTTACTGTGCCTAGATTACACTTTTGTTTGAGTACTTAGCCTGATGTTGCTGCTGCAAATGAATGAAGAATCTAGATTTATAAAATCCAACCTCAAAGGTTCAAAGGAATCCAAGTTTTAGTGTGAAACGTAAGGTAAAAGGCTTCAAAGTACAGCGGAGACTTGAATATTGGAGATTGAGAGCAGGATTTGCTAGTGGAGATATCATTTTAGAGAGCGGAGAGAGTGGAGACATTAAAAAATCGCCTGGACACCGTCTTTAGAATTTTAAAGCCTACTTGTGAGCACCCACAGCAAAGCAGTGTAAACTATTGACTAATTGATTTTTGTTCCAACTGGACTGGCATACTTAAATTTTAAAATATAACATTAATAATATTCCTAATTTATTTTTTTTCCATGTTTCAGGTCAAAGTAATGCAAGTGCAAATATGCAAAAGTCGAAATCATTATCTAACGTGGGACAATTTGTTACTAAAAAAATATGGCGAAGTCGTTCCAAAAGCCAAAACAGGCGAAATTTATCTAAAGATAGTTTGCCTTTACCCCTTCTAAAGTGGTATCCTTCGGTAAGAAAATAAAATTCAAAAATGTTAATAAAACTTAAACTTTAAACATAATTTTCAGGAGAATCTGTTATGGATTTCAGAATCTGGCGAGAAGTTTCAAGTTTCGGCGACCCTACTGGTAAACTTGTCGAAAACAGAATCAGACTTAGTAAAGGATTTCGCCCTGGAAAAAATTAAAGAATTTAATTTGGGAAATATTGAAGGTTCGATTTTTAAACACAACTTAAACTGTTTTGTAATGATTAATTAATTGTAATTTTTACTTTAAACCAGGCATCGTAAAGATTACAAGTTTTATTAAAAATATTGGTTTTCAACGATTATTTTTCGAGTTTTTTTTTTAAATCTCAAAAAACATATTTTGGTTATTTTTTTCAGCTCTACAAATAATGATTAACCTATTAGTTTTATTTTCGGATTGCCAAACAACGCTTGAGTCGAAAGTTTTATTTTTTGACACAACATAAGAATAAAATTAAAATCGTAAATCTGAACTATAAAATTATTACTATTTCCAAGCAAATTAAAAAAAAAAAACAATATATAAGTTTCATTTTTTTGTAAATTTATTTTATTTTTTTATATTTCGATTGTTTCCATGGGAGCATAAAGCCGTCCAATTTTATTGAAATTTAAATCGTAATTCTGAAATATTTATCCATTATAAAGTATGGGTGGGTTTAGGGTCTTAAACATTTTTTTTCATTTGTTTTTTTATTATTTCTCTGAATCAACAATATGTTGAGAATTTTCAAACGGAGTTACAGCGTTGCAAACAACCGGCCGTGCTGCCAGATTGATCACGTATGATAAACTCAAAATCGGTTTTCCCGATAACTTTTCTTTCGAACTTCAAGTTCGTGAATATCACAACTCAAACATTTGAACATTATTTCTTCACATAATTCAGCATGTAATCACTAAGAGTTTTATTTTTATTTTTTAATAAGTAGTTAACCCCGATTTTTTTATTAAGATCGCTTTGTTCACTTCAAAAAAATAAAAAAAAAAATAAAATACGGTAATCACGAAGAACTCGAAAAATTCATCAGCTTTAAAATGCGTATAATTTTTGTATTCTGATAATCCTGTCACAAGTTATAATGTTCACCGCAAACCAACTTATTATTAAGGCGCCTCCGAAGATTCACGGTCCCGGCTTACTTTTCATTATTTTTTTTTAAATTTTATCTTACATTTTTTAAAAGTTGTATAATACTATGTAATTAAATTTTAAAAAAATAGTATTATAGCTGTCGCCGCAAAAATTCATAAAAATATGCGTTTTTCGTCTTTAAAACCCATTTTTGAGGTCGGAGATGTCTCCTGCACTACGTTGCAAACTCTGCAAGGGTATAAAAATACATGCTGAAACCCGAAAATTATTTTATCTTGAAGATTCACGAATCTAACAAGCTATTGAAGAATCCGCAGGTAAGCCGGTTTTATACGGATTTTACTGTCTGCGAAACAAGGGTATTTTTCGACTGTTAGACCCCTGTTGTCTTCGCTAGCATCTGCAAATAGCACTTAACATATGCTTTGCAGTCGCTAAAAGTCCTAAAAAAAACCGTTCTTGCAAGCTTGAAAAAATCGTGTAAAACTGATTTACCGGCGGAATGTTGAAGTTAAAAACTCGGTAGATTCGTGAAAACTCCATCTTCAAGATGTATGTTGTCGGAACATCTGTTTTTGTTATTTATTTAAACTCTGTCGAGCCTAGCATCTTTGTTAGTAAACTTAAGAATTATCCATTGTTAGTGAAATAAGCTATGTATGACCGAAATCGGTTAAGCCTTACTGGAGATAAAAAAATAAAATTGACATGATAACAGGCGAAAAACGTTATCTACACTTTTAAAAAAGTTGGTACCATTACATCAAAATTTGAGGGTCCTTTTTTAAACCATCTGCACCGGAAAATCAAGGTTTGATCTCTGGAGGCTTTCATCGATTTTAACTTGTAGATGAAAAGAATGTTAAAGATAGAAGGAAGCTTTCCGACCCTATAAAGTTTATATATTTTTGTCGAAGAACAAAAGCCGCCTGTCTGTTTGTCAGTCTGACTGTCCGTGTGTCCGTGCGCTGTCCGATCTCGCAAAAGTTTATTTCCCAATTTAGATTGTAAGCACACAAATCGCGAAACTCTGTCATTTCCAAATTGGACTCAAAAAACATTTAAAAAAAGGATCATGTATTTGAAATTTCGGAATAAAGCGAATGCTCTATTAATGGGGGAGAGTTGATCCTGCAGTCCGGCTGATGGCGCCTACAAAACCGGATTCGTTGTAATTGGCTTCTCTATCAATTTGCATTTTTTATTTTGAAAGATAACCTTAAATATGGCTTCGCGATTATTTATATATATTAAAATCTTATAAGTTAATTTAAACTATTGAATAAAAATTTTTATAGTTATTTTTACTTATTTAAATTTTAGATTTGAAGAAAACGTCGCCAAAACGACAAATCGTTCCTAAAAAAAAATCGTTGACCACTAGCTTTTTTGACATTGGAAGAAAAGATGATCAACGTAAGTTTAAGTTAACCAGTCGGTGTATAATTTTACACTTTGGTATTCAATGTATTTTAACCTAAGAAAATTCTTCTTTTAATATATCAAGATGGTCGATTAGTTTTGTTTGGAACTTCGCTGGAATGTTGTGTAACGAGAGACAGACAAGGAAACGATGACATAGAGAACCGTTCTAAATATTCCCTAATGTCAGTGTTTCGGGGAAGCGGTAGTAACCCAGGGAGTGTTATGAAGCTAAATGAACATGTAAGACTTTTTGGTTTACTAGATAAATAACCTTTTAAGCATAACAGCCGTATGTTATTTGATATTCGATAAATATAATTTAATAAATAGGGATCGCAAAAGTTTGTAAGAACTTGACCACTTTATTTTAACTAATCCTGCTCAACAACGGTCTCTAATAAGTGATTCAGACACGAAAAGAAGAAAGTATAAATGTTCAAATCTTAATGGCACAAGAAGTAAAGTGGTACAAAGGGCGAATGCGGCTAGAACGATAAATAAGGTGACAGCAAACGGCATCACTGTTATGTAAATTTTCAAATGAACCGTTACAGGAAATGCGGCGAGAACGAAAACTGTACAGCATTTAAAATAGAGAAACGTTGGGCCGATGTCGTAGTACAGGAATTGACGTTAGCGTCGGCAGAGGGAGAAAACAAATTGCGATAAAACGCGACACTCCGGACACGGCAATACGGGGCGCGAAAAGGAGTAGGATATAAAACCGGTGTGCCTTTTTATATGATCAGTTTTCTCGAAAGTTTACACTTTTACCAAATTGCGACGAAACTAAGTTAGTTACAGTCAATACACAAAGTATGTGTACAGCCCTTACATTCAACATTGAAGGCCCAAAACTTCTTAGGTACTAACTTACTAACTTTAGATATATACTTGTATTTAAAAATAAATGAGCAAAGCGTTTTCAGTGTAGTTCGAAGAAATTTTAAATTAGTGTTGGCATTCTATTTCTCAATTATATTGAATCATTATTCTTACACCTCACTCATTTTAGGTAAGGTCATGTGAAAGCTTACCAACTAAATCTTCGGAATACGGATGCATGGACACCTCTGAATGTTTTAGTGACTCTTTTACAAGCACTGAAATAAGGTTTGATAAGCCCTTTCAAGAAAAATCCCTTCTCATGGTGCCAATATTCGTTAATAACTGTATCGAATATTTAGAAGAGAACGGCTTACAAAAGGTTGGACTCTTTCGAGTGAGCACGTCCAAAAAACGAGTCAAGCAAGTAAGTTGACAAGCTGCAAACATTGAAACCATTTTTAATTTTTTAAATCGTTTAAAAGATGCGCGAAGAATTTGATAAGGACTGTCATACTAAGTTTTTTGTCGATACATGCCCTCATGACGTTGCCACCCTGCTGAAGGAATATCTACGGGATCTTCCAGAACCACTTCTTTGCGACAGACTCTACTCAACTTTTCTAAAAACACAACGTATGCACTTTATTCATATATATGTAATTGATTGTGAACCGACTAATTTCAGGTATAAGAAATCGACGCTTGCAACTAGAGGCTATATCACATTTAATAAGACTACTTCCCATACCACACAGAGACACCTTGTATGTCCTTCTAATATTTCTAGCAAAAGTAGCAGCACATAGCGATGATTTATGCAATACTGACGGGAGTTGTCTAATGACTGGAAATAAAATGGATAGCAATAATCTAGCGACAGTATTTGCACCCAATATTTTGCGTAGCACACTTTTGACATTTCCAAGGAATAAAGAACAGGAGCATATGAGCGATGCAATTAATGTCGTAAGGTGGGTCCATGTATTTCATTGTTCAACAGTCCTTTTATGTCTCTGAAAGGATTCAGTACAGTTTAAACTATTTTTTATTAATAGCTACGAACATTATATCTACAACCAAATCAATCAATCATTTAAATATGATAAATTTTTTTAATAATTTCCCTCAGTTGAAATAAAAAAGCCACATCCTCTTAGATCTGGAGGTTTAGTTTAATAAAACTAGGTTTAAGCGCCCAAGCTTCTTTAAATTCAGATTTAAATAATTTGGCTAAGTTCAAAAGACTGTACAGTAATCAAAAGCTAATCAAAACATATACGATTATTATTCTGTTTTGTGACGAACAACTTATAATTGTTTCTATTGTGTACTTTTATTTAGTTACGTGACTTATTTTATTGAACGGATTATACACGTGCCTAAACTTAAGCTAATACAGTATAGAGATCGTAAAAAGAATATCGATATTCATACCGATACACCAAACACCTATTGTATTGATCGAAAGTCAAAACGAAAAAGGAACTTCCAAATCATTTAAACTTAGCACTTTTTCCCCTCTTACGGCGATGATGAAAATAATACTCTCGGCTTTCGAAGTTTATTAGAACGCCTAAGGACTTGTTAAGTAGATTTCTCCAACTAGGGGTATACAGCCCCGTGTGGTCACATCACGGGAGCGTCGAGAAATTAACTTACCATAGTCGTCATTCATAACTTGGCCTGCTCAAAAACTCGATGAAGAAATTTCGTAGTTACATTTTTCGACGCTCTCGTCGGTATTCGAGGTGTAGTTTTGCGACCCCTTCAGTACGAATAAGGTACCTTCGTGTGCGTAGTTGCCTGCCCAATAACAGCTTAGAAGGTCAGTTGTGGAGTGTGGAGCGTTATGGTAGTGACGAAGAAATTCGTTTAGGTCTGCACTTAAAGAACACAAAGTAGTAGCCATTGCTTTGAGTGCCGTAATGAAGTTTTTCCAAAACCAACTTCCTGAGTCGGGACTACTACTCTGTGTAGATTTGGTAGTGATGTTCCTTGGACCGATTTCAATACCTTTAACTATTTGTCATCTTTTCTAGTCACTTGAGCTGTTCGGGTAGATATTATTGGTAGTTGCTTAACTTGCCGTTTAAAGAAACTGTCAATTGCATCGGACTCTTCAATAGTCCAATCAGATATGAAGAATTTGTTTAACTTGGGTATTTCTTTTAATAAACACTGTCATGGAGTAAACACATATTCAAAAAATTGTGTGCACCCGTAAACCTTTCTATTTGTTTTAAAAACTTTTTCAAGACAATCGTAAAGCATACAAATTTTTATTCTTTCCAGATATGAAACCTTGTACTCAAGAATACAATTTTTAATTAACTCTTGCAGAGCTTATTATAATTTTAGTCAGAAGTTTGCAACGCAGTGAAGGATACATTTCCGACCCTATAAAGTATATCCGGCCTGATCCAGTTTTCACTCGGAAGTGAATTCGTTCACACTGGCGGATTTCCCTTTAACATAATCAAAGTTCCTTGGCTTGCTAGCAAATTTCCTAGGGAAATTACTATTTGGGTGGATATAGAATAGCTGACTGCCGCTACTGCTCTAAACAAAAGCCTATGATTTGCCTAAGTTTTCCAGGCAAATCTCTTGTCAATATTTGGCCCGCTGCTGTTCTTAAGCTTTGTGCATTATTGGTGCACACATTTATCGTCTAAAATCAGTCAAAAAATCATTAGTAGACAAAAATAACAAATTTTACTTATTTTAAAGGCAGTGATGCAAACTGACCAGCAAAAGTGTTGAACATATTGTGTGAATCACCAGTGTTGCAAACGTGTCACAAGTAGTGCTCGGGTCCAAAGTTGCCAAAGACGATGAAAAAGGTCCCAAGACAACACGCTTTGCACAATAAGTACATTAAATTAAGGGGTAATAAGAAAAAAATCACTGTTAAACTAAACTTAGATAATTTACAACTCTAACCATGTAAAAACAAACCGAAAAGTGCTTCCTAAAAATAAGTCCCAAGAAAATAATTCTTTTTTTTCGTACTATGACAACCCTTGCTATCAAATCGTTCGGAAACTAGAACAGGGGCGGCGGATTTGCAAAACACTAGTAGGTTAGAATCGAAGCGATTCTGAGGTGCCATCACAAAATAATTTTTAAAAAGTCAAATATGTTACTAATACTCGAATCTGTTATGCAAAGAATTATTTTCTGTTCTTGCGGAACTGAATCCGTCAGGCAAATGCTTGGCGAAAAGTTTCCGTGAGATTTTAACTCTTTTTTATACTAAAGAACATAAAGGCTATGCAACTTAACTTTAACTCAGGACAATCCAACTACGATAGAAAAATAAAATAGTTTTTGAATATTAAGGTTTTTATTTTTTAGTGTTATATATGTATTAATAAAGTTTACATTTTTTCAAATTACTATCTTTTTGTCAGGACCATGATCGATCATTATGAAGAAATTTTTAAGATATCAGCAGAATTGCTTAACGTTATTTATACACAAGTGTTGGAAGCATGTCCCGAAAAGTTATACGAGCTGATTTCGACGAAAATAAATGGATCTGAATGGTAAGGCATTTTGACATTATTATTTGTGTTATTATAAGAACCATTGTAAATGCACAATAGGTAGCTAAAATTTGAAAGTTTATACTCTAATCGACTGATTATTTGGATTAGTATTAAAACGCATTTAGCCCAATGCTCATTTGTTTACAAAGGCCTCGTCCCATTTGCCTCAAACGATTTTAAGAATAATTACCGGAAAACACTGATATTTTCCGTTAGTTTATATGCAAGGATGGCGCAATTTTAAATTTTCTTTCTAATAAAAAATGACTGAAAACAAGAGCAAGCGCAGTTGCAGTACCACAATGCAGTAGTGCTGGATCTCTGGCAGAAAAATACTATTACATATAGGGGGATCTTTGGTCTTTTTTAGGAACTGTTGTGGTCTCCTTAGCAAACTCCTCAAACAACACCATCAGCACCCCTTCCTTGTCGTTCAAGCAGGCAAATGCCTCGATAGCATTATGTATGTTAAGCAAGAAGTGTTAAGGGTTATAAAAAAATTTATTTATTAAGGACTTAATATCCTCTTAAATTGGTAGAAAATTGGGATCTAAATTTAGACCCAACGAGGGATTATCCTTGGCTTAGCCGAATGAGTCGAAAATAAGTCACAAAATTTGATAGCAAAGGTTTTTGGAGTTGAAGGTGAGATCGTCACTTTGTTTATACATTATCAAGAAGTTTAGGGCCAAAAATATATATATAAAAAATAAGGGTTATTTGAAAATCGTTAATTTTGGTCGACCTGTAAAATCCTTAGTATCTTAATCTACTTTTAGGTGTGACCACATCGATCACTTTAGTGACACTGACTTGGTTAAATGGCAAGATGATACTAAAGATCCAAAAAAAACGTCTCAATTTAATACCAATGACACCAAAAGAAAGCAAAAGGAAAACATTGAAGTTTTCACTGGAAGTCTAAAAATATCTGTGCCAGGAAATACTCATATAAGCCAGATAGAATCTTTAGAAAACAAAGGTATATATATATATTAAAATATTACTTCTTATTATTTTTTGGCCGTCTATTGATTTATATAACTTAGAAAATAAAACGACGAGCCATAAACTTTCTGGAGCCAAACTACCAGCCAACCCATTAGAAACTGAGATTGCTACATTAGGTGGAAATGTGGTAGATCTTGAAACAAAACCCAAAGCAACTACATCAAATAATCTAAATGACATCAATCAAGCCGGAATTCGGAAAAAAGCTATTTACAAACGGCAGCACTTAATATCTAGCTCAAGACGAATAAACCAAGGACCCTAAATATTTAATAATTCTAATTAACTTTTGCAATGTGTTAATTCAATAAGAAACGATAAAAATATATAAAAATAATACTGAATTTCTATTATTTTCGAAGAACTTTATTCCTTTGTTTAAGGATTATTGTAACATATAGCTACCGCGGAATCCTCAGCTGATGAAATTTAAGTTTGTATGGGAATTTTTCTCAGGAGCATAACATCGAGATTTATAGATAATAATTATATAAATAATACTAAAAACTTTTTATTTTATTTTTTGGGCTGAGGGTGGAAAATGCCTTCTGTATCTCACACGTCGTAGATGTGGTATGTGGGGCTCGCACCCACCAAAAACCCTCCTCATCATGCCGCTTATCGGAAAAGCTTTCGTTAAAAGCCTCTACTTGATTGCCAATATATACCAAAGTTGATTGTCTATTGGCATTCAAAAAAAGCGACCTACATGCCCTTCATTTCGGTTGTCGAGGTCCTTCTTTAGGTTAATCCGATCCGTTACTGTCTAGATCAATTTTTTTTTATCTCAAAATTCTTAAAACAAAGACTTGAACTTGCTTCCAAGCTTCTTCACAGCTCTTCAATTTTACCACGATGTTTGCTGGCGATATTTCTCCAATACTATCGGTTAGTCTTCTTTGTTCAGTTTTGAAACGATTGCAAAGGAAAATTTTGTGCCCAACACTATCTATTACAGCTCCTCCATATATACAGTTGGCATGTGAGCTTTTTTCGAATGAGTGCAAAAAGGCCCTGAAATATCCGTGACCAGTCAACATTTGTGTTATAGTATGTTATTATGTTATAGTCAAAATCTACGTGTTTCCTCTTAGTTCAGTCCTTGAGATTTGGTATAAGCCTAGCTGACCATTTTTCTGGGCATTCGTGTTCCCATCTAGTCTGACACAGATTCAGGGTTTCTTCTCTACAGAGATTCTTTTGCTTGCCTTGTCGCTTCTCCATTCTGTTGTAGACCGTGAACTTGTTTGCGTTGTCTAGCTAAATGATCGATCGGTATAATTTCCAGATCCAGATACCGTTCTGTATGTGCTTATTATCCTTAATGATATTGTCCTTTGTACAGCGAGTAAGGGTTTCAGTCTGCAGCTTACCCGTAGGGTGCCTGCGCATGACGAAAATGATTGTCTTATTTTTGTTTGACAACATATCGACACTTTTTAAATTGCAAAAAATGTCCCAGCTATAGCCTTGAGAACTCTCATCGACACGGGCACAGCCTTGTTTGACTCCTTGCTATCTATTGGAGATGATAGACGCATTACTAATGCTATTTTAATACATCTGGTAATAAATTCGATGCAGGAACTAAAAGAAAATGGGAAGAACAGTTGGATTATACTTCGCTTCCACTTTGGAGCGAATGTGAGGCGGCCCTCAACAGGCGATACCAACATATGGTAGCAGACCCAATCTGACCCTAAGAAGAATGGAAATAGGAGTTTTTCGTTTGTCGCTGCCAGAAACGACCCTGTTCAATGCGTGTATTGCAACTCAGCTGAATATCAGACTGGAAACTGCGCTTCCTTGGCAGCCCTAACAGTTCAGCAAAGACTTGATGTCGCTTAAAGAGCACCCTTAAGAAAGGGTCACACGTTCAAAAAATGCAAATCAAACAGATGTAGAGAGTGCAATTCCTGACATCACACGTTGCCACACATATATTCCCCAAGCACAAATCTCGCGTTGCCACCCCCTTCTTAGCCCACGCTCATTCTCAACCTGCTGATGGTTTGAAAGTGTCTTTATTGACCGCCACGTCGAAAATAGCCCCTTCAAGGCGAAAACTTTGCCCCGCCTTGAGCTGTGTGCCGCTCACCTTTTAGCAGATCTCTATAACCGTTTCAGGGCATTGGTAAATTGTCCCATTGAGAATGTTTTCCTGTGGGAGAGAGAGATCACTTTGCACTGGATCAAAACCCATCCCTCGTCTTTGTCGGTTTTTGTTTCGAACCGGGTTTCAGAAATTCATGAGTGGTCGGAGAAAGCAATTTGAAGACACGTTCCCAAGAAAGTCAACCCAGCAGACATAGTGTCCCGAAGATGTGACCTAGAGGAGCTTACAACGTCCATTTGGTTCGAAGGGCCTTCGTTCTGGCTCGACTCAGAAAATAATTGGACTGTAAATAGACATTTCGAACTCCCGGCTGATGTAATGTCGATGGAGTTAAATTATTTGCTTCAGAAAGTAGAGTCCTTTTCTTCTGAGAGTATTCGTGTGGGTTTTTCGTTTTATTCAAAGGTGCAGAAAGGTGTCAAATCCCTTTGAAAAAAGTATTTCGCCAAGAGAACTGGATTTCGCTTTTGAGAAAGTGGTCGAAGCTATCCAATTTCACGAATTCAGGAACGACATAAGTAAAATTCAGAAAAATGCACCGGTAGAAACGAATGTTTAAAAGTTAAACCCTTTTCTTTAGGAAAATAAATTGGATTGGTGTTCCTCGATATTGCTCACAGTTCGTCAGATCCTATGTGTACATTACGAATTGTCTGCGCGAGAAAATATGGCTAGTTAAAAACAATAGACAAAGTATCGCAATAAGAGCTTGAAAGTGATTTAGTGATATATTCTACAATTTATTTGGTAAGTCTGCATTGCGCACATATTCTGACGAAATGAATATATTTAATAATTGTTATAACTGCAAGGGTATATAAACTTACATTTTTTTTGTTTAAATTCAAATTCACACCAAATGACTTACGGCAGATGAGATCAGCAAAGTTTGATTTTTATGAAACTAAATTTCAGAATACATTTACTTAACACACCTGGCGTAAGCTCAAAAATATAGGAATTGGTAAAAGCAAGCAGACGCCCCAATAGTAAACACAATGTTTGTGCAGTTTTATGTTCCTGAAACTACTTGTTACTTAAGTACCTGAACGCCTCCTAGCGTAAAGTCTAACGCCTAGGACTGGATGGCATCCGTCCTAAATTACTCTTTACCCACATTGCACATATTAAGAACACAGCAAAAAAAAAATGTACCTTTACCGAAATGTCAGACCGATATCCCTACTAGAATCCTGCATAAGTGAACTTCTAAGTGAGAACGTGTAAGTTTTCTTGAAATCTTCACTTACTTCATCTTTCAAATAAAGCGCTTACACAGAATTTTAGGTCACACATTACTTGAAACGACTAATAGCCTCATTCCATTGGCGCATTAAAACGCATTAAGACTAATACGCATTTATTTACACAGGGAATCCCATAAGGCTAAATGCCGCATTTAAAATAAATGCGATTATTAAATGCGATTAAAAACCATTCGCACCGAACGTTTTTAGGAAAAATACAGGAAAATACCGATGTTTAACGATATTTTGTTCGTGCCATGACTACAACAGATGTTTTCTATATGCAAGGTTTGCGCAATTTTTGATGCCTTTGAATATAATAATTTTGTATAAAAATGACTAAAACCTAGAGTGCACGCTGCAAATTCTGCTCGCAGTACCGCAATTAAATAACTCCCACATATACGGGGATCCTAGCCCTTTATGGAAACTGTGGTGGTCTCCATTGCAAACGCGTCATAACAACGCAATCAGTTTCTCTTCCTTGTCGTCCAAGTTGGCAAATGTCTCGGTCGCACTATGGATGTCCTGCTGAGCATTACAGAGTTTAGTAAACTCACTCATGTTCATTAATTTTAATTAATTTCTTTTGGATTTTCCCAAATTCGAAAGTAAACAATCCCAGATCAGCTGTTCGTGCCACTCACATGTCGGAGTAGCATTAGCTAAATGCTAATGCGCCAATGGAATTAGGCACATTAAAAACGTCCACTAATGCGGCAATGGAATCAGGCTATAAGTCACTTGGAATTCGTAAAGTGAACTCAATGACTTATAAGTCATTTGAGCACTTTCAATTTCAAAAACAATTCATCGGAAAATGTACATTTAAAGAGTAGTTTGGCAAATTATTTCCTAAGTGTATGCAATAATTTGAACACATTTTTATTTCTAATATTTATTGTTTTCTTTAATAAAATATTCTCTTATATTGTTACCAAGTCTCCTTTTGTTTACAGTCTATATTTGTTCAATATAAATATTAATATTGCAATACAATACAATATAATTTTTTTATAATAAGCACTTTCATTTAAATTTAACTTACAAACAGCGTTAGCGTAAGATTATATTCACAGCCAATTCTTATAAATAGTTTGAATATTGTTTACTTCTTTCACATGCCCTTTACCATCCACTTAATATTATTATTGTACCAACATTTTATAAATTTATAAATTTAGAAATTACGAAAATTAAATTCAAGCCGACAAAATTTCTTTAAGAAACAAAACAAATTGTGAAAATAGATACCCACTCAATGTGACCAACTTGAGTGAATACCTATTATATGACTATTCCACGCATAGATTAAAAAACATAAATCTTAATCTACATGTTTCATTTCAATATTATTTCCGTTACTATATACGATTACAAAATATTCAAATTGAATTCATTTCATCACTCTGATAAAAAAAAAATCAGGCACTTAATATAATTATTTTCTTACAATATCTTAATTCCGTTTTCTTTTTTTAAATACTTATCCATTTACATTTTCTAAAAATAAAACAGGAAGAGACTGGAAACTCCTCTAAGTTTTTCCTGTTTCATGTCATTAAACATATTCAATTAACTAAAGTTATTTTTATAATTATTGAGCATATAAGATAGAAATTAGTTTATTATGTCCACTTACAATTAATATATAAACATTATTATATACTTTCATTAGTAGTGCTACTATTGTCAAGACGTTGTCTGTATTATATTTCTTAAATGTTCGACATTTGATTCTAAATTCAGCATCAAAATAAATCCAAAGCTAAGTTTTCGAAGAATAGTAACTAAAAGTTTAAATTTCTATGTTTTGATTAAATCTTATGACAGAAAATTATTTTTTTATTAAAATTATTATATGCGTATAAGAGTTTTAGTTATTGTTCAGCACGGCTACTAGAAAAATATAATTTTAGCTTCGGTTTTCCTTATTTAAATTTATAAAAAGCCTAATCAATATATTCCTGCAAAAATTGAGTTACACTGCTAAAGACTTAAAGGGGCTATACCAGTGTAAGGTTTTTGTTTTACAGCAATATTGAGAAATAACGGGACTAAAGGAAGCAAAAAAGTTTTTTAAATTCTGCCAAATGGACAATTTTTAACCAATCCAAAAGTTCGTAGGTCATTGTAGGTAGGACCTATTTATGATGATTGAATGTCATTTTGAAACCGATCGGTCAACTTGTAGTCAAGTTATGATGTCAGCAGTTTCCAAAATGTCATTTCGAGATAAACGAAGTTAAGGTTTCAGGCAAGCTTTAGAACGCTGCCATTTAAAAACAATTGAAACTATTGATATGGACAAAAAAAAATTTTTTCCAATAAAGTTAAATGTTAATAAAATTGATTTTGATAACTACTAAAAACATTGTTTCAAAAATCCAAATTTTATATTTTTCATTTAAGTTACCTTAAACATATTCAGAGTATGTGGGTGAAGCGATTGCTATATCTTTGTAAAAGTTATAGCTCTGAGAAGCCCTCATTCGTACTTAAACATTCAAACTCGTTTTTCTTGAAAAATATTTTTCGAACTGGCGACTATGATTTCTGAAAACGATTTTGTTCAAATTCGTAAGGTATGTACCAAATAATAACTGAAAAAGTCAAGTAATAACATTTTACTGCTTCCAAAAAAATTCCCAAAAAGTGTTTAAAAAAATGGTTAACATGTGTGAAATGTTAAGGGGGAACAAAAATAAATTATAAATTCGAAAGGTTATTGCATTAAAATTTTAAATACTGTTCACTAAAATCTTGCAGTAAAATTATAACATATTTTACATTTTAGTGGTGTGAAAAAAAAGTACAAATTAATAAATTATACAATTTTATCACTGGGATTGAGTTTATATATTTTAAAACTTGTATTTGTAAGTTTTGCTTCTCTAGTTTCGAAAATCCGTAAGTTATTAGTTAGTTTTTAAATAAAAAAAGGAAAATGTTTAACATTTTCTTCTCAACAAAACTAGCTAAGCCCTATGATTGAAATTTGAGAACTTACTGTGAAAACTGTCTAAATTTTTAAAAAAGCCTAGAGTGCCATAATCAATAATGTTTGAGTCAGTATTTAAAAATTAAATTTATTTTACTTATATATAGCCACAATAAGTAAAAGTACCGGGTTAGGCACGGGTTAAAGCTATTTTTAATGAGAACTTCCACTTTTCAAATTATTACAAAAACACTCAACCGCTATTTACAGTTCCTATGATTGAAGCCAATTCATGTATTAAAAACAAGGAGATAAATCGACATTTTTCGAACTGTCTTGTCAACCTTTTTGAAGTGGACTAAAACACACTTCGAGTGTACTTGTGCAGGTCTATACTTTTATAATGGATACTTATTGAAATTGTGTTGTGTAATATGTAAACAAATATTTTTTTAATAAGAAAAAGAAATGAAATGTACAATAATTAAACAGCTTCTAATGACTTTCCAGATTTTTGCTAGTTTTTTTTTTTTTTTTAATATCCTTTCTCTGATTGCTTACGAGTATGAAATATGTACCGGAGTAATTATATAGACGTCTGACTAAAGGCCTTTTTTTAAGTCCGTCTAATTATAGTAAAGTTCAAAGCATGTTAGTGTTATTATCGATAGTTTCTATAAAATTAATGTGCATTTGGTTTTTATGTATATATTTTTAAGGTACTCTTATTTTATTATTGATTTGGCATGCCCAAGCCGAAGAGTTTCATCACTTTTATTTAATTAAGCTTAGATCATGACACATAGTCACGATTTGAGTATTCATCTATATATCGTCCAGACGCTGAAATGATTTCTAAATTCAATTAAACATTAGTCGCGCCAAACTTATTTAAAACTTACAATCTTCCATTAATATAACTTGGGTGTTTTCTATGTTTGTACTAGATGTAGAATGAGGAATAACATTATGATCCCCTTCGTTCCACCTCGTCCTGGTACTTGATCGTGATACTGCCATTGGAGCTGAGTAAAGGCTTAAGTCTGTTGGACTTATAACTCCAGACATTGTGGAAATGGAGCCTGCATATCCTAAAAGCTTGAAATTGAGAAAAAATGTATATTTATTGAAATGTACTGAAATATTTTTATCTAACTTAATTCAATATCAACCGCTAATTGACAGAATAGTCAAAAATTATTATTACCTTTCTCGGCAATTTATACATAAAGAAAAACAACCATGTGTATCTTGTAAACAAATTTCCAAGTTTGCGAATTCTGTTTTGGAAAAGATATAGTGCTTTTCAGCTGAACCACATGATCACTGGTCACTAATGGATCTGTAATTAGGGTTCAAGTTTCTTCTGCTGAACGCTTATTATACATTACGTCGTCGCAAAAATTGTCGGCCTAAAACCTATCGGTATCGAGGTGTTTCAAGCCAGAAGTAGCTGACTGTGCTTAACAAAAATATGTATTTATACATTAAAACTTTTTAATTTGTTTTTTACAGCGTAAAGCAAAATCGTGAATTCTGGTGTGGCCACAAAACTGTTGCTGAACTTCGAGAAGAAGGCTGAAATCCGCGACCCAAAAAAGAAAAAACAAATCAACAAGTCAACCATCTTTGTTTAAGTTTTGATGAGCCACAGCTGTTCAGATCAGTTGTTATCGGATGGTGGATGTGCTCTGGGGGATCGGATCTTCACATCTTTAAATATCTTAAAGGATATAAGGGGATGGACTGCCTGGAAATGGGTTTGCACCGATAAACATCGGCTAACTATCATATACATAAATGCATAAATCCGCCAAATTCGGTTAATTTTGGATGGCGGACTAAATGGGACATTTCCGAAACGGCAAAACATTGTCGACCATCCGTTCAACGGATGGCGAATGGATCTCTGTGGGAAGAGGCTTTATAGCTGCAATGGTGTTTTCTTTAAAGCGATGGGTTACTAAAGTGTTACCACTTTTGGCGCTATAACCACAAAAAAAAGGTCTGCAAATGAAAACACCAATCAATAAACGTTTCTTGAGTAAAACAAATAAATACTACCTCCAAAACTGAACGGGACATTTTAAAATGTTCCTTGAATTAGTCCATGCGGTACGTTTTGACCGTCACTTCATACAAAATTTTGGTTTGATGTGGCGTCTTCTGTTCCTGTAAGGAAAAGCTGTCAAGTCGATTTCGTGCACCGCCACAACTACAGTACTGCCCACCACGTTCGTAGCCACAAAAAAAATCAAAAAGTTCTTGCAAAAGAGTTATAACATTTCATGACTTTTAATTATAGCCCCTCGAAGAGTAAAAGGAAATAGTGTGTTCGTTGAAAAGTATGTAACAGATATATAAAAGGGTTTTCGACCCTTTAAAGTATATGTACGTATTCTTAATCAAGTCAGTTTGTCAAACTGTTCGAGTCTGCCTGTATGTCCGTCCGTATGAACGTTGAGATCTTAGAATCTATTAGAGCTAGAGATTTGAGACTTGGCATTCAGATTCCAGTAATTCTAACGCAGCACAAGTATTTTTCAAAACGTACATACATATGTATGTTTCGGTCAAATCTAATGGTTTATTACGGGGGGTGGGGCTGCTGTACGCTCCTAGCTTCTAGTGTCGGCAATGCAGTTCGACAGACGGCGCACCTAGACTGATCACTAATGGATTTCCCCTCTTTTGACAAATGTGAAACTCCGATTTCCACTTTTCACCTTCTGATCAGCTGATCTGAACAGTTTTGGCTAGTCAAAACATAAACAAAGTCAACAGGTCAAACATCTTTGTTTACGTTTTGATGAGCCTCAGCTTTTCAGATTTTTTTAAAAATCTCAACGGTTTTTTAGGGATGGACTGCGTGGAAAAAAAGGCTACACCGCAGAAATATTGGCTAATAGCGTATTTCCACAGAGATCCATCCACCATCCGTTGAAGGGATGGTCGGAACGGTGGACCTACTGGAACATTTTTGGAACGGCATCCGTTCAACGGATGGTGGATGGTTATCTGTGGAAACAGACAATTACTGAATTAATTTGACACTATCAAAAAATACGAAAAATACCGGTAAATACTGATAAGCTATATTTCGTCACTTCCTGGTTTTACAACTGGTTTTTATTGGCAAGGAGGACGAAATTTTTTATTGTTTTCAAAAACAAATACACGTTTTGCTATTTTCAAGCAACTGTGGTAGTCTTTTCAGCAAACACGTCAAACAACACCATCAGCTCCTTTTCTTTGTCTTCTAACTACCACAATACCATTATGGATTCCCTGCTAGATATTAAAGAATTCTATAAACCAAAATCTTGCATAAAGACGAGGGAATCAGTCATATATAAAGAGGCCACTAACGCGCTAATGGAATCAGGCTATTAGAAGATAGAACGGTATAACCATCTCGAAGAAATCACTTTTTAGTCACTTCGGAAAAATATTTTTTTTAATTTTGATTTTAGAACATTGAAGTTATGATGATTTTCAGCTCAATTATTCGAACGTTCCTATGACTGCTTTCTGGTATCAATTTCTGATTTTAATAAAATTAAAATTGTAGTTCTGAATTATTAGGCTATTACTATATCCAAAAGAACTTTTTGAAAAAAAATTCAAAAATATAAGTTACCTTTTTATTAATTTTTATACCCTTGCACAGGGTATTATAATTTCAGTCAGAAGTTTTCATCGCAGTGAAGGAGACATGCGCTCAAAATCTGGTCCTGGAGCTCTTAATCAAACCATAATTTGTTTTGATGATTTCCTTATAAATATCTTTCTGGAATCCACTGTGGAAAGCTAAGTCCGGCATATGTCCACCAATTGAAAGTGAATCACCATTTCAATGAGAAGAAGAGAAAAAAAAGCGCCTGGCCACGATTTTATCTCCCCTAAAACTATCAATCATCCTCCTGCAGTGTCTGTCATAAATATTTAAAAAGCTGCTCCAGAATCGTAACAAGCAACCCCATCAGGCCCATAATGCCAATGCTATTGAACAAGTAAGCCGGATAACCTCTGGCACATGAAATTCATTGAACGATGATACATTCTTGCTCCTCTGCTTTTCTGGATGTCGCCCAAGCTTTCGACCGCTTTTGGTTGGACGACCTAATTCATATTATTAATATAACACTTCCACAGAACACCCATCATATATTGGCTTCATGTCTACACGAAATAAGTTTTGTAGTACGATGCAAAGGTTTTCTCTCTGAATATCATCCAACTAAAGCTGGAGTACACAAAGGCAGCGTGCTTATACCGACACTGTATGTCATTTACACAACAGATCTACCGACAACCACTCTTAACGCATCATCCACATTTGCTGACTATACTGACGTTCTTAACAGACAATCATGCCCTTCACTATTAAACATAATTTTTGTTAGCTAGTCTGTTTTCCCAGGTTTAGTTAGTTTTCTTTTACATATCAAAACAAAAAACACCCATTTTCCTACAGTATAAACGATATAACACCATTTAATAGGCGCATATTTGGTTTTTTTAAATGAGCCTGATTCCATTGGCACATTTTGCTTAATTTTAATGCTACACAGTCATGTGAGTGGCACAAAAAGCTGACTGATCCAAAATAATTTTGTTAAAAATCATGAATATGAATACGTTTTTAACGTATACACCTAGACGGTGTACGATACAATGATTGGTAGTATGTAAGGTTATAGGTGTAAGCGACTTATCATGAATAACAAATATTAAGGTTGTTGTATGTAAGATTATAGTTGTAAGCGACGTATTGTAAATAATAAATATTAAGTTGAGACTGAATATTAAGTCATAGTTAAGTCATAGTTCCAAAGTTAATAGAAAATACTCGAAATCCCGAACGCGAGAAAAAGGTAGTGTGGGCAAGGTGGTCCTACAACGATCGAGTTGGCGGTCTCTGGTGTCGGAATGGTAAGACGGGACGGACGTGTCTCTCGCAGTAATTTTTCGTGTAATCCGAAGTAACACGCCACGATCGCGCGACGGCACGCGGAAAGTGAATAAGAGGGCTGAACAGTGTTCCAAGGTTGGTGTACATTATATTCCTCTCCGTTAAGAAAAGACGGCGTAGCGGACTCGTAGGAGGGTATAAGATAAATAAAATAATCTAGCAAAAAAACAATTAAGAAAAGAAGTGAAAGTGAAATCTCTCGTTTGTGATTATTATTCGTAGTCGATCAGTAGCTTCTCTCCTCGTAGTGCACGTTGATCATTCCCGACTGGTCAATCGTACCACCATCCTTTTCCCTTCAACCCCTCCGCGTCCAACGAATTCTACCCGGCTTAGCCTCGCCCGAAGGTCCAGCCCGGTGGTTTTTGGCCTCCGATACGTGGAGAACGACTTGCGCGCCCCCAATCGCGGAAGTGACCAGTGATATCACCCAGCGTTCCCACTCTCGTGAAATCGTTTGCCCAGATTGGCCTCGCCCCAAGGTCCAGCCCGTTGGATTTTTAAATCCGTAGCAAGATACGACGCGATCAACTCCGACATCACTCTCTCTCCCGACGTCCATGACAACCTTCGGCGTGACCCCCCAAACGACTCATTCACTCGTTGAACTCTCTAGTCCGGTGTTTCAGTGATTTACAAATTTCTTGTAAAGGACTTCTGGATCCGACTGAGATCTGTACCCCGGCCAGACAGCATCCTTACAGGTAGCGCCCAAGCAGGGACACCGAGACTAGCTAGAGAATCTGAAGAAAAAAAAGGGGAAGAGTCACCCGAAGAGTCGGCTCGAAGACAAATCGAACCGCTCACATCCGATCACCGGTAGGACTTAGAAGACTTGAGAAGGAAGTTAACACAAGAATTAAGTCAAAGAAACTCATTAATGTTGTTTCAGGACACGGGAGTGCCGACAATAACGAAGACGATTTGTAGCTATTCAAATCGATACGGAGATGGCTTGCTTGATCACACGAACCGTCTGGCTAGACGTCTTGCTACACCATTGGGTCAACGACGTCTCCGTAGAGGGCAATTTTTAAACAAAAATAAAATGTATGCTAAATATTAAAAAATATATTATAACATAAAATAATATTTTTATCATAACCCAATGGTAAATACGCCCATATTCTTAGGGTACCAAGTTTGAAAAGTAGCAAAAGAAGCGCACATGCTCCCGTGCATGAGAATGCATGCTGCTGAGAGCCCCGGGGGCCTGCCACTTAGAAAATTTTGTGTCCATTTTCGTTGTATGAAATGACCAGTCTATATTTTGTATGGTTAGGGCTTACACGAAATCAAGGACAATCCTTGTGTGGCTTGTAATATATATAATGGCTTTCTGGGACTACAATAAAAAAAAACATTAATGATCAGCAAGACATCCATAATACTATTAGGGCATTAGCTAACACGGACGACATGGGAGCTGATGGAGACGTTTGACGGGTTGGTCGAGAAGGTGGTCTTCATATAAGAAGAGAAAATCCTTTGGTATGTACATGGACCTTCTTCCTGCCAGATGTCCAGCAGTAACTTATTATGGTGCTGCGACCTCTTTATGCAAAAATGTTTTTATTTTCTAAAGTATTCAAAAATTAAGCTCTCCTTGACTATAAAAATTAGCTATTGTAGTTTTAGCACTCACTAAATATCGTTACCTATCCGTATTTTCCGGTTTCCCACATTTAGCCTTGCGGGAGCTCTTTGTAAATAAGTGTCACAATATGCTTATGCTTTTTAATGCGCCAATGGAATTATGCTATTAAAACTGCACATTGCCCGGTGAGGCACTAACAGTTATTATGTTATTATGTATCAACCCTTCAAACTTACCGATGTGGGTTGCGAATGAAAGTGGTTGAAATATTCTCTGTTGTTCGATGATGGATATATTTGCGTTGTAATTCTGCTTATGTTGGGGCCAGCTGATAAAAGCTTACAACGGCCAGGATCAAGATAAGATTGTGGACTTGTCGATGCCGGCGTGTGAGGTTGCGGTTGAGGAGATGCACTTCCTGCTATTTCGTGTTGTGGCACAACTTCAGTTTCAACAGGACTATGGCTGTTGTCTAGTGTATTTGTAAGTCTTATATTATCCGTTTCCAGGCTATTTTTCGTAATACAGTTGTTGTTGCTTATGTTTGGAAATTGGTTTGCCAGCGTCAGAGAAGGAGGTGGTGATTGGACTAGTGTTAAATCACTGCTGCTGCGAATAATAGCTACAGGCCGAGCCATTGGAGGCAGCATTGGCGGAAGCATTGTACTGTGATAATGAGTTGACGGCGAAGTCGTCAATTTTGCAGTTCGCAGCTGTTGATGGATTTGGAAATGTGGCGAATGACCTTGTGAGACGTGTGAGTGTGGGAGTGTATGAGTGTGTTGAAAGGGATGGTTTTCCACTGATCCAGTTATTGTTGTAGTGTGGCTAGAATCTTGACAAACATATGTGACGAAATCCGAAATATCTTGAGGCTCCGTTGCATATTTATCGGATCCAACACGGTTTTGTTCCTCTACCGAAGTCGACTGCGATATTCGTGGATTATTGTGCTGGGGGTAATACAAGGTATTAATTGGGCTGGTAGATGTTGTATGCAATGAAGAGCAATTATGTTGTGAAGTAGCTGAAAATAAGTTGCTTTTAAATTCGGATTTGATTAACTTGTTAATTTAATGTCTGACTATACCTTGGGCAAGTGGCCTACTATTAAGTGAAGTATAGCGGTGCAGTGAAATGTTAGAATCTGTAGGAGTTTTTGGATCTCTATTGGAGCTATCTGTTGCTCTTACGATTAGGGAAAAACTACTAGTGCCATTGTCTGATGAAGTACTGGTAATTGGTGGCGAGCTGTTTTGTTCGATCTTGCTGACATCATGGGCATCACCATTTGTGCCTTCTGTACGTAACAATGGGCTCTGTGACAAATGCATACTCCTCTGATCTATAAAGTCAACTAAAGGAAGAACTCGTTAAATTTTTCAAATACAATCGATCAATGTATATGTACTGCTATACGTACTGCTATAACCAAGGGGAATCGGATTAGCCACAATTGCTCCAGATTGAACCAGACTCTGGGCAGCAGACATTGAAGACTCAGAGTTCATTTGATATGTATTGCACTCATAGGCAGCTCCAACATTCTCTCTTTTAATAAGATTAGAGTTCAGACTATTGTCGTTTGCTTCGTCTAAAATTAGATCTAATAAAATTGGTTTTAAATTTATTTCTACCTTAAATGTGCTTGCACAGACTATGTAAAAATTGAATAGTTCAAAAACTTTTTATTTTTACAACAAAATTACTTTATATTAATATCTGCAATTACCCCTTTCTTGTACGTGCTTATTTTATCAAGTGTATAATAACCTCATTGCCAAACTGTTTTGATATTAGCAAATTATTGTCAAACTGTGAAGTCTGTCTATAGTCTGCAGCTTGTAACTAATTGATAGTCATTTTTTTTCCGTCCGTTTCCATGCGAACTATTCACTCAGCTTAAACAAAATCCAGATGAAAATTTTCCAAAGTTCTCCTTTCTGTTACTGATATGTAAGTAGGACAGATCAAACCACTATATCACAAAGCCCATATGAACAATCGGAAAAAATAGAAAAAATATTAAAATTTCGTTGATTTTAAATTTTTACAAATATACTCCGCAACATAATAATGGTTTACTATTTTAGATTATGGTTTAATAAAAGTTCATATGAAAATCGACACAGCTTCTAAATACAAAAATTGCAATACAAATTTATATAAGAGCGAAAACGCCCTAACTGTAGAACAAATGCTCATCTAAAATGTCCTTAAATAACCCCAGTTGGGACCTGAGAGGCAAAGGGTCGATCCTCGGTAGAAGTGGCTTAATAACTCATTTATTAGTTAATAACCTATTGCATACTGTATTGAGTTAAGGCAAGGCAGTTAGCAGTTAATATGTCACGACACACAAAAAGGATTGTTTGTTAATGTGATGTTTCGTTTGACGCGTGCTAAAACTGCCTTAACAGACGTAATTTTCAAAAAGGGTGGGCAATAACACCTGATAGTAAAGGAGCGTTACAGAGTGTAGTCTAGTTGTATAATTATTTTTAAATTATTATAATTGGGTTGAAAATCATTGTTTGCAAATGCATACAATTTTGGATTTGTCTGTGCTGGTGATGTATTCATTTTGGACGAGCGCATGTCAATAAAAGTAAATATTCCTGTGAGAGCTTTGACTAAAACTATTTCTCCAAAAGAAATTTTATATTTTTATAACATTTATGATCAAGAACTTTTCGCAATAAAGCTAAGCAAATAATACATTTGCTTACAATTGATTTCGGTACTTTTTTCATAGTTTTTCACACCCTGTGTAAAATAAAACAAGAAAGGAAGCAAACGTTAGCAATTATTTCGACTATTCCGATTTTCCGATTAATTTTGAGATTTTTAACTCAATTTAAAGTCTTTCAAATTTTATAAAATTCAAAGAATCGTAGAATATATCTACGTTTTCCTATTAATTTTCTGAAATTTAGAATTGTCTGAAAGCAACAATGTTTTAAATGGTTTTTGATTCGTTCTGCCTGTATTTTAAGACTACTTTATGTTCTACAGTAGGACTAAGTACTAAGTACTAAGAAAAAAAAACAATTTTTATAATTTTATAGCAATTTCGTTTTCAGGGCTTTTCTTAGTGTTCAGAAAAAAATATATGATGTTGATTAAGGTGTCTCATAAAAAATGTTTGACCCTGGTTCATTATAATAGTATTGAGAAAGTCTGATCAAATACCCAGACTATTTATAACACAAATTTTTTTTTATTTTCAACCAAAAGTTGGTGTGTATTTACAAAGTCTGTTTGGAATAATGCAGTAACAGTACCTTTGGATAACGTCCACAGTTCTTGCGATGAAAATACTCCAGTTGCTAAAATAATGTCATTACAAACTACTCCGTTGTATGGATTTTGTCTAGCACCCTCATTTTTCTTGTCAACGACCTCATCTTTTCTGTCTGATAGATCGTTACTTCGAGCATATAAGGTCAAGTTTGGTGAACTCACACCTGAAGGTGTTGAAAATGTCGGGTTCGTATTGGTAACTGAATTATGAGTATTTATAAAGTTGGCCAAGTACAAATCCAGTTCTCGAACAGAAACATTTATATGATACGGATTTACACACAATCCTGGATGTAAGCACTCCGGGTTCTTTTCAAGCCGCTCACCATCTGTGCTTTCTAGAGGAATCGCTTTGAAGAGTATGACCATGACCAAGTCAAGTCGCCACACTTTGTCAGCTTGCCGTAGGCAGTCTATGCGTCGCATTTTTCCTTTTTGATCGGGGTTCGAAAGAACGCAAATAGATTTTCGCTTTCCGATTATTGATTGCACAAAATCCTCTCGGCTTTCTTGTGTAATATCTTTTCTGAGTTTTCCGAGCAGACGAGAAGCCCACTTTTGCTTCACCTCTGTTTTTTCATTCTATAACAAAAGACGTTTTAAATTTGTATTTTTATAAAATGGGTTTTCATTTATACCTGCAGTTCGTCCTTACAATGTCTTTCCTCTTCCAATGACATACGTTTTTCATGTTTCTTATAATATTTTCGTTTGGCGGCTTGCAAATTAAACCAAGAGTAGGAAAATGATTTGACGTACGGTAAGAGTGCCTCAATAAAAGGGTGAAATTCATCCTACATGTAAAGAAGGCATTAAATTAGTGACTGTTCTTAATTTGTATTGTGTTTAAAGGTGCATACAAGTATAATAAAAAAAATGCTGTTCACATATATATTTAACAAACATACACTTAGAGACTTAAAAACCCAAGGCCCGTATTATATTCGTATAAAAAATTCATAAACTTTGTTTGTCTTACTGATAAACTGACTTTGGGTTAGCTTTGCTAGTAAAGAAAGAGAACAAAAATGACGATATAGCTACTTCACTTAGAAACAAATTACAGAATACACACAAAAACAGTGAAAAAAAGTGACAACATAAAGAAAACTGATTTGAAACTGTCATGAAACAGATTTAATGTTACAGAATAACATATTTGGGAATGCAGTTAGGGTCAATTATAATTTCACTAGGCTGTAATTTAATTACTTTCTAATTAAGAATCTTTCTATATTATGTTGTTTATAAATTTAAGCTTAAGCAAATAATTCTAAACCAAAAATATTGAAAACTCTTAAATTGTGATCATTTCTGCTCCTCAATAAAATTGCATCATAATTGGCGATATATAGTAGCTTGTAGACACTTACAGACTGTAAGTTAAAGTTAAAATAAATTTGATTTGTTAATACAGTTATTAAATTGTATAGAACTTCTTTCAATTCTAAATGCTTGTAGTGGCAGATCACTACTTTTTACCGAAAATGTATTTTGTTTAAATCACAATATGTACTATATACATGTTTTACAAGATAGTTGTGACAATTTTGTTATACATTTCGATCATTGCTATGGACGCTCTGCAAGGGTGAAAAAATGTATTTTGTATAATTCTAAGGCAAATAAAACGTACAAAAATAATGCTTATATTTTAAAATATTATACCTTCTACAACACGTACCAGATCGAGCATGATCTCAGTTCAAGAGTTTTTAAAGCTCTGACGAAAATATTATCCAACAAATCATTGCAAAAAAAATCGTACCAGTTAGAAATTTTTTGTCCGCAGTGGTTTTGCCAAACCCTTTCATTTTTTTCGTCGATTAGATTATTTTTCGATTATTAGAAAATTCGTCAAAATTATTAAGCGCCAATATTAACATGATGAACACACCTATTGTATTGCATACACCATAATTCGCTATTCGCTAACATTTTTTCGTTTCACAAGGAGAATTTATCCGTCCACCTGTCCGTCTGGCCGTCCGTCTGTCCATCCGACTTTCCGTCCGTCCGTTTCTACGGAAACTAGTCTCTCTCTGAGTTTAAAAGCTATATATGTAAGTGGGAACAAGCTGAATCTGACGACTATAACAACAACAAAAAAAATAACCTCGCTGTTTTTCATTGAATTGAAATTTATCGCATTTTGACCGAACATTTGGACTAACGACAGGTGTGTGGGACGGTTTGTTTCGCACAAATTGACTGACCATCATCAGCGATCGACGCTTGTGACCGATTATTTGATTATTATGACCTGATATGGCACCGTGTGACTTCTTCCTCTTCGGAAAAATGCATTTGGTCGTGAATGGAAATCGTTATGCAAATGTAGAGTCCAATCCAAAGGATTGCAAAACTCGTTTGACATGCTTTTGGGTCGTGCAAAAAGCAAGGAGACTTTTTTGAAAAAAATAAATTGAATTTGTCGAAAAAACCATTTTTTCTTATTTTTAAAGTCCTGTTTACTTCGAAACGCACCTTATATGTTGCCAACACGAAAGTTTGCTCATTTCTACAAATATAAAGTACTATGGCGAACTTAACGCAAATAATAAAGGAATAAAGTAAAACGATAATTAAAAAAAATAATATTTTACAACAGACAATTAGCAGTAAGTTTTATTATCACACAACATACATATATAAATAGTGGGGTATCCAGTAAATAACTGAAAGTTAATCAGAAGTTTTCAGCAATTGAGTGAACGACATGTAGAGACACATAAACTTTTCAAATTCTTAAGATTTACGAATACGTTTATTATTAAATGTAGTAACGTACAAACAAGTAAAATGATTCTCTAGTTGATGTAAAAGTAAATAAAGCGTGCTGCGATAGAGAGCTCTTCAAGTATTGTATTTCTGTGGCTTAGGGATCATCCATTATAAGAAATCTTAAAAAAATAAACAAGAAATAGCATAAACTAATTGTTAAAAATAAAATCGAAAATTACACGTTTCCGTGCCGGATTAAATATGCATCTTGAAATTTACGTATTTCATGTGCCAGAATACGGACTACGAACATAAGTTAAGCGAGTGTGAGTCAAAGCGGCACTGCATGCTCGCAACTCGGCAGTATGATCATCTTTTTTTTTCTTTCGTAGGCCCAGCCGTCGATAACTTTGCCGAATTTCGATAACATATGTCTCGGTCTCGCTATCGTTGATTTTAATCGCTGTCCAACCACTCTCCAAATATATTTTCAAATATTGTTGAGAGAAACTGGATAAAGTACAGTTTTTCAGCATCGATTTGATTTTGTTCAATGGTTAAAGCTATCAGCCAATGTAAATATAATTTGAACCTACGAATATCAAATTGATCCAGCAAGAATATTTATCTTTATTTTTGTCTTCAAAAAAACGCATACGTATTGAAATAATAACAAGAAATACGCTTATAAGTTCAACTTAATTTTAAACACCTTACGTATGCAAAAACATGAATGGTACAAGTATAATAAAAGTTTAATGCCAGATATATCAAATAGTGTGATCCTTCGTTATCTTTACTTATACTTATTTTAGGATATACTGTTTGTGTTGGAGGAGATATGAATACAACATTGACAAGATGCAATTTATTGATACAAGTTGAGCAATTTGCATAATCACACACATCGCAACATTTTTGGCACAGTGAAATAAATGACTAAGCTTAAACACTATTGTATTTTATATACATTGCATTTTAATTACATTTATAATTCGTTTTATTTATTTGTGAGCAATTTTTATGCGCAGACTTAATTTCATACCTGACAATAAAAATAGAAAGTCCGATTAGTTGAAACTAGTAGTAGTAGTTCATTAAAAAGAAAATTGTGAGTATACATATATGTAAGCGTAAGTTAGTACCCCATAAATTACGTCATTTTAAACTTATCTGTTTACAAAAATATTAAGTTCGCGACTATTGTTTCAAATAACAACATTAACGACATACATTTAAGCATTTGCAGAGGCACGACGCTTTACCTGTCCCGATGATGATGTTTGCAAATAAGAAGAAACGTCCGTCTCGATCATACAGCCTCTTAAAGTATCTGGTATAAACATACCTTAGGTATTGGGTTGTTCATTGAATTTATTATTATAGCTTTGACTCCATCAAAAAAGATCTAAAACAGAATTTGAAAAATAAAAACGCATTGAAGACATACAATATAACTTCGATAAATCAGTAAGAAGATTAAAGCGAAAAAATTCTCAAGAAACAAAATTCCATTAAGGTGAAATTTCACATCCTGATTAAGAAAACCACATAATATATTTGTAGAGTAAAGGCTTAGTTTAGTTTATCTGTTTTAATTTGTTTTTTGTTCAAGCAATGAAGTGCTTGTGTATGTATTAGTTATACATTCCAACAGTATTTTTAAAATTGTGTAATACTCTATTTAATTTCTCGTTTATTCGAAATTAACCCAGATGCGGTTAGGGAGAATATAAATTGGCATGACAGTACATTTTTTATACAACTTAATAATTAATTTTAGTAGATTGTGGTTGTTTGGTGGTTGGCAAAGGCCTATCTCCGGAGTATTGGATAAGGCCAACTCGGCAGAGCAACTGCAGTGCGGCGGCAGAGGCCAACACAAACAGTACAAACCCTCAGCCGGCACACAGACATTGACAAGTTTCTCCGTGCAAATTACTCGCACTAAGAAGAGCTTGTTATAGTATGTGTGACGACCACTGCATAAGAACAATTAAAGTTCCCTTCTAGAAAGGAAGGGAAAAGATTTATAAAAATATTGCTATGCTATTGCTGACGACTGCCGGTGGAGAGCCATAACAGAACAACGAAAATCTAGCAATTTCCTTGTGCTCTGCGTAGCCGTAGCTGAAGTAAAAAATAAAGAGCAAGATCAGACCAGAGCATGTGCTACGGCTCTCTTTGTGTTTGTTTGACTCAAAACTCATTAGCTCCAAAACGCATTAAAGAGCAAAAAATAGCAAAAACAGAGACAGAAAAACAAAGACACGCGAGAGCCGTATCGTTGCAAACGCTGTTTCTAAGTATGAAAACAACGAATCTTGGTCATTCACATGTCAGCTATGTATATAATATCGTTGTCTGATTTTACCAAGTTTCAGTAATTCTGAAATAATAAATCAATTCTTTAAATACAACTTTAACTGTTTCAATAAATAAACAACGAAGATACAACTTTGTTCATTAATTTTTCCTATTGTTTCTATAAAAGCTACAGTAGTTGTAGTTACAGTAGAAGGTTGTTTGGTATTGCGTCATCGAGATCAAGGGGCAGTTGCATTCGGTTGCAATATCCGTCCATCTAGAGATCGGAAATTCGTTCCTTACACAAAGAGACTTGGCGATTGTTTTCGGGGCGCGTAGCAAGTGATTTTCTTGTCTGTGGCCTGGAACAGACTGTATTCGGCACTGATTTCAACGTTTTCTCTGCCAAGTGGCGTTCATTGTTGTTTTTGCATCCTTGAGCTTAGCTCTTATGTGGGTATCAAAACTCATATTTGCGGTAAGCGTTACATGGAGGTATTTGAAGAATCTAACACGTTCCAGCTGGATTCCGTTAAGTTGCCAGTCTTCGGTCCTAAGGCTGACGGCCACCAGAACCCTTAACTACCATAATCTTAAATTTGTTTGCACTTATGAACTCGGAAAGGCTAGCAAACATGTCCCTTATCGTCGTCTGCAAAGAGGGAGAGAGGAGAGGGCTGACTCCAATGTTGGTATTAAACCAATTTGAAAGCTCTGATCCATCCCACACACTTGCTTAGTTATCCTTATAGATATTGGACAGTGTTGATATGGTTTTGGTTGAGTTGGCTAAGTTTGAACAAAAGTCTTTTTCGGTTCACTGCATCAAAAGCGGCTTAATACTCTACAAAGAAACTGTATTTTTATTGCAGAAAGGTGTGGGCAATAGATGTCAGCAGGAAAACACTGTCCACTGCAGAGTACCCTTCTCGAAAGCGATGTCGTCATACGTGTTAGCTTAGCGAATGTGTTTTGATCGGTCTCCACACCCTTTTTAATCTGGGGAAATTCCATTGCTATAAAACTCATTGTTGGCCTCAGTAAGTCGCTGTTTAAAACGGAGCGGGGCGTTTTTGAAAAACTCTGCGGTTATACTGTCTTCATCAGGAGTTTTTTTCAGTTTTGGTGTAAGGACAGCGCTTTCTATTTCTGCAAGGTCGAAAGGAATTCAGCCTGAGGAATTCAGCGGCTTAGCATAGATGATTTCTGATCTGTTTAGCATCTGGGAGAGTAGGCCACTGAAGTAATCTGCCAAATCTTTTGAGCTTACTATAATGGGTTTATTCTGTTTGTTCCCGTTTATTTAGCGATTTCCCAGAACTGTTTGCGTACTTCTTGTAGTTTATTTATCCAGAACTGTTTTTCTTTTCCTTTGCATAGACTTATTATTGCCGAATTGTAGAAAGTGGCCGTTATTTCGTTTCGTCTTAGTTGTTTAAGGCAATCAAATGAGTGTTCGCGAGACCATTTGCCTTGTACGTCGAACCACGGAAGTGGTAGTGGAAGTGAAGTTTTGGTTTTGGAAGCATCTACGATTAAGTTCAGCAGTTTGTTTAACAGTGTAAGCCCACTCAGACGTTGAACTCCTGGTACTAATGCATCTGCGTAACTTAGGCGGTGTATGTCCTTCCACTTTAGCTTTCGGTTCAGCTTAGGCTGGGTCCTATCTGCTGGTTGATGTAGAAAGACTTTCAAAAGAACTTCGATGGGCATATGTTCAGAAAGGGGTTGAGCGCTTACTACCAAATCTTTACCACATCGTGCCATTTTCCTTGGATGAGGCAGTAGTCAATTGCCTTGCCGAGCTCCTTATAAGGGTAAATTCTCCATTTTAGTCACCAATTGTCCTGCCGTTCATTACCGTCAGTACTAGGCATTCGCACATCTCAACAATTTTTGCACCTTTGTTATCTGCAATTACGTCCTTAGACTTAGGAATCGTGCTAGGGGTCCTGAGATCTATATTAGTCCGAAATCGTTAGCCTGTTCAAAATTTGCTTGCCAATTAATGCCGTATATATATGTATATACATATATAAGTATACTGGAAGGATATACAGTTTTTCGTCTTTCGTGTTTATTTCGATCACTTCGGCTGGTATCCAATGCAGCAAGTGATCAGGAAATTAATTCGCAAAACTCATTTCATCGTTGGCCAGAAAAGTTTCAAAGAGTAGAATAACATCGAAATGTGTAATAAAATTAAAGAATTGTTGAAATAATATCTTATTTGCTAGTCAGAAAATTTAATCTTTGCTGTTTCTTAAATTTATTTAGTTCTTCGTAAATAGTAATGGTTTAATATTTCAGATCATCGGTTTAAATATTATTTAAGTCGGACAAATATAAAATATACCTCTAATGGAAACAATCAAAATATTAAAAAAATAAATATAAAAAAAAGTAACTTGTCTACCTCTATACCTCTGCAGGGTGTTGTAATTTCAGTCAGAAGTTTGCAACGCAGTGAAGGAGACATTTCCAACCCTATAAAGTATATATATTCTTGATCAGCATCACTAGCAGAGTCGATTTAGCCATGTCCGTCTGTCCGTCCGTCCGTCTGTCCGTCAGTTTCTACGCAAACTAGTTTTTCAGTTTTAAAGCTATCTGCATGAAACTTTCCCAAAAGTTGTCTTTCTATTGCAGGTAGTATATAAATCGGAACGAGCCGGATCGGATGACTATAGCATATAGCTACCATAGGAACAATCGGAAAAAAATAAAAAAAATATATATATAACTTTGCTGATTTTTAATTATTTTTTTTAGTTCGTCGACATATAGCAATGGTTAAATATTTCAGAGTTACTGTTTAAATTCCATCAAAATCGGACGACTATATCATATAGTTCCTATAAAAACAATAAAAATATATAACAAAAATTTACTTTTCTACTTTGTATATTTTTTTTTAAATTCTTTTTGACTTATTAATAATTTGACAGTTTAGAATTACGCATTTAATTTTATTGAAATCGGAAAATGATTTCATATAACTGCCATAGAAACTATCGAAAGATTAAGCTGCAAATCATCATAAGTTTCAATGTTTTTAAACATATATGTAAGTCAATCATAATTTTATTGTTTTCAAGAATATTTAACTTTTGCAATTGCTGCAAGGGTAAATGAACTTTGGCTTGCCGAAGTTTGCTTCCTTTCTTGTTTTAATATGAATTATTTTGAGAAATGATAAGCGACTGGATAATAAATATTTATAAGAAATATATTTCTAGACCATGGATTGTTAATACATTTTATTTTATTATGAAAAGATTTTTCTTGAAATCAACTTATATCCTTTATTTAAGTATTTTTTCATAAAATAGGTGATATTATCCTCAATGTGAGTGCTAAGCTAAAATCTGAACTCGAAATGAGTACATTCATATTTTATTAATTCGAATTCTGTTTCTGAAAGTCGGAGTTTTCGTTCTTTTCGAATATCTCAATTGTTCTCCTCTTGTGTTTCTTTTACGCTGAACCCTTGAATTTTATCAATATCGACTGACTGTCATGAAATATATGCTATTTTAGGAACGATATGGCCAAATTAACTAATACATAACACTACAGATTCCTTTTGCATTTTTATAAGTCTTTAACAAACTGGGTGGACAGTAAAGACTTAGATTATTATTATTAATTTTAAATAAATTTTATTTTGTTTATTGGCTGACAAACAGGTGTATATAAGTTTTTAATCGGTCCACGAAAAAAAACATAGGTGCACAAAATTGCATATTTAGAAGCTTTTAACTTTGACTTTGAAAGAAAACTAGTAATCAAAAGATTTTAGCCGTTTATCGTCGACCACATTTGCTAATGCACCCGCATAAAATTACACAATCAAAACTTATACAAGTACAAATATATGGCTATGCATATTTAAAGGATATTCACTTTATTTTGCACTTATGAACTTCAAATTAATATGTTAAATTGAACACATAACTTAATATGTGCCTTTTCCGTAATCAATACGGTTTTAGATTATGTCAAAAACACAATTTCATATTTTTAATTGACACATACATGTATATCAAGAAAATTCGTAACACACTGAAGATGGACAGAGTAGTAGCAGTGTTATGCAAAACGAGTACCTATAGACTAAATCTAAAATTGGCAAATCACAGATGACTCCGTGGACTTGTGTTCTCGTCAACTGTTAGACTCTTTGAGAGTCATATGTGTGTACATGAATCCAAATTAATCAACAAATACATAAGCAAGCCAAAGGGCCCAAACGACCAACCGACCAAACCGTTCTAAAAATGGAAACCCCTGCTCCGAGCAAACTGGAACTAAATGAGAGAGCTCATTGATATTCGTAATGCGCATGTGACAAGAAACTACAGTATGAATTCAACCTGCAAGAACCGTCTATCAAACACTGTGCTATCTCGAAGACTAGCAATCAGCTGTAATTCAAAGAAAGAAGAAGAAGCTTGTAATTGTTGCGACAAGTAGCGGACGTTGTTAATTTGTAGTTCTTGAAATCGGTTCCCGTTTCCATACCGATACCGATACCACACGAAAAACACTAATGATAAATTTGTTGATTTCCGAGTTGATGTTTTGATTCCGGATAACAAGCAACTTTTTACCACCCCGAAAAAATGTTTAATTGAATATATGAGTAAATAAATTAATTTATTACAATTTTTTTTTGGAATAGACAAATTTTGGGTAATTTTGGTAGTCAATACAGAAGTGAGTTATTAACAAATAAAATGCAAAAGTAGGCAAGCCAAAGCTTAAATCGCAGCTAATACAAAAATTAAATATTCAATCAATTTCGATTTAAAAATAAGCTGTGACGATTTTCCGCAGAATTTTTAAGCCGTTCCTATGGCAGCTATGTTATATCGTTGTCCGATCCCTTTTCAATAAGTTATATGCAGATAGCATAAAAACATAGGGACTAGTTTTCGTAGGAACCGACAATTGACAACTGATGATGATCCAGTTCATAGGGTCATAAATGTCTTCTTCACTGCGTTGCAACGCGCTAACTTAAATTGTAGTACCCTCTGAAAAGGTACAAAAAGTGCTACTTCATAAAAAATTTGCCATTTACACAGTGCAACACATAAGTTTTGAACCAATTTTTGAAAGTCGCCGCTGAAAATAATTGCAAAAACTAAAATTCTGCATTACGGTAATGCATCGACACATTACCAACAATTTCAAAAAGTTTATCCAAATAAAGAATTTCATCGGCAAAATGCTTTACGTATTGTAAAAACTATCGATTACGCTGTAAACAAAAATATATTATATTTGAAAATATCAAATATCAAGTTTGTTTTTAGGCCATGTTTTCTAATATTTTAGGTCATTTTTTTCTCTGGTTGTATGTAAAGATAGATGGAAACGTTTCCGGCTCTGTAAGGTATATGTATTCTTGATCAAGACCACAAGCCGAGAGAATGTCAAAATCTCGGAAACTATACAGCTGATGATGTGAGTTATGTATCATACAATTTATAGTTATGCAGAGTAACTTAATTTAAAAATGTGGCCAACTTTTTTATATCATTGAAGAAAGTATTTTAATTTAATATATATTCTTGATCAGTATCACTAGGAGAGTCGTTTTAGCCATGTCCGTCTGTCCGTCTGTTTTTACGCAAACAATTCTCTCAGTTTTTAAGCTATCTGCATGAAACTTTCCCTACAATTGTCTTTCTATTGCAGGTGTATATAAGTCGGAACGAGCCGGATCGGACGACTATAGCATATAGCTCTGCTAAATTTTAAATTTTTTTTGTTATTTGAGTTATATTTTTATATTTCAAAATTCAATCGGAATATTAAAAAATAAATGAAAACAAATTTAACTTTTATATTTTTTAAAATTTCAGAATGATGGAAACGATTAAATAATTGAGCCAAAAATTTATATATATATTATAAATTTAGATGTTTTAAAGAATATTTAATATTGGCAAAAGCTGCAAGGGTATATAAACTTTGGCTTGCCGAAGCTAGCATCTTTTCCTGTTTTGTTCTTCTGTAATATTTTATTTTTATTTATCTGATCCTCTCTCGTTGCTTAAGAGACTGACAATAAGTATTTAAATCTTAATTAACTACACAGACTGTTCGGAGTGTGCAGTATGTCCTGGTGTGTCCATACTCCTGGCAGTTCCTTTTATGTGGCACATCCAACGTAATTCTCTGGTGCAATAGGTATTGCAGGTTATGGATAGGATGCACTTCATGTATCTTCAAGACTCTTCTTTCTGACTCTGTTCTTGTTAATGATGTAACTAACGTTCTTTGCAGAAAAAAGGTTTTTTTGCGAACAATTTTGTTGACCATGGCACTCGAGCTGTTCTCCCTAATGTTAATTGGTGGGGGCTTTGGTTTCGGTTGGGTCTCTTGACTCAGTTTTGGTTGAATTTCAACTAGGAGGACAAATCGGTTGTTGTTAATTCGTTGTTACCCACAGCGGTGTTCTGCGGGCTAACCTTACACTTGTTTTGGATGAAGCGATCCATGCCGATCTGTATGGCCAGGCCGATTGTTGAATGTTGTTTTGGTTTTGTTTAGTTGGTCAAATTTTATTACCATTGTATTTGGCGCTGCAATCAACGAACTGGCTAGATCGACTCTCTTAGTGATGCTGATCCAGAATATATATACTTTATAAGGTCGGAAAAGTCTCCTTCACTGCGTTGCAAACTTCTGAAATTATAACACCTTCTGCGCTGGTATAAAGATATACAAAAAAATGTATCTTCTCAATTTTTTAATTTAGTTAATAAAGTATTTTTGACATAGTAATAATTTGATAGTTCAGAAATACACTTTTAACTTTCTTCAAATCCGAAAACGATATCATATTGCTGCCATAGGAACGATCAAATAAATGTAAGATTGTGAAGTAACATAAGCAGCAGAATAAGCAGTACATCAGCCGAAAAGCAGAAGGCAGTAGAGCAGTAAAGCAGCAGCAGAAATGCATAGAACGCGTTATGGATTATTTTGATGATGGAAGAATGGGGATTTCTAGAAAGAGGAATTTAGCAGAAGCAGAGAGAAAAAGTGACGCCGTAGGAAAAAAGCCGACAAAGTCAAACATTTTGTATCTTTTCATATTTACTTTACATAATAATAATTCAAAGCATGTTGAGATTAACCATCTCAACTTACATAATTAAGCTCAAAATCATCATAGTTTCAATGTTCAAAAACATATACGCATATAAATATAAATTTAGATGTTTTAAATAGTATGTCGGAGAATATGTAGTGTAGTATATCGACCCATGGTCATATGGGTTGTGCTGGTATGCTTGAAATACTAGATACTAGTTTTGGTAGAATGGAGACTCAGTTTGCGAGCTGAGGCCGAGTGTGGATTCGAATGCGTTGCTAGGTCTGGTCTCTCTTTTTATTCTTCTGGTTTTTAGCGTGGCGTAAGATAGACGCGAGAGTGATCCTTAAGAGACAATTCTGAGTAACAAAGGCATCGAAGACGCGCTGCATTCGCCGGAATCGAGTTCAGACAATCAAAAACCAAACGATCAAGTAGTCAGCAATACCGACTTACAAGGGGATGACTTTAGTTCTCCGACAAGTATTTAGTTTATGCACTAGCTGCAAGGGTATATAAGCTTCGGCGTGCCGAAGTGTGCTTCCTTTCTTGTTTTTATATAAATTTTCCCACAATCCATTGGTGTGATTGGTATGTGGCGAAACACAGCCCGATTGTATTACGATCGAGCGTCAGCTAGTGCGGACTGATGACCGACTGACTTTTACATTCGTTGACTTTTAGCAGGGACGTCTTGTTATGTTGGAGAGGGAAGAAGCTACCAAGAAGCACACCCAAATCCGGCGAGTTCATAAGAAGCAAATAGGTACTTGACCAACGGACGCTTTTACCTCGGACCAAGTCCTTTAAAGACAGGGGCACAAATATGCAGATGTATCAGGCTTTGTTAGCTAAATTGGCCTGAAAATAAAGTAATACGCAGTGTTATTGACTCTTATTGAATGCTTTATTTGCTGCTATGAATAAATTAGTTTAATAATATTGTAACAGGTATATAACAAATATGTAATTTCAAGGTGGGTTGTATTTTCGATTTTTCGTTTTTTAAACTCAGTTTCAATTATCAATTATAAATATATTATTTTAATTCTTTCTTCTCTCTCTTACTTTCTCATATTTTGTTTTCTCGCTGTTGACGCTTATTCCGGCAATGGTTGGCTAATTTTCTCATAGTCACTTTAAAAAATGTTTATGTTCTGGTTTATTGTGCTAATGCAATCATTTTCTATTCAAATAACCTACATTTCTATAATACGATATAGTATGCGATTAAAGAATATGTAAGAATAATATAAATTTTTTCTCCATTTTATTTCTTTTAAAACCATGTAACAATCTCATTTCTTGATTTTTAGACTATTTTAATGTTATAATTTAACAATTCAATCGTATTATATACATTTTTATTAGTTTCTTGGTTTTACTGTATTGTATTTATCAGATGTCTTTCTCGGAATTATACATCGATTGACATATCCAACGTCTTATTAAATAGAATTAATAATTCAACACAATACCCTTACCGATTTCTTTCTAAAACAGCGATATCGGGTCTTGTAAAAATTAGTTTTCCCCAAAAATAATTCATTTTAATTTTATAACTTCCCTATTTATTAAATGTTGGAATGATCTGTTTTGAATAGCCTCGACTTAAAATGTATATGATTAGTGTGTTTTGAAGCATTTTAAAGCATTAAAAGTATATGAGAAATTAAAAAAAATATGTTTATTTTTTTTTATAAATTTTAATGAACAAATGGGACTGTGTTTTGTAATTCATATTTTGTACATACAAAACATTTTTCTACATACAAGCATGTATAAAACTATTGTTCTCATCAGAACAATTACATTATTTAAATTTGATGGATATTTTTTTATTTTTTAAACATAATAACATTAGCTTTCTGCAGATTTGAATTTTTTAATTTTTTATGACATTGCTATGTATGCAAGTATAAATCAACTTATTTATATCATGTACATGTACCTTTTTATGCGATATACCCACTGGTGTTAATATTATGGTTTCTTTGATTTAATATTAAAGTTACTCAGGTTTTAAGCGATGCCATTGTACTACAGTTTGCCTGGGCTTTGAGATCATGTCCTGCCAATGTTTAGTTTCTGATGCTCCAGAACCATTTTTACCTGTTTCAATTGCATATTAAGACATTTAATTATTTATGAACATTGCGCTGTAATTTTAATTCTTACCAGCTAATAATATTCGTCCTATCAACTCGTTCCTCCCAATGTTATCGAAATCCATTACCATAACATCCAAGGAACATTCTCTTATTTTTTCCCATGGAACGTTAAAACTAAATGATTCATTAAACACTGGATTTAATGTACATGTAAATATAGGCGTTTTTCTTTTCTCTACTCTTTTATCTCCAAACTGAAGCCAAACTTTTACGTAAGGATCTAGAAAAAAATAAAAGAGAAGAATACTTAGTTTGACTTTCTTGAAAGATTTCTAAATGTTTTTTTTATATTTAAAATGTTTATTAATCTTAAATACATAGATGTGGTTGTATTAAGATTTCAAGTAATTAAATGGACTTATGCACAAATGTAATTTCTGGAAAGAGTGATCATGGTTTTACAGTCCGAACAAGTTATGACCTTTCTAAGGGGTCCAATCTGCGATTCTGTTGTGACGCTTGTGTCGAGGTTGTGAACGAAATGATATCGTTCATGCGTCAAACTAAAAGTAACCTTTAAGAGCTTATCCGCTGCTTCAGTGAGCCAAGATCGGCTCAAAAAATACTCGGAACCCGAACAAGACAGAGCTAAAGCTGATGTCAAAGTGAAAAAAGTCAACTTTTCTTGTGCTAGGGATATTTTATCTTCAAAATCACTGTCCCAAACGAATTCTTTGAAACCAAATGCCCTGCCGACTTTTGTCCGCAACATATGGTGGTAAAAGGGTTCGAAGGAAGACAAAAAAGAAAAGGCCCGTCAGAGACAGTCTTCCCAGTCGAGGCCCGACTCTTCTGCTCCATCTTCAGAAAACTAGCATCCCGACTCCTTATTTCCTGTCAATATACAAGGGGCTCACTTAGTCAGCTGACTAAATTGTGTTCTGATGGTTTTTCCTTTTCACCCCATGTTACAATGTTTACAGAAACCTGGTTAAAATATATATTTATATTTATTTATATATAAATATATATAATATATTTTCAGCTAAGAATCGTTCCCCAATAGTTATATATATGTATATTACTTGTACATACATTTAAGTTTCCGAATTATGCGAATTACCTTTCCGTTATACATTCAATTTTAAAGACAGAGACCAGTTGATGGTTTTAGAGAATTTTAATATTCCGAATGCGACTTGGTCCACAGATGAAAAAACCAATATCTTACTTCATTACAGTGCGCTATCTCAAATGAACAATTTTCAGAACTCTTTGGGTCCCTTACTGGACTTGTGTTATTGTGAAATGCAGAAGGTGTCTGTTTATTTAGAACGTAACCACTTACGCAACCTGACGATCTTTATCACCCCAATTTAGAGCTGACTGCTGTTTAAGGATCAGAGCTTAAGGAAACATCTGAAAAGTCTGTTAAACGAATCCATTCCTTGCGCAAAACTAACTTTGACCGCTTAAGTGCCTGTATATCTGGCTTTTAGTTGTCCTAACTTTATTTATGCACTAACATGGCTGGGGCCTTTAATATATTTTATAGTGCATTAAAATCCTTCGTTTATATATGCGTTGTGAGGAGTCTTTAAACTCCCCACAACCTGATGCAGGAGAACTGCATAGCAACAGCAAAGGTGCCGACAATACAGGACGAGTCAAGAGCAACAAGGTCAAACTGTGAGCAACGGAACTGATTCATCTACAGAGGTGCCAACTCGTATCGGCAATCAAGCAGCGATTTTGGCGAGACTGCTCTCGCGAGTACAGTAGCGTAGATAGGGGGGGATTAGGGGGATCAATCCCCCCCTTGGGTCTGAGAATTATAAGATGATATAATCTCAAAATTGAAACACATTTTTACGCGATGGCTGTGCAGTACAGCATATTAAAGTTTCGAATGCCCGAGTTATGTTCAATACTGCTGACTTCTTGTCAACCGACAAATTGTTCCTGGAATCTTTTATCTTGCCAGCGGTCGCTGCGTTTCCCAGGATTTACGCAGTTTTGGCGTCTGCCTGCCGGTTTGTTGTTCATCAGGAGGGTTCGTGGAAAATATGATAACTCCAGCGCTTCTAACGGACCTCCAAGTGATACCTCAGTCAGTCACAGTGCCTCTCAGTTTACTGCGTGCTGCGGCGCTGCATCAGCTGCATATAATCACAGCAGAAGAAGTCATTGATAAATTGGCAAAAAATCTCGAAAGCTTGAATTTCTTCTTCGATAAGAGAATTTTTTTATAATGCAACTTATCAATGTGAAAAATGTGACCAATTTCTGTACACGACTGTGCAACGCGGATTATTATCGCAGTGTAAAATAAATCTTACAAAAAAACAGGATATTATTCTGAGTCATATCCCCCCCATATCAAAAAGCTATCTACGCCAATGCGCGAGTACCTAACAAGCTTGCAAGAAGTGG